AAAGTGTATTTTACATCAATATGACAATCCAAATACACCCATTACAAATAATTTTAAGAGTTTTTAAGTTACCCGGGGTTTCGTTTTTCAATATATCTATTAAACAATAAAGATCTCTAGACGTTTTTTGATTAAAGCAATATTTCTATTAGAACACATGGTTAGCAAAAATTAAAAACAATGAAATCGGTACCGCCACGGCGCACTGTTAATATTTGCCATTTTACCTATGATTTTATTTCCGGTCTTTCTCAATTATTTTCAAACCTCCTCGGAAAATCAAAAATTAGCCTCTCTATTGCACCAACTAGATCGCATTTCTTTTCGAACGTTTTTTAACAGACAGAAAATGTCTAATCATATGTCATTAAAAAGATCATAATCACATTGTATAACATTGAATATTTGATAATTGTAAAATAAACATTCAGAGTGACGTAGTAGGCACAATTACCAGTTCTATCACAAATAATATCTTATATTAATCACGCGTGTCGCCCACATAGATGCGCTCTACTTTCAGCTAGACATTTTACATTTTGTGGCTCTCAAGTGAGAGTCACTAGGAAAGGGGACCGAGATAACACGCGTCACCATTCGATTATTACTAGTCGCATTGTTTTACTATTACCATTCTATTCATACAGTACACAGTTTCTACAGTTTTCCTCAACTTTACACGGCATAGTTTACAATACACACTCCGACTTCTTTGGGTTCGCTCAGCAAAAGTACTCACTTTTTGCTCACTCACTCCAACCATATCTTTTTTCCAAACCTATACAGCAGTTGCAGATACCATAAACGGGCTGTCGTGTTTGGTTCTCCTTGTTCTTATACACCGGATAGTTGTACTTATTGTCACTTCTGTCTATTACCATAAATTTGGACATGTTTTATCATTTCCTATCATCCTATACACAATACATTACTCTCGATTCTCTTGAACACGGCACAATGACGGTGATCGTTTATCGGGGTAAACCATTGTCTATACATTTGCAAAGGTATTAAATAGGCTCGACATTCACATCTATAATTTTGGTAGGCATCGGTTGGTGTCTATTGTTACGACAAACTCGAAGAAAGGGCGTGCACACTCTTCTTTCTTCTTGTACATGTAGACCTGTTTATCTCTGCACATATGCTCGCACAATCGGCTATACAACGTCGGAGAACAACTTGTTACACTTGTGACTTGTTACACAGCGCAAGCTTGAAAGTCGTCATTCATCCATTGCCAAACGTTTCTGTATAGCCGACTAAGTATCCAAACAGTATAGTAGTTTCAGTGACGGAGTGTTAGACGACCCACGTCTATTTAAAATTCAAACAAACAAATTGATATTTACATTGTAACGATTCATCGAGACCTACGCTTCCTTATACTTTAGGCAACGAACTTCTCACGGAATACCCGAAGTAAAATGGCAGTTATCGTATTTGTATAATAGAATATTAAGTAGATTTGATAAGTATGTACCAAGAAAACAATAATTCACTGCGATAAATAAGTGACCATCAGTAAATATAACATGCATTTGCATAAACAAAAAACATATATTACACAATTATAATCACATAGAGAACCATTCTAATAATCTATTATAATTATCATCATATACTTATGCGTCGCAAATCAGTCGGGGACATACACGGTAGTGGTATCATATTCGGTAATACGCCATTATCACATTCTCGACGGTGCGCATTCACAACATCCGTATTTAGGTATTCTCATTTTTTTTTTTTTTTTTTTTTAACAATAAAATATCGCATTAATAATAATAAGAATACTGATGCAACATAAACGCGTACCAATAATAAAAAATATATATCTATGCTATATACTCGTATACTACATACATACATAATTCCCATCATATTAAAAACCTATCCAACCCTTTACTTCTCTTTTTATTCTAGTACAACATATTATCGTGTTTACTTAATATACTTTTATACTTTAAATACATTTTTAATACTTTTATTATATTCTTTATAAAATACTTGTTTCCACTACAAATTTAAAAGTAGGTCACGCTTCACTGTTTATTCAGTATATAATAGAGTAACAAGAAATACGGAATATATAATCGGAAAATGTATTTAATATTCATAAGACCCCAATTGTGAATGTTGACTGGTAAAATAAATTCGGATATTGTGATAATAATACGTTAATACTTAAAATTGAACAGTACATAAGTTGTTTTATTTATTCAAACCTTGTATATACCATACTGATACTATTAGTGTGCGTGCATGTGTGTGTAATATATGATAGTCAATCGACTGACTGTATTACCAGGGGGCGTATTTAATGGGAGGGGCACATGGAGCCCATGCCCCCCGTTTCATCGTATTTTATACTTTTTTATTACTATGGAAGGTAAATTTTAGAATGGAATTGAAAACCTGGAATGTAATCTAGAAAGAAAAACTAGTAGGTTTCCATCCAGCTAGGCATCGATTCAGTAGGTTTTCCAGTGGTTTCATCCATTGCATTGTAAAGAATATTATAAAAGCCTTTTATATTACTCGAAATCATTCCTGTAACTACATGCACATTGCACATCTGAAATGTCGTTTTCTTCACTTAAGAGAATTAAAGCCTACTTAAGATCAACTATGGAAGAAAATAGATTAAATGTATTAGCATTGCTCAATATACATCCAGAAATAATTATAAAACCCGGAGAAATAGTTGATATATATGCTAATAAACACCCAAACGCCTTCAGTTATTATAACTACACAAATATGTTTTATTAATTACTTTACGAATTAAATACACATTATTTTAAAATAAAAATATTTTAAATAAAACACATGTATTTTGGTTACTTGGTTAAAAATAAGGCCATTGAGATGGAAAATACGAGTTTTAAGTATGTAATATAAGTTATAACTATGTGTAATTTGAATTATTTGTTTGTGCTCACCCCCTTATAAGACATTTTTAAATACGCCCCTGTGTGTTACTGTATTATAACATTAACCGATATATTTTTTGACATGAAAATGAAATCGAATGATAAAAAAAGAAGACAAACAGTAAAACCAATACATTCCTCGCTTCACTCCTAATTTAAAAAATTCTAAGAATGAAAATTTAATTTGTTGATTTCATGTTAATTAAAAAAGACAAATTAAGTTAAGTTAGTAGCTAAGTTAACGGAAACCCTAAAGTAACTAGTTTTAAATTAAAAAGTTTATTTAATTTTAACTTTTTAAATCGTTAATGCTTAGCCTTACAATGTCTTCTTGAGAATCCGATTAATTATTAAAAACACTAAGTTTTGATGATTTTAATTCATATAGTAACAGTTTTTAAACTTTTGGTGCACACGGACCCCTGACGAAAGACTTTTAGAAATCGCGGACCCCTTACCAATTTTCTTTCGAATACTTTTTTTACAAAATATCTCATGTTATCATAATCAATATTTACCCATAGAGTCACCGCCACAGATATATAAAACAACTGGGTAGCCGACTTGGGGATTATTATTGTCGCCAATCCTTGTCTAAGAGGTGAGTGTTTCTGTTTTATAGTATTGATAAGGAACGATGTTATAATATTTAAATATTGTACAGTAAAGTTCCAAAATAATATCTTATCACATATCATATCAGTTTAATTTGTAAACATTCACCTCTTAAATAATGATTGGCGGCCATTTTGTTGGCGACTTATTCTTATACGTATAGACCATAGCAGTCGGCTATCTAGTTGTTTTATATATCTGTGGTCACCGCGAACCTCCGACATGAATATCGCGGACCCCGCTGATCACAGTTTAAGAACTACTGTCATATAGTAATGGGTCAATAATATAATATATATATATATTCTAAAATCAATCACTGAGTAAGTTTATTTAAAATGTAACATGACAGCAAGAGACAACAGCTGCCACGGATCTTTTTAAAAAAAAAACCTTTTGTAAGACTCAAATATATATTTCCAAGCATATTTTGTCATTTTTTATTAGTAATAGAGTAATAGAGTAATAGAGTAACATAGAGTTCTATGTACTCGTTCATTTAATTTAAGATTCCGAGCGTAGCAAGGGAGCTATTGGTTTTACAATGCTGTTTTTTTTTCTTAGTTCTAGTCTGTGGACACGGTTTTTTCTAAATAAACTTGCTTCGATTATTACGTGCAACTTTTCTGAAAGCTCGAGTTGACTGGATTATCCTTTAAGAGATCATTTTTTTGATTTTCGACGATATTTTTTAAATGAAAGCACTTAAGTGGGGAAAAACGTAGGAAAACGTACAATTTCACGTTTTCATTATTTTATAAAAACACGGACGACGTTTTATACTAGAAAAATAAATTTAATCAAAAAATCACAAGATACCTTTCTTGTTGCCTCTTTGGTTTACTTTCTTACGGTATCATCGCCAAAACTTTTGAGCCACTTTTGAGCTTTTATGGATTTAGGGATATTTTTTTTTAAAAAAATATTAAATTTCACAGTCAAAGTTTAAAATTTTCGAATAGAAACGATTTCCGGTTGTCAGCCAACAAGATTTTGTACACCGAAAAGGTCTGCCCCACAGGGGTGGTTCTAGGAATCAAAATTCGTAAGGGCACCACTGGCGGTTCCGAGGAGAGGTGATAGGTAAATCGTCTCTCTTCCAGGACAGTGTTTATGTTTTATATACAAAATATTTTCACCTCTTCCCCTAAAATATAGTTAGACACATTATACAACGCAAACACACCAGTGCATGTTGTGTTTACGGTGCGTTAATATAAATTTATTACAATATTATGTAGCACAACGGCGTAGAATCTTCGAGTATGTTCTAACCATGTCACAATACCAAACATTTGCTGCAACAAGCATTTATATCACTTGCATACAATGCGATTCTAATGCATAATAGATGATAACACATATAATATCAACTTTCAAAAAAAAATATTATAAAACAAATAAAAAAATATTCAAAACTATAAGACATTATACTCTTATATTTTGAGTGGAACGAGGAATGCATTTGTTTTATAATGGTGTTTATTTTTATTTTTATTTTCTGTGAACAACTTTTCTACCAGTACCTAATTCTGCACTGATTTACAATGGTGGCTCTTTTTCAGAAAAGAAATCTGACTGGGGTGGTACTTTAAGCAGGTCATTTTTTAATTTTCATTTTTTAAGCAACCCAGCACTAGAATAGTTAATCTCAAAATAAAAATAATTGATAAAATTATTTTTTTAATCTACAGTTAGTTTTAATCTGAGTTATTTTAACTGGACATTTAATGACGATTGATAAAATGGCCCTAAGTAGATAGTGTATACTACTTAATAATATTATTCGTGTCATTCTATTCGACGCGTCGGTTCATATAAGCTCTATTTTTAGATTCTGAGAGAAGCAAAGAAGCGTATGGTTTTTTACCAGAAGACTTGCTAAGTGTAGCAACTTTTCTGAACGGAAATCAGTGTGGGAAGGTACTTTAAGGGGGCAATTTTTCAATTTAACAATTATTCATATTATTTAGTGTAAAGTACAAACATTTGTATGGTTTAAATTAGTTAATTTAATAAAACTAATTAAATAAATTTATATTAAATTTATATTAATATTAAATAAATAAATTTAAATTAGTTAATAAAGTTATTAAACGCTGAAAACAATAATGCCTAGTATATTTATTAAATATAATATAAATGAATAATTTTCATACAAATTATATTTTGTTTAGTAAAAAAGTAATGAGACATTAATATTATTAAACCATGACCAATTTTATATTATACAAATATAAGTTTAAACTACATATATGAGACAATTATGTAAAAAATATAGGAAAAAATAATCCTAACAAGTAAAATGAACATAAAAAAATGATAGGTGAACGAAGTATACTACTTTTATACTTAATCAACTTCCAGTTTTCGAAAACTGCCGTTCAAAGTATTAAAACCAGCAACTAATTCACGATTTTGAGCTTCTCTTCTACTTCTAGTCATAATGTTCTTATCAGATAGTAACTTCATTTTGTCTAAAGCAAATATCGCTTCACGATTGGCCAACAATTCTTTTTTCCATAAAGCTAAACAAAAAAAAATTACCAAAACATGCACTTACTAAGAACATAATGATTTATTTACCTATCATTTCGGCCATTGGCATTTCACCGCCATATTCTTTAGGCAGAACTTTTTTGTCGAGATCCTCGTGTAATTCAGAAAGTGAATTGTATATCTAAAAAATATTTTGATTATTTTATTTTCCACGGTTTTGTAATAAAAATAACCAATGTTATTTATAAGAAACAATAATTCAGCTATAATTAACTTAATTCAAAGTGATTTATTTCTAATTTTGTTTTGCCAAATTCTATACCTACCAAATATAAAAATGATTAAAACCCTGATTTTCTTAAACCTCGAACTCAAATGCATACATATAAACTGTGATAATTTTTTATTATTGGGAAAAAAAAATTATTAATTAATTTACGAGTTATTGTATTAAGTTTATAGGTGCATACAATTTTTATTCGTTTAATTGTGCACTTTATAATTAGGTATTAATTTTATAAGTTCTAGTTTGATTAATGCATTTGAGCGATAATGTTTTAAACTTAAATGCCTTCTCAAAGGCGTTGTACGAATAGTGTGTGAATTAAACTCACCCCCTTGAGAAAAAATGTCTTTGCACAATAATTACATAATAAGGCGTAATCATTGTTATACCAGGATCTATAATAAAATAATCCCAAATAAACATATTATAAGTTATAACACAAACTTTAAAGTAAAATTAAAAAAACAAAAACAAACTATCATGTACTCTAGAAAAACTCAGAAACACAAAATGGGAAAAAAACTTTTGTTTACAAGACATTTTGTTCTTATAAATCAAATATAACTAAAAATAACCGATAAACCTATATAATTTAAATTGTATTTAGCTTACACTTCCAGAATGTTCCACGAATATAATAACATGATCATTGCGATATCTTGGAAAAAATTAACTTTAAATTAAATTTAAGAAACAAGCGGTTCTAAAATGTTACATTACCATTGTTTTTTGTCATCCTTATTTCGGGAGGGGAGGGGGGGGGTGAATCGAATATTTAATTTTAATTTTCAAATCTATATTAAAAATTCGATAAATTGGCGGAATATTAGTTTAAATACATTTTGGTGTTGACATTTTTAATTTCCGTTCATCTGTCGACGACATTTTCCACTTTAACGTTTAGTTAGAAGAGTGTAATGGCACATAATTTATGTGGTGGCATAATTTGAGAAGTTTGAATACTGTTCCACTACTTTCACCCTGTATGTGCTGATAACAATAGTTCTGATAAAATAAAATAAAATTTAAATGTATAACATAAAAAAAAGTTTATAAATTCGAGGTACAACTTTAACGAACTTTAAATTTTAATGAACGTTAAGACCCATCCCTAGTTATCAAGTTGACTGCCATGAGTACCATAATTGGTACTCACTTGATTTGTATTATAGCTCTATAAAAATACCGTGGCAGTCAACTTGTTAAAACATATTCACAATAGATTATATACTATAGAGTATACCATACTATGTATTTATTATAAAACTGTAGGTATGTTATAAATTATAATCAATAATTTTTAGACCTTCATTCGGTTTTTTATTTTTGAACTGAGCCTCGATTGAAAAAAATCATAACCAAACTTAAGCGGAGTTGGAACGTTCAACAAGTGTGCTGATTTATGTCTCATAGGATATGATTGCTAAATGAAAAATACACAAAAATAATGGACAGTTAATTATAACATGCGAATATAAAAGTTATATTTTAAAATTTAATTAATATAGTTTACCTCTCCCCATTTGACAAGAGTTGCAAACTCAGTGGGTGTGAATAGAGTCAAGTGGGCCGGGCTAACGGTTGCAAAATCACCAAAGTGTGTGTAACCCATCACCTGATTGATTTCATCGTTCATTAACGTCTCATAAGTCAGCACGTGTACACTACTCAAGTCTTTTCGGTTAAATTTCTGAACGTTAAAACCTTCTGTGGATTTAATGGAATAAAATAAAAATATAACCAAATACAGGTACAGGTTTTAGCACAACATAAACCATTTGCCTTAATATTTTTTCTTTTCACTTTTACGGCTTAAAATATAGGCAAAACATTTAACGCATTCATACAAAAACATGTTACCGCGATAATAAGTGTAATAAGTCCGTTAATAATAATAAAAAAAAAATGTTAAAATGAATAGTATACATATTTATGTTTATTAATTAAAACATCATTAGTTTGATGTAAATGTAATATATTAAGTAAATTAATATAAAACATTTATACTGTTAGAAAAACAAATTATATTCAAATCTAAAATTACAAATTCGGGGTATCATATATATTCATAAAATGATGTTGATTTAAAGAATAAAGAATAAGCATACCATACAAAAAAGAGCTGATACTTGGGACGGGTACGGCCACTGTTGTAGTTGGGTAGTTGAGAAGGTGGAATATATAAAGTTATTTAATTTATACCTATAACCAACGATAAACCTTTGCTAACGAAAAACGATTCGGAGCGAAGTTCGGCTAAACATGTTTAAAAACATCATGATAATTACAATATGATTTGATTTTAAAACGCTAAAAAAAAAAACTAAATTACACTCAATTTTTTTTTTTTTAAACTAAACAGCATATATAATAAGAAATATTGTTTGTAAAAAACGTAGGCCGAAAAAAAATTAAAATATAGGAATCCTAGAGCCGTAAATTTATCAGTTTTTATTTTTCATTTGCCGGATTTTCTTAATTATTACAAAAAGTACCAGAAAAAATCAAAAAAGGAATTACTTACTCACGAACTATATTAAAAATTCAACAAAAAAGGTCTCTTGTCGTTTTTCTATTGGGGCAATATTTTTTATAGAAGACATTAGCCGGATAAATTTAAAATAATGAAATCGTTGTGCTGCAATTTGAAGAAAACAAAATCGTATTTTTTGGTTTTTCCCAATTATTCTGAAAAATACTTAAGATATCAAAAAAACGGCTTCCTAACATTTTTCAGTTGGAGCAATATTCCTGGTAGACAACATGCGTTGTAAAAATCAAAAACAAGAAAATCGATAACGCCGCAGCGTGCCATAAATATTTGCCGTTTTATCTGTAATTTTCTTTCGGACTTATTATTTTGAAAATTCCATAGAAAATCAAAACATAAAATTTGTAATACACCAACTAGATAAAATTACCTTTCAGAAAAGGTGCTACATTCGTTCCAAAACAAAAAAAAACACATCATAGTAAAACCAATAGATCCCTAGCTACGCTCCAAATCTAAAAGAAAATAAATAAGAACTCGAAAACAACTTCAAATTTCTCTAAAAAATTAAAAATAAAAAGTAAATCATAGATCTAATCACTATAAATTTCCTAATTTTCTCACCTATAGATTTTTGAATTTAAGTTGAAGTTTTAGGAACTTTTGTAAAATAAGTTTTATCATTTGGAGTTTTCATATGAGTTTTAGGAGTTATTATGTTGATGAGAGGTATAATTTGTAACACTAGTTAATTTCACCTAACCTATTAGCAAGGTTTAATGTCTTAACTTTTTCCGACTTCTTAAAAATATTAAATAAACAGTCATATCATATTATAGTCGCCTCTTATGCCATAAGATGAAGGAAATGTAAGGAATTGGGTTTGGATCGTATACATTAATTACTATACACAGAAGTAAGATGGCTATCACGAGGTCAAGTGTTTAATCGAGTTATTGAATTGAAAGAAGAATTAGAATTATTTTTTGAAAAAGAAAATAGTATACAAAGTATACAAACATTTTTTTCGAAATGAAAAATGGTGTTATATTTTGGCATACTTGGCTGATATATTTAAAAAACTAAATGATCTTAATGCGTCAATGTAAGGACGTCAGGAAACAATAATTTCTTCGACGAATAAAATCAGAGGGTTCAAAAACAAAATTGTATTTTGGAAATCGTCGATAATTAAAGGGGATTTTTCAAATTTTCCAACATTTTCAAAATTAACGATGGGGAAAACCAATATTAAAGAACTACAACAACTTATAATTAAACATCTTGTACATCTTATACTCGAAGAAAATATTGAACATTATCTTCCATCATTGATCAATGAACATCTGCAGATTGGGTCGTGTTTCCATTTGATTTTACAGACAACGTGAATGAACTTGATCTTACTAATGACGAAAATAATGAATTCATTGATAAGTGTTCTAGTTCTACTATCCGAATATTATTTAATAGTCGGAAAAATAACATAGATTCCTTCTGGTTAAATTTAGCTTCAGAATATCCAGCTATTTCTCAGAAAGCGATACTATTGTTTGGTAGAAATCGTTTGAAAAATGTTAAACCTGATTCGTGTCTTGCTGTTTCAACTGTTTCACCCCGAATAGAGGAATTATGTAAAAAAAAATGCCAGTCTCAAATATCACATTAAATTTGTATCATTAAAATATTAAATTAAAACAATTTATTATATGTCAATATGACATTATGTATATTCATTATTATTTATTTGTGTGCCGTGAAAATTTTTAAAACGATCAAGTGCGCCGTTATGTAAAAAAGGTTGGGAATCCCTGTCCTATGGTATAAATATAACATAAAGTACCTAGATAATGATGATAGGTACATGATAATAAATTATTATTGTCAACTTACTGGCAGTACCGATGATAACCCGTCTACCATGGTTATCCCTAAAAGGTGATACAAACAAGTATCCAGAATCGATGATTTCATTAACTGATGGATTTAAACAGTCGACATTCAAGAAGTACATAGGATATTTTTGTCTCAAATTCAAGTATTTAAGTAACATTTGCTGAGCCATTGGTAAACTGAATTTTTTAGTACGTAAAAACCGTAATAAAAATCTTCCTTCTGAAACATTAAAGTTGTTTAAATAAATGCGTTTTAAAAAAAAAAATGTTAAAAGAAATAAATGAAATAACACATTCGTTACTGATATGTACATGTACATATATTATGCAGTAGGCAATATTTTTTTATTTTTTTTTTTTTTTATTAATATAATTTGACAAGTATACAAATATATCTACATACAATTGTGACAAAATTTATTTAAAAAAAAAAAGATTATTCGTTAGATCATTCCAATTAATTTTGTATACACATTAAAATTTAAAATTATTAATTATCTAATCGGATCATATTAAAAGTCATTGAAAATGTTTGAATAATTAAATTTGCAAAATACATTTTTATAATTAGGTAGTAAAATAAATTGTCTTTACGTGTCTTTTTGAACAAAGAAAATACATTTTGTTGTCATGTATTCACACCAAATGTTGAATATTAGAAATGGATAAAAATAAAACCTACATATTATTTCAATCATTTTTTCATACAAAATTATTAATTTTCTATAAAAAAAAAAAACGTTTCTTCCGTAAAATTAAAAATATTTGCATTATATCCTATGAATTGTATGTATTTTTAAATACAAATTTGCTCTACAAGAAAGAAAATAAAATATACACGCATGTGCAAAAAGTTAACATATTCATATTTTTCATAGAATGTGTAGCGATTAAATTTTTAACTTTATAGAATTCACATTTCACAGAATTATAATAATAATAAATACATTGATTATGACGATTAGGTAATGATCAATATGTTATTTTTCGTACCGGTATTGATATTTTGGACGTCCGAGCTTTTCGATATCCACTGGCGGAACGCCAATAAACTTTGAGTACGGATATTTTCATCTTCTCGTAACTCTTTCAAAGCAACCAACTGTACGTCTTTCGGCAAAGTGCATGGTTCTGGAGGCCGGCACCAATCTTCTGTCATTTCCGACTGTGAACCATGCGAAAAATATCCGGCGGACATTTCGGAAACCTTAGTGGGTGACATGTCTGAAAAACATACGCGAGTTAGGCAATTTAATATTAAATGTCAACTGTCTACAAATCAATAATGTTGTTCCCTTGCAACATTTCTAATTATATTTTAATACTTAAACACTGATAAATAATAATTTTGGTTTAGATTAAAAATTGCCACGGATAAGCTAACAACAATATTAGTCATGATAATATATTGATACATCAACACCGCCTGAGTACTCGTATTGTCCGAAAGACATTAACTGCTCTAAAACTGACATACCTACTGGAAACAACATTGAAATATACCTAACAATAAAGATAAAGTCTACCTACTGTTTATATCTGCTGTTAGAGCACATTTAATTTAAAATAATATGTAACTTATGACAAATCATAATATTTAATATATTTGTACCTATATGAAAATATTATTAAAATTTTGTACAACTTACCTACTTATAAATCGTACATTATTTATTTATACGCACCTGATGTTGAACCGTATACGATTTGAACATATAAGTGGACAATTTTTTGAAAAGAACTATTTATTTATAATACTTTCTCTTGCGGTGATTCAAAACTGAATAGGTAGTATATTCTTTCCTTATTGATCAACAACGGAAAGATTTTATTATTAAAATACTTTTCGGAGGATACTTCAAATATCATAATATATCCCTACCTACTACTACGACCTATACCGGCAAAATTCTCCCTACCTATAACTATTTAAAACAAACAGTGCTTATTAGTGTTTGTCTTTAATATTTTCCGTGTGGAGTAGCGAAAAAATATTCATAAACAAGAAATATGGAAGTATGTATACAGGTATAGGTATTCTACCCGACCGTCATCGATTTTGCTATTAGGTATCATTAATTAGGTATTTAAATATATTTAAAACAAATGTTACCTGTTTAAAAAAAAACTTTTTTCTAAATAACGATTTGTTTTTTTTTTTTTTTGCTACATTATTATAATAGATAACGATCAAATAATATAATGTAAGTAAATTTGAACAAAGAACAATAGGTACAATAGAAGTACCTATAGTTTGTATATGTACGTTTCGGTAAAAACAATAACATTCGATGACTACATTTTTATTAACTGGAAAATCACGTGAATAATAAAATCGCAAGGTAATTCTTGCTGGACATTATACTAATGTACATAATATTGTTAATATTATGGTGTAAATAAATAATGGTGAAAAAAAAAACAAGAAGATTTATTTCACAGCGTTACAGGCGCGTTTCTCGTATAACTTTACCAAATTAACGACCATGTCATTTCGATCATTACAAGCGGTTACTAGACAATATTCCATAATATGGGGATACGTCGATATATTACACATATGTTTGCGTTTTACTAATTTATAATGATAGAATCCAATGTGTGGGATCCAAAACCGAATTGATTTCACTAGATAGAGATCTGAAAATATGCATACAGAAACGGATGAAATGGTGCAGATTTTCCAAAATTTAACACCCGAAAAGTTACCTAAACATGGAGTTTTGGTATTACAACTGGATTTTAAATTCTGAGCACAACCAAGGATATATTTATATGACATATTCAATGGGTTTTTTTTCGGTTTTATGCGGATAAGATTGTTTTGGCTAAGGTACATGAGGTTGATCAAAGGTTGTACTTAGTAGTAAAACAAAATGTTAAGCATTATGTTGTCGTTTTTTTATATACGTGTTTATTATTCAAATTTCGACGAAAATCGTAAAAATTACGGGAATACGCATACAAATACATATCTAGAATATACAAATCTGAAAAGTAAAAATCTGGAAATTAAAATGCTTAAATTTTAAGTATCTACTGCCTTGAACTATTGATATACCTAAGAATGCATATTAATGAATATAATAATAATGTACAATGTATATACTAAAAAGTTGGCACATGATAATGCAATTAATAGGGCTTGGTTTTGCATGTAAAAAAATTTTTATTACATATATGCATGTATATTTACATATTTTGGGTTTTTCTAATGCATATAAATCCGAACCCTAGTATGAAGTAATAACTAAGTGTAGTTTCTTTTTAAAACTTGAAAGTATAAAAAAGTCAGAAGTAAATTGAACGGCTACTAATTCAATGTATAGAAATGATTTAAATAATGAATTTTTAAATCAATGCATTCGTTTCCAAAGTTATAAACACAATTCAAAAGATCATTAATGTTAATAGTTATGTGAATTGTATATTATTTAATATTTTGTTATATTAATTTGTTTTGAATAAAACAAACTTTTAATTATTAAACCAACATATAAAAAATAAAATATATTCGTCTTCATCTCCTTCGTCCTTTACTGTCCAACTCGATGCATTTAAAAAAACAAATTATTAATATAAAACACTATTATAACACAGAAGGTATAATAGAATACTCTGGTCACACGGCATTCAAATATGTAACCAAGCCTTTTAACATAAGAAGTATAGAAGCATTAGACAAATATCTGGAGTTCATTGGTATATAACCATCAAAGCAACTGCATAATGATATACAAATGACAACAGCCAGTGGTGTGGCAAATGGGTGGAGGGGCCCACTGGGCGGGTGGGTAATAATTTAGTTTCATAATTATAAACGAATAACAAAAAATGAATAGCATTTTCATATTGTACAATTTAGATTATAACAATATTATCAACCGTATTATTTTATATTTTTATTAACCTAGTATTATTTTTTTTAAATCCAATTTTACTCAAAATACAAATTGTCACTATAATGATTTCAGGTAAAACTAATTTAATCTAGGCTTTGGTCAAATATTGGGCAGAATCAGTTGAAAAGTCTACATATATTAGCTCTGAAAAGATGTTGAAATTGATCGTAATGTTGCAATTGACATGTTCGCAAAGTCTACAGATCAGAATTTATGGTTATTAATATTTGAATTGTTGTGCAACTTAACACTATTAAAGGGAGAGTAATCTTTTAAAAAATATTGTCAAATTTCGTGTTATTTTAATTTATCTTACCTATAATTATTGCTATGTTTTTAAAATTGTTTACGAAAGGTAATCTCCCTCCTCCCCCCATAAATGTTTTTCATAGAGAGATAAAAATCCAGCGTTCAATGTGGGTAGTCTTTGAGTAGGTGGGGGGGGGGAGTATCGAAAAATATACTTGTCTCAAAAAACATTTGAGTTCACCACGCCACTGTCAACAGTAAACGAATTAGTGAGTAGACTTAGTAAGAAATTTCATTCCATTCAAACCAAAATCCTTTAATTTCTCGTGTGCCGTCATTAACTATTCCTAAGGCGCGGTGTCCACTGGTGCGATGCGATAGGCGATACGATAAGAAATTCGAAACCGTATCGCTTACTACGTATATTTCTTCGTAAACAACTAAAACAATGCACACTGGCGCGATTACAAAGCGGCAAACGATAATTATCGGTGTCGTATCGATGCGGGCTGCACAGCTTGTCGGTCGCTCGGCGACAGTATCGCGCGATTTGTCACGATGTCGACTACACAAGAAGACCGCAGCGCTGCTATTTCTTTTGTAAAATTAGTAGAACAAAATCCATGTTTATGGAACTATTCTTTGAAGACATATTCAAGGACTGATATAACAGGATATTGCAAATCTGAAATTCGTATTCATTTTTTTTCAAGTTTTTTTGATACTAGTCGCAATAATATCCGGTAGCTTTCTAAGGTCATTCTATAAAACTCTTTAAATTTGGTTTCGTGTTTGAGAGAGTTCGCGGGACACCACTGCCGAACTGTGTATAATATTATTAAAGTTATATGGATGTATCCAATATTTTCTTTTTTTCAATTTCCGCTGACGAAGGTATCGGTAGGCAAGAATGACATCCTCCTCCGAAGAGCTCATGATCACGACTGAAAATGTGTATCGTATCGCTTATCTGTTCTCTCCGGTGGGCACCCGAGTGTTACGCCGATAAAAATCGTATCGGGCGATTTTTATTGCATCACCTATCGCATCGCACCAGTGGACACCGCGCCTAACAATTTACCTAGAAACTTAAAAAAAAAATGGCCAAGAGTTACTTTTGCATAAATATCCAAAAAAATAATTTAAAAAAATAATTTTTTTTTTTTTTAGGAGGTTCTGTTGTTAAACGATTTCCCCACTCTCGTCCACCACGTTATTACATTATCTTATATCTCATTTGCTTATTGTGTTTTTTGTTATATAGATTATAAATAAAGAGATAAAAAAAAAAAAAAAAAATTTCAAAACAAAATTATTTAAACGGTTTTAATTTATTAATTGTCCATTCTCGTTTAGTTTAACGAGCCTTGAAAGTCAAATACTCATGAGAGGACTTATAGACGAATTCGCTATCCGGGACAGGTCGTCAATCGGTCGCTAGAGAAGATGGTGGCTCCTTTTTACCACATAATTTCTCGCCCGGCAAAAGAAGCGCCCGTGACCAAGTGTCGGACGGGCGGCTCCAAATACATTGACGCCTAACACTGCGCCCGATCACTCCCACTCTTCTTTATTAATTATTAAATTTTAGAATAGAAATGTATATTACGAACATTTAATGAGCAGAAAATATTAAAAAATTACGATTATGGATGAAATAAGTGTAATATTAGTAATTAGGAAGGGGGAGTGGCATACATAATATGCCCCTGGGTCGGTTTTTTTTTTTTTGAATCACAGAAACGATATTTTAAAAACTTTGGTCGCAATATATTGGCGTTCGGCTCCAAGAAAGACTCACCGCCCGTTTTCTAAGTCAATATTATCATATGTTCACATTACCCATTACCAGTATCGGTAATCCTGGATCACGGAGAATGTGTTCAATGTTATAATAATGTTGAAAATGTCCCGGGAGCCGCTCGCTAGGAAACACCAGTCGATCGACGTTTCTACCGCGACGTGAAGTCTGCAGATACGTAACCCATAAAAGTCTTAAGCACTCATACAAAGAAACAATACGTTTGATGCGATCCGAAGTCCGCACAACAACAACAACAACAACAACAACAATAATACATTCAAAATACTTATCGTTCTGTTCACGCGAGAAGTAAGACATAATAATATTATTATTTATATTGTATTAATATAATGTCAAAATTCGTAACCCATGCAGGACTTTGATCAACTACGGTCGTCCGAAAAATAATATAATAATATTACGTGCTCATCGCCGCGTCTATAATAATCAACCGACAACAATAATCAAATAAATAATAATAATTTCATTATCTTTCACAGTTATTTTCTAATATGAGTACCCTACTTGTTTTGATCAATTCGTGATTAATAATTATTTATTGTGCGTACAGTAGATAGCTGTAGATACTGTAGGTATATAATATTACGTTATTAATAATTCCATTAGCGCATATGTACGTTGATAATTAAACATATATATATATATATGTATACAACGTGATCAACATAACGTGAGACTATTAAAACTTCTTTCGAAATTTGTTTTTTTAAGAAATCTGAGAATAAAAAGAGAATAGCTCTAAAATGTTACATTACGGTTTTTTTTTTCGTCACCAATATTTTAAGGTGTGCAACCACTATCTACTTTTGATTTTCAAATTCTATAAAAATTCCATAAATAGATGGAGTGGTAATGATAGAATGATAGATGGAGTTTAAATAAATTTTGGTTTTGAAATTTTCGATTTCTGTCAACCCGTTGACGATGTATTCACTTGTACGTGTCAGTAGTGGTGGAACACTATTAAAATTCCACTCATCGTGCCGCTACACATAATATATTTCATATTTAATATACATAACATGCAATTTGCAAAAGTGGTTTCACTCTCTAAAAAGCGACAAAAAAAAAATATATATTAATGTAAAATTTTACAGTTACTTATTTTATAAATGGTCTAAAAAATGCCTCGCATTATGTTGATCACTCTGTATATATATATATATATATATATATATATATAATAGAATAGCTATATAAAAGTATACCAATAAAGTATCTAAGTGTATATCTACAGACCAGTAGAGGCTCGTGGTTGTTAGGAGTGATTAGGCGATTTTTTTTTTCAACGCGAATAACATTATATTTTTACTTTTTATTGTTTTTAGCCTCGGGGGCGATCCAAAATTTGGGTCAAGAAACATCGAAATCATTGTGTTCATTGTGTTCATCATTGTGACGACGGTGTGAGGGTTGAAGTTTTTACATTTTCAGAGCTAGAAGCAGGGACTAGAAGCAGGGACTGGAACCCCCCGAAAAACTTGGAATATTGGGAATCGGAACCGAATTTAAATATTTTCGAATAACCGGAACCTATATTTTTTAATAATAAATACCCCTTTTAGAATGATGACACTAATTTCGATTTATATTTTTGTTTTTTAATATTTTATTCTGATCTATTTTAATTTTTAATTTTTAAAAGATTAATTAATTTAATATAGTATAATGTTTCCTCAATAAATTAAACAATAAAAGATAATATAGGTAAGTAAGTACATAATAAATTGTACTCAGTAAAAAGCTATACCTAATTACCTATAGTTGTATCTAATATTTGGTTGCGCTAGTTGATATGGTCGATAGCTACCCTAAAATTAATATTTATCAAATAAAAACCCAATATTATTGTAACTCAACTTAAAAGTAAATATTCAATAAAGAACAGTAAAACATCAGAATTGTAATTAATATTGGCATATTAGCATAGATACTAAAGAATAGAGGAACAAAATACTTGGGACTGATTCGAAACTATTATTAACCGGAACCCTAACCTTAACGTTCGATTTGTATTTTACGAAAACCTGGATTAGAACCAGAACATGTAAGTAAAACAATTGAGTCAGTCCCTGGCTGGAAGTGATTAAAGCTAATATAAAAAGTGACTAAATAACTAAATTCAATCAAAAAAAACTTAAAAGTAACATATTTAAATATATTTTCCAAAATTATATTGTTATTAAATATTTTATTACGGAGAAAAATAATTACTCGAAAACATTATCAACACACCTAATAAAAAGTAAAATGTTCTAAATATTGAACAGACCAATTTTTTTTAAAAAGTTTCTTTAAATTTTTGAATTTTCATGATTCAAGATCTGTTTGATGCATATTTTGTTATAACTTAAAAGACTTGTTTTAAATTTTAATCCATATCCATACTAATATTACGAAAGGGTGTTTCGGTGTTTGTTTTTTTGCCCATAAGATACAGGATATAATTGTATATTTGATGCATGTATGCTGTGATACAGTCTAACCCTATCTATATTCTTTATACTAAGAATATAAATGTATTTTTCCGAAATCGGTATAAACGTATTAATCAACAAATCGAATATGGTCGAAGTCCGTTTATATGGTCACGCGCAGATTTTTTATAGTTTTTTTAAATAAATCCTGTAAATTTCTATAAACTAATTACGGGTGATTTGTAAAAATTTATTTCGTGCTGATAAATACGATTGACGAATAGGTACCTACTTAATATATTATAATTTATTTCGAAAATACGAGTACAAGAGTGCATTTTTTTTTCCCTGTGTAGTATAATATTTCAGTAAGTACACATATTATAATACACCCCGGGTATCGCTATGACAGATGTTATTAGAACAATTTTCAAACAAATTACGTTATGTAAAATTATATTACTAGATATAGGCAGATAAAATAAATTCGGGAATTTACGGTATAGGTACACCGGTCCGCTGTACGGCATTAATCTCTTACGTAACTTAAAACTACTAACAGTAATTATTAACAAATACTTAATCTAATTTGTATATGTATGTGTATGCCTGCTTTCCCTACCGTGACCGTGAATGTTTATTTATTTCCGTCTCAATTTGCGGCGGCAACATTCTACCCACGTTGAAAATCAGGATGTGTGTCCGCTTCAGTCGGGAGTATTTCACAGAATTTCACAGTAGGTCTTTTGATTTCCGCACCCGATGCGATACGAAATGTGACGACTTTTATTATACCATCTCTGCCCAGATGAACCTGTGCTATCCGACCTAAGTTCATTTCGTTGGTGGTAGATTATCTTCTGTTACGATAACTGTATCGTTAGTCTTCAATGGTTGCTTTGTGTTGACCCATTTACCGCTCACCTGACATTGCGGTAGTTATTCGGTATACAATCTCCACCAGAATAACTGTAGGATACACTGAACATGCTTCCAACGCCTCAACCAACCTAGCACTTCTGGAAGCCTGTCAGGCTCTGAAGACAAGTTCAATAGTTCTCCAACCAGAAAGTGGGCAGGCGTAAGAGCTTCAGGCTCATCTGGATTACCTACCCACCGGTGGGATTGGTCTTAAATTAAGATATGCTTCAACCTGGCATACCTCCTATCATCTGAATTTTGTAACCACCCTCCTACTAGAATTATAGCGTCTTACATGAAAATATATAAACTTTTTAGCTTGCTTGTACGTGCTTCTTCTTTACCGTCCGCTAACGCAATTACTTCCTTATTAAAGCACTCATCTTGCACTATTTTCAAGAGAATAGTCTCTGCTTTCTTTAGATGCGTAACGGTCAGGTATTTGGATACTTTAATATTCTTTTTAACTCTTAGATAAACCACAAACAATGATAAACAAACGGTGGTGCATACTAGCTGGTTCTAATCTGATTTTATGTATACCAAGTCGGTGTACTGGTTTTATGCCACCAGAGCTAGTTTGATTTTACGTTGTTCTGGTAATTCTTCCTCCTTCAAATCTACGAGCGATGGAATCCACATACTCTCAGATTTACTTAGCCAACGAGGCCCATTCCACCAAGATTCTGAAACCAACAACTCACCTGGGTTTGGTCCTCTTAAAGCTAAATCAGCGGGGTTTTCGCCTATTTGAACATGATGCCACTGCTTAACTTCACTTATTTCTAATATTTGACTTGCGTGATTGGTGGCGTAGGTTTTTAAACGATCGTATTAGCTATACAACCAACCTAATATAATGGTAGAATCAGTCCAGAGCCAGAAATCCCTTATATTTAGTGCCCATGAATCAGCCACCTTTTTTGCTAACTCGGCTAACAGCACTGCTCCGCAAAGTTCCGACCGCGGAATAGTAGAACCCTTGTGTGGCGCTACTCTAGTTCTAGAACATAAGAGCCTTGTTTGCCATTCACCGCCCTGGGTTTTTGATTGTACATGTAGGCAAACACCGTATGCCTCCTGCGAGGCATTACATAATCCGTGTAACTGGAATTCATTGGTTAATTCTGAATAAACCTTCCTTGGAATTAAAATTCTTTGAAGTTGCTCTAGTTTGCTGCAAAACATCATCCATAGACCTTGAATGTCGGAAGACACTGGGCAATCCCAATCCTTTGCTATCCAATCCATATTTACTAAAGAAGGATTTTATCCTCCAACAACCCAGGTGAAATAAAACCCAGAGCATCAAATATCCTGTTCAGATCTTATAATAATCTTATAATAATAATATTTTAACATGATACTTAATGACGTAATAATATTTATAAAAATAGTATTATTCAAACAATTTGAATTTATACTATCAGGTATATTATTGGAACAGATAAAAATTTAAGCACATATAATACAGAGTGATCAACAAAAGGATAAGACACTCATTATCTCTGAAAATCATAACTTTTTTTCGGAATTTGTTGTTTAGAAAATTTAAGAAACAAGTGGCTCTGTAATGTTACACTGTTTCTCATCCCTAGTTTTGGCAATGAAACCACTACCGATTCTTGATTTTCAAATAGAAACTTATATTGATCATTTTATAAATAGATCAAATTTTAGTTTAAATAAATGTTTGTGTTGACATTTTTAATTTAATGCTCTATTTATAGAATTTGTAATATAAAGTTGCTTATTGTTTCATAAATATCTTACAGAACATTTCCGAAAAATATTTAATAGTTTGCGTACAAATGAGTGTCTTACGGTATATTGATCATTCTGTATACAAGCCTCGTCGTAAATGACTTAAATTTATTTTTATTTTTTTATTTTTCATATCGTTTTATTAAAAAATAATAACCCTACGGCTATAATAATAAAAACAATATTATTATAATATATATTGTGTATTAGTATAATATGGAATGCCAGTGACTATCTTGCAACGAGTACCTACGCTGCGCCTTAAACTCGTATGTTTCGCAATAAATTTACATATATAGGTACTACACGCTGTGTCAACATTAACACAACGGGCGAATACTGTATTATTATTATTATTATTATTATTGTCGTGATATAAATATTTACATTCAAACTGCAGCGGTAACCGAAATAGCGGTTCAATAATTAATTTTTTATCCGCACTACATGTCTACGTAACCGGGAATATCTCGAGTGCGTTTGAAATCTTATCGACAAATTATATAGAACCATCCTAGTACGTCCGGAATCTCATTGACAAATTCTATATTTTAACCCACTACCCAGATATTTATATATATTAAGAAATATTGAAAAAAAATTCAGTTGACACTGAAATAGCAATTCGAACGGCCGCCACAGGAAATACACTCAAAAAAATTGTACTTACCAAAGAAAATATTAACAAATATCGAACTCGTGAAATATCTAAATTGAATCTTGTCTAAAGAATGGCATTTAAACACAAGCTTTTTGTATGGACAACATTTTTAATGTTTAAAAATGACTACATAATAAATAAAGACATTCTCGTGATGTACACTGGGTACTTTAAATGAACTGGGACGCATTAGGGCTACGTTGAAAATTTGATCTTTTTTCTTGGACGTGCTCGGGTGTTCTCATATTCCGAACGCACTTAGAAATCTCGAGTCGGGACGTTGAAAAAGGATCATTTCAGGACGCACTCAAGCAAATCTGACGTGACCGAATTAAAAAGTAATTTTTTCCAACGAATTCAACTTGAACAAATTTGTTTTAATTGATCAGAAAGTAAATAAAGTTATAAATTTGTGGTGACTGGATTTAAAATTAAAAAGTTATTAGTAGGTTTTTAATTAGGTACATAGGTAATATTTTCGTAAAATATTCACTTTTTTTCTATAAATGTACATTTATATAATATGAATGAACTTTTCAAATAAAACGTACACGTCATTTTGTCTCAATTAACGAAACGGTTCATACATTTGTCTTTGTGTTCAAATTTCTAAAAAAATTAATAATAATCTTAAAGTGATTGTGTATAAATCGCTAGTTCAATCGTTGACTTCTTGTAGTATTGTCTTTTAGTGTAATGCTTAATGTGTTTGTAATGTGTAATTCACACATTTGTAAATTTGAAACCGCTTTAAAGTTTAAACTCTTTATTCAAATTTGTATTTAATAAGGCGAAACACAAAAATATTAATACTACATAATGAATACATGGTTTCTAATCTAAAATTTAACTACCGATACCAAACTTTGTGCCATTGTATATCCATTTTAAGTGGAATAATATTATTCTGCTCCTCACCCTAAATACTAGTCATAAAAAAAAAAAAAAAAACACTAATATCACTTTAAATTTAATGAAAACAGCTTGTGCTCATTCTGGGCTACATTATTTATTTTTTGGATTTTGTATTGATAAGATTATAATGTACATAACTTTTACTTATTTGAACATTTAAAAAATTACCAGTTCTCACTTTCTTTCAATAATTTAATAATGGAACAATTATTGCTTGTTGTATTTTAAGAAATATGTTAAAAAAAAAAACCAATAATAATGTTTCTTACAGTTTCTTATAGTTCTAACGTTCGGATTACCGCGATATGTTTAAGGAACCGAGCATTAAATTCAAATTACCGAAATTTCAGAACTATCGAGCATCGACTGTAAAACATTATTTTTAATAATAGGTTGCATGTGCATACATTATAAATTATACTGAGCCTATTAATTATAAAATCAAGGTTTGGATTCATGTGTGTACCTGTTAATGGACATAGTGTTACGTGAGTTTGATTTACCTTATTATAAATGTAATATGAATTATGATCGCATCAGATAATATTGATATTCTAATAACCTTGTGCGAAATAAGGTACACATTACAGTATACTCCGGCGATAATAATTAATATATTCATTTCCATGTAAGAGCGTGAGGAAACAAAAAATTTAAAACTCGTTTTCATTCGTTAATATTTACTTCATATGACATTCAAATACCAATTTGATAGCGGTAGGTACCAACATTCAACAAAGAGTCCATAAATACACGCATTGTACCTATATACTTTCTAATCGAACCAAATCGATGTTTGTAAAAGGGCATAAGAATACGTATTAAGCGTTCTGGTAAAAATACGTAATTTCAAATTATCAATTTGTACAGCGAAACAATGCATTGTTCGTTCATGATTTAAATTTCCGTTAGGTGAATACAATATGAAATTCAATTTAATCGTTTCACGTAATACATGCTATTAAGTCCAAGTTCAATAATATTATACAATATGAGCATTGAATCCTATACCAATAATTTTATAATTTTATAACCTGTATACAATTTTTCGTTTTTCGTTCAATGCGTATTGCCGCAGATTCGGTTTTTTATTTCGGGTTTATAAGTAAAAAAAAAACAACATACTTCGCACGATGGGTGAGCCACTGCTGTAGGTGAGAAATTGGGAAGATAAAATATAGAGGGGAATTTAAATTCATATCTGTATTCAACGGTCAATCATTGCTAACGAAAAACGATTCTGAGCGGAGTTCGTATATAAATGTTTTAAAAAGTCATAATATCACGATTTTCATCGAAATTTGATTTTCAGATTCTTATTAAAAAAAATATATATTACATTAAACTTAACTTTTTCTTGTTGGCCACTAAAAAAAGCTCATAATGAACATACAGTACAATTTTCAACCACTCCTATTTGTGTCTAACAATTTTAACCACAGTACCTACTGATTAGAAATTATGTAATGAGAACTCGCAAAATTAAAATGTCTATAAATAGCTCGAAAATGGCTCAAATGTTCTGTAAGTTATACCACATCTAGAAAAAGTAAACATAAGTTTTATATCAACATTTTAAGTCTCTACGAATATTTTGAACTGAATTACATTAAAAAGATAAAATTTGTTAAAAGAATTATTGTCCCGTTCTTCCTATGTATTTTTCGAGTTTCCTCAATTATTTAAAAAATAAGAGAAAATCAAAAAATTACACTCTTAGTCACCAACTAGATTAAAAATGAAACAATAAAAGGTCTCTTGTCGTTTACCTATTAGAGTAATATTTATGGTAAAAATTTTGTACACAGTAAAACAAATAAAAAAAATATATACAAAATATAAACATTATTGTAAAACTAATACATTCCTCGCTTCACACAGAAATTAAAAGCTGAATTCAAAAAAAATCGCCCTAAACATATTATAATAAATTCAATAAAATGTGTTCATAATAAATTATGAATTCATAATTATGTAAATTTCACCGTTTTTCCGACACAAGTATAAGAAAAATCATTGAAAATATTGAATTGTATAAAACGTAGGTGGTTCCTAAATTATGCACCGCGATGTCACAGAGGTCTATACAATCCGTAAATCCGAAATTCAAATATTAATAATGTATTATGTAATGTTATTTAAAACAAGTTTATTTATTAAATACCTGTCTTAAACCTTGAAGTGAAATGTCATTTTTTTGACATAGGTATCTTATAGAAATTTAAAGTGGGAGGATTATAAACATTTACTACAATTATTATTATCATTCTCAAAAAATTAAAAATGTATTTCATTGGTAAATAAAAAGTTTCTTTATAATTGAGGGCAACATAAAGCTTACTCCAAAAAATGTTGGATTAAGTTGGTGTAATAAAGACAGAGTTTATTTTTACATTTTCCTTGTAGTTTTCTTAATAATTAGACGAAACCGATGAAGTTTATGGAAATAACGGTTTTATTATTTTTAATTTTGGTTTTTGTTTTTGTAATTCGATTGAAAATATTCGTAGACATACAAAACTTCCACAGAATATTTTTATTGAGTTTGTCTAGACGTGGAAAAATTGTTTAAACAACCTCACAATCTTTTTTATTTCTAGGCATTTGCCATTTTCGAGTTTTTTTAGTTTATATTTGAATTTATGAGGATACATTTTTTTTTTTTTACAAACATAAATGTTTTTTTATAGTTTAATTTGTGATTCATCAAGTTTCAATTAGCATTAAAAAAAGTTGGGCGTAACTAAGTAATATTCTTTTATTTTTAAATTTTAAGAATAAATGTTTATGAAAATCATAATAATTTTTACGACATCCTTTCAAAACATGCTTAACCGAAAATCCGAAATAAATTAATCTGAGTAACTAGGTAACCAAGATAATTTAGTTACCTACATAAATTAGGTAACTATAACCCAGTTTTGATTGTATAGTATGTATAGTATAAGATATATATATATATCGAGGTAATGAGCATTTGAAATCTAAGAATAGAAATAAATATTTTTATAATTCTAATATTAACAAATCACAAGATATCCAACGACAAATGAAACGTATTAAAAATTGATCACCTTGATCTGTTAACAAGTTGAATACTGCGGGTGTCGTAATGTTACATGATTGCAGAATGTATTCTTTTTTATACATTTTTTTTTTTTCAATATTTATCTAAAATAATCACGAGACTTTTTAACAATACATATCGAGTATTTATAATTTTGCAAACAGTAAGAGATACACAAATATTTTTAATAGTTGCAATTGGTTTTGACCTCCTTTGATACAGATACTTTATTTGGTTTTTTTTATATAACTTTGTAGTGCTTATTTAGGTCGATAATTGAACATCAAATGCGAATTTCTGAAACCAATATAATGTTTATCGAAATCATATATTATAGAAAAAACAGCATTTATCACGGCCAATAACTTTCTCCTTTAAGTATACGCGCGATTAATAAAAAATACGATTTATAATTGGGATTGTTGATGATATTATTATGTAGCTCAGAAACATCAAATGATGAATTTAATTTGTCATATAGGTAATAAATAAATGAAAAGATAAGTATGATTTGTTTTATAAACAAAATCGCTCAGAATCGTTTTTCGTTAGCAATAGATTATCGTTGCTTACAGATATACATTAAATTACCTATAACAGTGTCTGCACCCATCTCCATTATCTTAGGACGTCTTTTTGAATTTATTAATAATAAAATGTACCTATGTCCCCTATATTAATAACTTTTTCATCTTTTCTATAAGCTGTTCGTCGTTTTAAACAAAAATTGTCTATCTTACACATAACCCATTAACAAAATGATAAATCCAATTTGGTGTATGCTAATATTACATTGGTTCTATATAACATGCCGTATTATTGTTATTATTATTAATTTTATTTTTGTTCGAAAACACTATTTTTTCCTATTCAATGTCTACAATGATTCTATGTTACATCACATAAATTAATTGATGGAGACATTTTTAGATTTAGGCCGGCTTGTCCAGATTTGTTGTGCCGCACTTCCACCCAAAACACGCTTTATACAACAGTCGTGTATAGTCTACCAGAGATTTAATTTTCACTCCTTATATACTGTTACACAACAAGCGTATACACAGTGAGTTTCAGTATTTGCGTTCACGTAAAACGTTTATTAAACACTGTGAACGGTTTTTTTTGTTTTCTGAATTGCGTGATAATTCCATTTTTGATGTCATTCTTACGTATTCGAATAAAACTCGTTTGCCAATTAAATACATAACAAAGAAACCCAATACAATCGTTTTATTTTATTATTGTTAAATGAAAACAAAATTTGATTGTAATGGTATTTAGTAGTTTAACATTTTAGGTTTTATACGCCCACTATATATTATGACAACAGAAGTGTAATATGGACATATAGTATAACAAAAATCCCTACTAATAATATAGATGGTATAGATGAGTGAAACATTTGTTTTCCTTATTCACAAGTATATAATGTTCTTCTAGTAAAACAAGCAGTAAATGTCAAATTTTTAAAATTGAGGGTATTTCATATTCGGTGTAATTAGATCATTCTGAATTTTTGTTTCCTCAGTGGAAACTCTACTAAAAATACCTTTAAAATTCATTAAAAAAAGGTTATATTGACCAAAATATTGTCAAATACTAGTAGAAAACACAATATGCACATGTATGTAGCATGTCCTAAAGAATAGTACAGAAAAAATAAACTTGGTAAAAAAAAAATTTCGATAAATTAAAGAATGACTATGACTAATAAACAATGCAAAAAAAAAAATGATTTAAAATAATAATTTTACGGGGAAAAACAAAAAAAAAAAAAAAAATCGAAAAACTCGTTTCCCCAACAATTCAATTGTTTGAAATAGGTACGAACAATACTACTGCTTGTTTCACTAGATCAGTATTCTAGGAAGGTAAATCAAGTAGTGAAATTGTATCGATTTCATTATGCCTCGCGGGTATTTTAATATAATTACGAAATGATCAATGGAACAGGCAATTTAATCGCCATAACGTAGGAAATTAGAAAAAATAAACAATCAATCACCTTTTAGCAATCATAACTAGCAGAATATTAAATAATTACACGTTCGAATAAATATTATGATACGTTTAGTTGTATGCCTAATCAATATAGTTAGGCAGCTAATAGTTTTATAATTTCATTATAATATACGGATACTTAAACATACATGTTTCTAAACAGTATCTTTATTTATCGTTGGCAATCGATAAATATATGAAAATAATATTTATGAAAATCATCGACGAAAATGTGAGTGTTAAATGCAAATGTAGTAAAATATTACTTGACCACCGTAATATATAATTCTGTTTACAATGTCGTGCCAATTTTTTTTTTTAGTCGAAATAGTATATTTATTTCGGATTTATTTGAACCTGAATTTTTAAGGCTAGTTAAATTTCCTAATTACGTTCCAAATCCCTTAATTATTTGTATGTTAAACGATTGATAATAACAATTAATTATTTAATTTTTAATTTAATTTTTTTTTTTTTAAAAAATGATTTAAACTTTCATAAATATCGCTTTGTCAACAAAGGTGAATGATGTTTACAATAGATATGTTGGTATATTGGTATAATGCATTATTGTTTGTATACATTTATCATTAGACCCACACTAGGTAAAAACTTAATAGTCGGTATAAAATCAAAGTATACAATGTACACAAATATATACTAATAGTACTGCTACATACTATACATTGTAACCTACATTGATTTGGTTCTGTACATCAATATTCAACAATATTTAATCCTTAACTGTATTACACGTGTTTTATTTAAAAAACTTATACACAGTAAAACTTCCGTTAACGGTCATCTCTAAAAGATGGTCACCTCTATGCAACGGTCGATTTTTTTTTTTTTTCTGATCCCGTCAAGTGTTTTGGGAAAAATACATTAACACCTCTATATATCGAGCACTCTAAATAACGGTCAAAATATAAGATAAAATAATAGAAAATATGTATAGAAGTATACAAGAAGTGTATAAGAAATTTAAAGTGCATGTCCGCCCAAATTATTTATGGCAGTTATCTTATCGAACTTTTAACGATAGCCCTATGAACACATCGGGTCTGTTTATTTTATTATGTTTCATTAGTTTCAAATTTCGGTTGAAAACATTGCACGTGGTTATGACGGTGTCCAAACGAAAACACCTAACTGTAGCAAAAAAAAAAAATCAAACTGATAGAGTATTATAAAAAAGAAAATGTGACGCGTTCTCGTAGATAAATTTGGAATAGGCAAAACTCAAGCCACCAATTTAATAAAAAATAAAGATACGGTTTTAAAATTATGGAAATCGGTTTTTTTTTTTTTTATGTACTCTATATAGCGGCCATCTAGAAGTATTGCACTTCTGTTAACGGTCATCTCTATAGGAGGGCCATCTCTAAATAGCGGAAATTATTTCTGGTCCCTTCGGCGACCGTAATATAGAAGTTTTACTGTAGAACAATATTTATACATACGGCATATTAATCTAAAAGAACCGAATTTTTTTATTTTTTTTTTTTTACTCACGGCGATTAAGCGTTTTCTTAAGCGGTTTTTCTTATGAGTGCAGTATGTATGATACATTAAATTTCTAAGAATAATATTGTAAATATTTATTACAAAATGACTAGGTATTTTGAACATTTTGTAAAGTGAACAAATAAAAAATTATTTTTTCTAGTGATAAAGCAGTAAAAGTAAACATTTAATTTGTCTCTAAATATGTAATCTTCATACAAATACGAAAATTATTGAATATTAACAGTGGTAGGAAAATACGGTGGGACTCTCTGCATACATGTTACAAAATTTTAAGCAATCCGTTATTTTATATGTTGTAATTAATTAGTTAAAAATAATTAACAAAAATATATAATAACAATGTAACATGAACTGTTATATAATATTATATAATATATAGTACATAATATTATATTTGTTACAAAAGTAGTACCTACTTAACAAAAAAGTAAATTTTCGTCAAATAGTAACTTTTAGTAAAAAAATGACAAAATAATAGCATTACATACTTAAAAAAAATATCAAAATTCATTTGTTCACAGTTTGAAATAAAATACTGAATAGTAGCCAATAATAATGGCATTATTGATATTAATCTAAAACTCTTTTTAAATCAATTTAAATATTTTTATACAGTATAAAACATTTTCAATTTTAATATTTATTGTTATTGTTATTTCCTAAACAAGTTTTGTAAATAATATACAAGGTAAATATTTAGATATCAAATATTAATTTTGTATTTATATTTACACTAATTTTAAAATCACTCATAAGCCTGGATACAATTTTATAGCACTTAAAAGTACTAAAATAGTAATAATGATAATAATATACAATTAATAAATTAATAAAATAAATAAAGACGTTAATTAAGTGTAGTTAATCAAAATTACCTAAAAAATATAAAATAAATCATGCTTAACATATACCAGCAAAGAAAATAGCACTATATAACTTAATTGCTTAAATATACAAAATAAAATTGTATGCCCACCCTGCTATTTTTGTCTATATCCTATAATAATTAGCAAATTCTATAAAATCTGAATGCTTCCTATAAATTTACTGCTTTTTAATTCCATTATTTGACCTACGAAATTCCATTATATACATATATTAGTTATTTATATATTTTTATATCTATGTTAAATACCTAAATTTTATAAAAGCAATCAATACATCATACAAATGCATTGGTATTTATCAATGCCCAATTTCCTTAATTTAAAATATTAATTATTGAAATAACCACTTCTACAAAACGCAATGTTAATGACGTCATAAATAATATGAAATAAGTAGCCTTTCACTGGACGAGTAATTTATTATAAGGAATACTATTTTATTGTACCCTTGATAAATTGAAAATTTAAATATATCCATAAACAAAGAATACAGTTTTGTTTACATGGATGTTCCTGGCTAAATGTACTCAATCTGAACTGACACATTGCATTGTGTTAGAAGGTAATTCATTATTATAAATGTATACAATTATATTTACTTAACTATTATAATAACATTAAAACGAATGGAAAGCAATAAGTCTTTTTACAGTCTAGATTGATTGCGATTAGGTTATTAGCAACAAATTCTGGATTTCATTTAGTTAATTAGGTAGATAGTTAAAAATAATAAACGAGTTTTAACATGTAGCTTACGCTCCGAATCTAAAAACTAATGTCATTAAGTTTGCATCTGATGTTTTGTAAGACTATTTTTAAATAATAAAATCTACCTTCAGTTATTTGTAGAATAAAAAATACTTATTCAACTGAAAATAGATTTTTGATTTGGCATGAGAGGTTTTTATTTGGATATAATTCCTTCTCGATAATTTTTGATGAAGTTTATCATTTGAAATATTTTCTCATTTTCATTTTTCATTTCTATAATTTCTATAATTTATGAAATTATATATATATATATATAAGTATCGGGAATCATCTAATAGTGTGTATGTATGTAAACAAATAAATAAACAAGCTGGAGAAACGAAGTATACAGTTTAAACTCTCAACGAGTAAAACAATTCTAGTTTTTCATTAATTATGCTGAAAATCAGTTGAGATCTTCTTTAAAGCCTAAATAATTGTTTTTCATACGGAATCATTGTTTTGCAATTAACTATGAATTTACCTATACATCTTTATGTTAAGTGCTATAGATTTCTAAACAAATTCGAAAAACCATAAAACAAATGTAGCTAATTTACTTGAAATTAAGAAAATTCTAATTGTATACCAAGTGAGAATCTATGGTATTATTATTTGGGGAGGTGCGTACGATACAACACTAAATCCATGAAAAATAATACAAAATAAAATAAAAACATATTTTAAAAAATAATAATCTGTGTTACACAGAATATCTATACAAAGAATTAAATGTTCTACCATGAAAAAAATATTGTTCTATAAGGCATCGATAGTTTATATAATTAAAAATAACCAAACACCTAGATCATGGATATAACACAAGGCAATTATTAAATATTACAGTTCCCTTAATGCGCAGAAAACTAACTCAATCTACTTACTCATATATAGGACCAAAAATATATGATATGCTATCATTCTAATTCAAAACAACTCTATCATTTAAATAACCTTTAAAAAAAAATTAACTAATTGGCTGCAGAATGAACCAAATTTAAAACTTTAAATATTTGTATATCTTTAATCTAGTTGCGTAGCATTTGTATTTTATCAAACTGTATTATACATTAAGTCTCTATGTATTAATTATTGTTACCTATTTTGTATAATATGTTAAAGCGAGTTTCAACTAATAAGTCTAAAATTGTAAAAAAAAAAAAGTAAAATGTAAATTATCATTTGAATGTATTATTTTCCTTATTATAAATTATGAACTCATAGTTACCCGTAGAACTCTCCCACACGAGCCTGTCCAGTGGGGCCAATTATCTTCTCGAAGAAATAAACAATAATAATTATAATTATAATATAGATAAGCAGATACGAATGATAGCTGTGTTATGATATGACGTAAAGATGTACCTATTGAAATACACCATAAGACAGTGTTAAACGGATATTAGAAGAAACGAAACAAAAATCATCCAGTGTTTGTTGTATTTACTTAGTAGACAATAATATGAAAAATAGTTTAATTAAATACAATTTGTCTTCGAAGATGATTTTGAGCTTGGGGCCAAACAATTTTAGGGGTCCATAAACATATTTAAAATATTGGTGTTTATACGGTACTATCAGCCAAGACCAGGGGCCCATAATATTAAGATATCCAGGGGCCTGGGGCCATGGCACCCTCTTCCTCCCCTCCTTAATCCGAGCCTGATCTGTACAATACAATATTATACATTATAGTTATTTATACATAATAATATAGACTATGAGCATTCGCGTGATTTTTTATCGGATCAAATTTTTTTTTAATGAATATTTTCCGACGACACTTACCTTACGTGCGTATTATGGCAAAACTTATCGTCACTCCGATAACGGTTCTTGCTATCTCGGTTAAACGCTATAGGTACGTAACGATGAATGTGTACGACTAGACGAAAGTGTAAGACGAGTGTGAAGATAGATTCCAAAACTACGGAATCTAGAAGGCTTCCCACGTGTTGTTTGCGAATACAAGTCTAGGCCACCTTGACATAATATGCGCGTGTTATATTGTTCGTGTATGTAGTGGAACCGGTACCTATAGTCTGGTAGTACACTGCTACATGCGGCCTGAACTTGTTTTGTGCAGGACGTCAAGGCCAACATACTTAAAATCAGCGTAAATTACCCTGTTGAAACTCAAAAGAAATGGCCTATTAGTATAGATCGATTTTAACATGTACGAGATAACAAAATAATAATAATAACAATACAAAAATTTAAAAAACTGCAGTAAAATAATATACTATTAGTACCTATCTAAATGTTAGAAAATTTAAAAATGTTTTAACCGCTCAAGTATAATATAATATATTATGTTTCGCCGAATTTGTGAATTTACCGTGGAATTTCGTGAATTTCGTGAAATCGGCAGAAAAAAGGCCAATTTCATTGGCCGTTGCCATTGTCTAATGGCTCAACGCCGTTGCTTAATATATGTGAAATCGGCAACTTGTCTATAGGTACTGAATTCACGAAATTAACAAAAGAATTTTGCCGATTTCATGAATTAGGCAATTTTTCTTCTGACGAATGCACGAATTCACCAATACATATACATGTAATATGTGCACTGAATGACAGGAATTTAAAATAATCTGTTTAGTTCCCCGTGTCACTTAGAAAGAAAATATTTTATCTTATTGGTGTATACAGTTTTTCCATCGTCTAAATAAAATAATATGCCTATTACATACAATCTACAATAAAATATTGTTCAGTGTTTAGTCAGTTCGTTCGTTTTACGCAGTACAAAGTGAATTTAAAATAATTATTATAAGTAAATATCTACGTATAAAGTATATATCTACGTTATTAATTATCAAGAAACGACATACTGTGTAATTCGACGAGTCAATCGGATCGTAGCTTTTGTAATACAGAAGACCCGGATTAACAAATGTAATAATTGAAAATGATACTAGGTTAAATCGAACCCCGGAAAAAAAACCAATTTTTAACTTTATTGCAACAAAAAATCAAAATTGAATACAATAAAATAATTAATTTCATTAAATTTGTCCGTTATTTCTACGTTTTATTTTAGTTCAATTATTACAAAAATTTTTCGAAAAATCAATATAAACTATGACAAAAATAATACAAATGACGGTTACACTAAATTCTATAGTAATCCAAGTTATAATTAGTAATGGGCACTATCGAATAGTTACTAGCGAACTATTCGATAGCTGATCGCATTCGAACTATTTTAATAGATTAAAAACTAAACTATTCGAGTAATAAACCCATTCGATATTTTTCTTTCCAACTATTCGAATAGTTTTCATTAGAATAGTTGATTTTCGAATAATTTTTACTTCGTTATTTTTTGCGTATATCGTAAAATTATGTACCTATCGACCATTATGTATAATCGAATCATTTTATTATAAACAAACCGATATTTTAAAAATATCGACAAAAAATAACGAAGTAAAAACTATTCGAATAGTTGAGAGACTGAATAAAAAATATTCTAATGAAATATTCGATAATGCCCATCACTAGTTATAATTAAAAACTGGATTTGTATGCATTTTAAATTGTAAAATATGCATGCAAACATGTACTTTAAAAAGGCAAGATATTCAAGAAAAAAAAGCAAAATATGCATAAAACAATTTAAATTTAATATTTTATTTAAATTTTGCAGTGAGTTTTCGAGAACTTTTGATGTTAAAAGATATGATTTAGAAGGCATTCAATTTGCCAACAACAAAATTTGCTACATACTTTCCTCGAGGATCAGTAGTTTCATCAACAGCAAAAAAAAAATGTACGAGCTGCCTATTCTCGAATATTTTGTAAAACGTCAATATAATATTTACTTAAATAGTTTTTTCTTAACGTACTTTCATCTGGTATGTGTTTATTTGTTTATTTTTCTAAAAAAGATTTAAAGTTTGTATTTTGTAGTTTATATAAAGGTATGTTTGAAGAAATTAAAGTATTTTAAAGTTCTTTGCAAAATTGTGATTAATTTTCTATGGACGTAGATTGAATGAAAGTTTGTTTAGAAGAAGATTTATTTGAACATTTTTAATGCAAAAAAGACATTGTATGCTGATCAATTTGAAATTTTTTTCCAACTGTTATCTGTTTTTCACAATGCTGACAAAAAACAGTTATATTATTTAAAATTTTTAAAACCTCACCAGAATCGTTGTACGACTCAATCCACTTTATAAATAACGCCAGTTTTTTTTTCTAAAAAAACACATAAATTCAATACATTAACTTGACAACGACGTAATTCGTACTGACAATAAATTTTATCGGTATAAATGTAACAGAAAATTGTATCAACCTAATCTTGTTGATAGAATTATATCTAAGAAATAATAATCTTGATAAAACAAGTAAACCCAGTAAATAAGTTAATTTAACCTATTTTTAACGTCCGAATATTCTTTGTAACGTAAAATATTTGATATATTAACGTATCTATAATGTTATTGTTTTTGTTCGACACCTTATTAGACGGTGAAGTGTATCTTTGTTAAAATATGCACAAATATGCAGAATATATTCTAATTTCAAAATACGTAAAAGTACGTAATAAATACGGAAAGTCATTTTTCGATTTTCCTAGCAAATGTGAAAAACCGCGAAAAATTACGAAAAAACATAGGAAAACCAGAAAAAACGCAGGAAAATCAGTACAATATTAAACAAATATTATTAAAGAAAGAAGAAGATTATTAAAAAAAATATATAATGTCTATTTATTTATTTTACCATATTATGACATACTGTTAACAAAACATCACTATCAACTGAACTCCACTCAGAATCGTTTTTAGTAAGCAATGGTTTATCGTTGTTTACAGATACAAATTAGTTTCCCCTCTATATCCTACCTTCCCAACTTCTGACCAACAACAGTGGCTGCACCCATCGTGCGAAATATGTCCGTCCTTTTTCACACTGCGGATTTCACGTAATTAGCAATTTTATAGCATTCACATTTCCGAATTCAAATTCACAAATTCGGCGTCACATACACAAGGTGATCCATTTAAGTGAGTACACTCGATACCACAGGAAGTAACTATTTACTTTTTTCAATATTTTTTTTTTTTTTGAATTTAAGAAACAAGCTATTCTACAATTTAACATTTACACTAATTTATGTCACCGTAATTTTTGGGAGTGAAACGACTACCAATTTTTGGTTTTTTAAATGACAACCTAGGTATGTATATTAAAAATTCAATAAACAGACGGAACATTAGATAATTAAATGTTAGTGTTTAAATGTTTGATTTCCATCAACCCGTTGACTTTTGGGTTAGGGTAGAGAGAGTGTAGTGGAGCATCATTTGTGGGGCGGCACGGCGCGTGGCGTTCTAATAATGCACCACTACTCTCCCCTGATCAAAACTTAAAAGTGGAATATCTCGTCAACGGATTGACGAAAATTAAACATTTTAGCACCAAAATGTAATTATTCTAATATTCCATCTGTTTATAGAACATTTTTAATATAGGTTTAATATAGGTGAATGTAATAGAATGGATAAGGAAATAAAAGAAAAGGAAATTATTAAATACATATTAAAAGGGCTCCCGGGAAAAATGTTTTGGATGATCGAAGCAAAAGATAATGATACTATTTTAATGTTAACAAAAAATATAAAGTTTATAAAATAAATAAAGCAATGAGACAAATTAATTTTGAAACAGAATTGGAGAAATTAAGGAGGGAAATTGAAATTGTAAAAATCTAAGGGATTAATGGGATAAAAAACAGATACGGCGATAACAATAATTATACTTACAGATTTAACCAAATAGAAATAATGCTATTAACAATAGCAATCGGCGTGGCAATTTTGATGGTAATGATGGTTTTATGCACAACTATAGTAATAACTATAGGGGTGATAATTTTAACAACGATAACAATTTTACGAATAACAATAATTGCCATAAAAATTGGACGAATAATGATAGTTTTAAAAATGGTAACAATTTAAATGCTTACGACCGAAACCAAAGATTCCAAAATAATAGACATTTTAATAATTCAACTTTTGAACCACGTTTGAACAATAATAACTACGGTGTAAATAACAATTGTAATCGGGTTCAGAACCCATAAAAACTAATTGAGAAGGAAGAACGTGTAAGGTGTTCTTTCGAACCAACGAAAAAAACCTAACGAGTCTTTGAACAATTTTAATCCGAACATAGCGCTATTACAAAAATTAATTAAAGAATCAAATTATGATAAAAAAAAAAAAATCGTTTTAAGGAAATTCGAAAACGTTAATTAACGGCGACGGCCGAATTAACGAACGGTGAAGTGTATCTTTGTTAAAATATGCACAAATATGCAAAATATACACTAATTTCAAAATACATAAAAGTACGCAGTATACAATTTTAATATTCAATCAGTTAGGCTTTGATCCATGCATCTATATTTATAATACAGTTCCTAGTAATCGTACAACCGTGTGCAATCTAGCTGATTAGTTTATGTCTACGGAAATAAAACTGAAGGTCTGGCTGATAATAAAATTCAAAAATATCAGATAGGAAATGACTACTACAATGTGATTTAAACTCGTGCCTCAAATTCGGATAAAAAAACTTTTCGTGGTTTTTTTCCTTTTGTTTTATTTTCTTTTGGGTTTTTTTTTTTTTTTTGTTTTTTTCGTCGTGTTTTTTTTTTTTCCTGTTACCGTTAAATCATTTGCTACTCCCTGTGATAATAGGAATATGATATACAAATTTTATAATGATATACTTCTTTACCGCGTTCACCGCGTGGACACAGCGTGAACCCGATAAGCGACCAGCGGTAGGAATGCCACAACAAAAGACAATTTTAAGCGTTACACCATTTCAAGATATTTGTACAGGTTATGTAGGACCAATACAAATTTCACGAGTAAATAAATTTTAGTAGCAACACGTAAGACAACCAAATTCTGTTATGCGCGAGCGTATAAAAATGCTGACACAAGTCGACTATTAAGTTTTTATTAGAATTAATATTAACTTGCGGGCCACCACGAGTAGTAAGATCGGATAACGGAACACATTTTACTGCAAAAATAATATCACAATTATTAATAGCGTTAAGGGAGCAAAAGAAAGAAGAGATTGCTTATAGACCAACGAGTCTAGGTTAGAAAGAAAGCCTAATCTCTACAGAAAGGTAAAAAAGGTAAAAAGGCAACGCCAAATTATTATCGATATGATTGCACAGTACGTCATAAACGGTAAACATTGGATGCATGTACTTCCAATAGTTTTACGTGCGTATAATACTGCGGTACACCATTCCACTGGTTACTCACGATTTTATTTAGCTCGTGGCTATAATACACATTCACTTTCTGATATAGCAATTATTCCTTCAAACTTCAATCATTTATTAATTACAGAAATCGAAAAATCAAATTCAATACTTAAAACAATATTAACCATTTTAGAAAAAGCGTTCAATAAACAGAAATTATACGCAGACGAGGGGAAAAGTAAAATTGAATTTCGTGTAGGGGAAAAAGTTTTAATTAAAACTAATGTCGAAAAAGAATAAATTTTTGGATCGTTATGAGGGGCCATATACGATAGCTAATAAAATTAACCCAGTGTCGTACATGGTGAAAATAATAAAAAATAGACAAAAGGTTATAAAGAAAAAACACGTTCACCAGATGAAAAGACATAGAGACCGTTCTTCAGGAGCGACCGATTTCTTAGTATTGTCTAACAATATTAATGAAGTGCGGTAGCTTCTGGATAAAACGCAAATATCAGATAGCAGTTTACCAAATGCAAAAATAAAAAAATAAAAGCCACCGACCTAACCAAGACTAAGTAAGCAAAAAAGACAGGCACGTAACATATTATAACTCAACAATTAGATATTTTATTATTTTATTTTAATTTTATCAGGTATCTAGTTTATTGTATAATATTTAACATAAATTAACATAATTCCATTCACAAGCATTTAATGTTGACTAAGTATATTATAACAGCACAAACACCGCGTAACCTATACAATGATAACACCCAGTGTCTCACATAAAAACAATTCATCTACTGAACTAACAATTTTAAAACTACGACTACAATATAAGTGTCACAGGCATTTAAATATTGTTCGGTTAAACAGAGAATATTTATTTATACGTAAATCAACTTGTAAAAATGTATACCTGTATATTTCTGATAGGTAAACACAATGAACATTTTGCAGTATTTATATAATAGACAGTTAAATATTTTATTTTGTTTTTTATATTTTTAATTTTTCCTCAAATTTGATGTCACAGTTGGATATAACATATAAATAAATAGTGAGAAAAAATTAAGTGTTAGAATTTATTGTTAAAAAAAAAAATTTAGGATTAAGATGAATGCCTATTACCTACATACTTGTTAAAATTATTTCATGTAGGATTAATGTATTGTTTGTAAAAAAAACGGCAATGCGTACCGTTGAGAACATCATCCCAGGGGGGAGCGGCCATCATTTGAATATCACAGGCCACCATCACCGATTTCGCTTGCCCCTAGACTAAACACCCCCATAAAATATACAATTTATACCGGTAATATAAGATCGTTCAAATTATTTAAATATTGTTCTGTTTTGTGTTAACACCACAACAGTTACCTTAGTGCGTTGCATTAATATCACAAACCAAGGTCCCTGACCTTGTAAATATAATCATAGAGCAAGAACTACAGAGAGCCTGGAGGATATTACAGAATTAAACGAATAATTTACTGTAATTAGACAGCGATGAGGAAACGTTAACTTTAGAGTTTTGAATAATAATTTTTAATTTTTTTTTTTTATTTTTTCCTTTATTATTAAATACACAATCTGTACCTCGTTGGTACAACAAGAGTATTAGCTAAAATATAATTTTTAATTAAATATTTTTTTGAATTCCTTATTAATATTCAAGGTTATAAGAAAAACCTGGTTTTTTAGGTTAAATAAAATTGAAAAATGAAAAATAATGTTGTCATTGGCAAACATTTTTATTTATTTTTTGTTATTGTTAAATTTGTATTATTTTAATCTTTTTTTAAACAATCATTGTTGTCATGGAAACGCATATTGTTGTAATCATTTTACCATAATATGACATAATAATGTATATTGTTGACAAAATAACACTATCAACTGAACCCCGTTCAGAATCATTTTTTGGTTAGCAATGATTTATCATTACTTACAGATATACATTACATTCCCGTCTGTATCCTACATTTCCAACTACACACCTACAACTTTGGCCACTTGCAAAGTATGTCCGTCTTTTGTATATATTACCATAGGCAGCAATATTCTACTGCTTTTTTATTTTTATTTGTGAAAGGGGAAATAGAGAGTTCAACAAACTAGTCATGAGCAGTAATGAATAATGTATACAATCGAATAATATTTAATTATTCGTTCATAAATTATTTGAATAATTTATAATTGTTTGTGAATTAAGTTTACAAAACATTAACATACCTTCTTAATAGTGGGTCGTTATCAGATAAATTCTGCAGGATGTTATTCATTGCTACTATGATATTATAATCATAGAAATTGTATTTGTAGCTGTAACATTAAACATTTTTCATTTTCTCTAGAAAAAATGTTTAAAGAGTGCGGTTGACTTGAGCATTTACACGCCAGACGGCCAGATCCCAGAATAAAAAAAAGTTCTTTGGACATTTATTTACTGTGTAGTCATACATTTCTTAAATCCTAATGTTAATTATTTTATAAAAAATTACCCAACCCCAACCATGTACCGCGGGATCCTGGCCTAAAATTTTCAAAATATAACATTGAAGAAATTTTTGAGATTTATAGGATTCATTTAGCATTTTCACGGTTTTATTTGGATGAAATTAGTTTGACTAAGTAGAAATATTTGAAAATTTAACACAACATTCATTATAATTACACTATATATAATAAAAAAAAAAAAAATTGGTAAAATATATTTATTTTTTTTATATAGGCAAGTGTTGCAAGTTCAAGTTTTAATAAAAATTATAAAACTTACAGCATTTAAAAAACATGTACAAACAAATTTTGCTCAGAATCTTATTTTTTTTAACAATGATTAATCATTTTCTTTCCAACTTCCCACCAACAAGAGCAATACAGGTGATACACAGAATGATCAGGCATCAGTAGTATCAGCTTTTTTTTATGAAAAAATAAAATTTTTAAAAACTGAATGAAAAATAATGTCATAAATTAGAATATAATTTATTTAAAATTTGAATATTTGCTTAATTTAATATTTTATAATTAGTTTTAAAACGCGTTTAAAATAATTCAATTTGTATTACTATTTAGTTATTTTTTTTAGAAATTACCTCCCTTTATCAAATTGTTTATGTTATCATTTGTTCAATTATTATCATCGAAAAAACACAATAATTATTATATTGTCACATTGAATTTATACAATTTGTTTGGTAACTTACATCATTTATACATACATTCAATGCTTACACCAACCCAATAACACTTATTTTTGTCAAAAGTCGATAATGACAAATTATTATTAAATAATACAATATTTGTTACATTATAATTGAACAAAATTAAATTAGTGCAAAATTGTTCATATTTTCATCATTAAATGTAATCATTTCACAATAAAACAAATGCAATTTTATCTATATTAGTGTTTCACTAATATCCTAATCCTAGTGTATATATAATTAATAGATTTTTAATATTTCATACTTATAGGTAACATAGAAAAAATATATTATGAAATTCTGATAAAAAACAAAAATAAGTATTTAATATTTAAACATTATTACTCATGTAGTCATATTTTTTCTATACAAATCAAATCTTACAACTATAATATGTATTATAATATTAAATTGTGTTAATATGTAATCATATAAATGGAAAAATGCATTCAAAACTAATACCAGTTATAAAATGTAATTTGATACTAAATAGTGATAAAAGCAGTGACTGTATAGAAGTTTTAGATTATATATTTCATTATGATTTCTGTAATTGACTATTGGTTTTTTTTTATTTATTTATAAATTTGAACACATATAAAACACAATATGAGTCATAAAAAATGTTGTTATAATATTAAATTTTATAACTATTATAAAAAAAAACTTAAAGTAATAACAAAAATATATTTAATTAATTAATAATAATTAAGCTCATTTTATCACTAGGACATTAATATCGTATATTCTGTTGTCGTTTTTTCCGTCTTTCTAGTTTCTTTTGTTTTTTTTCATTTATTTCTGGAGATTCATTTTCTGGAGCTCGTTGCATGAAATAAGGTCCTAAGAAATTTTTCCATATTATCCAAAATGCTCGACCAGGTGCCTGAAAAATTGGAATATTATTCAATAGTGAACTAATATTTTATTTAATATCAAAATGTATCTATCATTTATAAATAATAAAAACAATTGATTTGATAATAAATATATATATATATATATATATGTATAAAAAAAAAAAAAAACTAAGCAAATTAAATTAAATAATAGTCTAGAATTTATCTTTAACACAATGTTCTAAAAATGAATTGAAATTATTTTTTACTTACTAGTAACCATAAAAACCAAAAGTAATTGGAAAATATTGATAATAATTGACAACCTGATGTTAAAAGAATCACATCTTTTGTATGTCTAAAATTAAATAAAACATATAACATTTATACTTTTGTTAATAATAAATAATTTTCATAGATGATGGTCCATAACATAAAAAACTATATAAAATAGTATACACCAGAGACTCAAATTTTATATACAAAATAACCTGTTTGTTTTCTTATGAATGAAAAATTGTTATTAACAATATTTAATTTTAAAATATCCATATCAAATATTTGAACATGCAACATATTACACATAATACGATTATTAATTTATTCTATTTTAATAATTTAACAAATGCAATAACTTTTGCTCTATACAATAATTTTGATATAAAATTTTTTTAAATAATTAGTATGCCTCAACGCTACAATTTATGTATAACCATTTTTTTTTATGGGATGGGAAATTTAAAATAGCCATTTTGTAAAATAGATGTTTAGAATATTTTTAGTTGTTCAAACTTTTGTTAAAGTATGGCCTTTAATTTTCTAAGGTTTTTTGAAGTTTTTGCTAATGTGAATATTACCTATTGTGGTTATTCAATTATCAGTTATTAGTCAGGATTTTTTTTCCATGATTTAATATCATGCAATAATATTATTATATTTATCAGGTAGTTTCAATCAATAAATAATGGTGGTTTATGTTGATAAACAATATTGTTATTATTGAAAAAAAATTATTCAAATTTTCAAAAATTTTTAGAAAATAAAAGATCATACTTTAACAAAAGTTTCAACTACCAAACATTTTCTAAAAATCTATTTTACAAAATGGCTATTTTGAATTTTTAAAAAAAAATTATAAAAAAATTTTAAGTCCCCCTTGCTCTAAAAAAAATAGTTCATTAAACTGTAGTGCTGCGGCATACTAGTTATTTAAAACAATTTATAACAAAAATATTGAATAGAACAAAATTGATTGCATTTGTTGAATTCTCGTGGAACATATACTCGTATATTTCAAAATTTTAGCTTAGACCTTTCTAGTACACATATTACATAGATAATTATTTAAAAGAAATTAATTACATAAAAATATATCATTAAACACTTACTCTGCTAAACCTCCGTCAATATTGAGATCTGTACCAGCATCTAGTAACTGACCACTTTCAGAAAATTTTGAAGTAGCCATGTATTCCATAAATTTATAACTACCACCATTTGATGCAACAACAAGAACAAATAGAAACTGTAACAATATACATTTTTACTAAAAATAATTCATTGTCACATAAATAAAGTTATAAGTAAAAACCAAAATTTTTTAACATTTTTTAACCAGCATTAGACACGTTAATGTATATTATGGAGTTAGTTGTATGGTGTCTTTTTCGACCGCATTACAATTTTAAAGTAAAACAAATATTATCTTACATATTTATTAAAACAAATCAATACTTAAATTAAAAAAATTACACAAATTGGTTGTTTTACATAAAAATAATTTATTTTAAATAATCCCTCCAATTGAAATAAATTATTTCTATGTAAAATGACCAATTTGTATAATTTTTTTTCTATGTTTTCCATCATTTAAGTTTTTATATTTAGTTACGTTTTATATTTTGGCTGTGATTTACCTGATGATGAATTTTTAATTTGAAACCGGTCGTATAATATACATTTATTCATTTATTTATTTTTATATTTACATTTTTTATTTATATATTTATTTACGAGTATTAACCATTTTAATAATTTTGTTTTCACTTTATTATTTTATTAATAAATAATATTTTACATACTATGTTTGTAAAAGAAAAAATATTCCCAAAAATCAAATTAAATACAAGGTATATAGCAGAGACAGCTAAAATTATATTCCGGTAAAACTTCAATGTGGCCATATTCTCTTCAAATATTTGTTTCTGGCCTTTAGTGCCTATTTTACCTTTCTGGGGCTGTTGGAAAAAAATCAACTTTATTTTACACGGTTATAAATAATTTCACATAATTTGTATTTACTTACCGCCATAACTCTCTTTGAGTCTCTCTCCAGACTATCCCTGAATGTTCGTATTATTTCTAACTTTTAATCGAATTATAGAACTGAATCATTTTTAATTGTTACATGGACACATAAGAACTCTCTGACTTTCTTTTTGAATTTAATTTCATAATACATTTCATTTTGTACTATATTGGTAATACACATCGCACAGCACGTTATCAATGAGTTTTTACTGAATCTGTCCAACGCACGACGCGTGTCATATAGAAAAAAAAAAACGATTTCAAATAGGTAAGTAACTGAAAAATATTTTTCCCATAAAAATATTCAAATGTCATTTGCTTAATATTTAGCTACTGAATTCTGTGAAAAAAAAATTACTTCTGTGAATTTAATATTTATGATTATTTACATTCATAAAATACGATTATAAAATAATTCGTGTAACGACACCACTGTTCGTGGTCTGCCGACTATGAAAAATTGATAAAACATTTGGCAACGTTGATAACGATGTTTCTCATTATTCTCACGTGCTTTTTTTTTTGATATTGATACCTTTTTTCGTATTTCATATTTTCATTATTGTCGTTGATAAGTTATTGTGAACAACTTTTACAATGGCCAAAAGTATTAGGAGTAAATGGCGTCGGAAAATGAGGGCCATCAAGCGGATCAGGTATGGCGTGAAAGAATTGGACAGGCTGAAGACGATGTTGGTGAATGCCGGAGAAATAGAAGTGAAGGAAGGCGGTGAAATCGAACACGTCTGTTTGGGTACATAATTTATTATTTCAATTACGCGTATCATACAATAAGTTATTAAAAACAATATCATTAAACTTGTAAAATCGCCGTATATTCATTGACATAGCATAGTTGATATCCCTATATCAATAGGTGGCCACGCACTAGCGGTTTTTTTGACGGATTTAGTCTTCGAAAAATCAAATCCGCTGATTAATCCATTCGTGTGTGGTGATCAAGGGATGGGATCTTACGATTCAAAAAATCTGATGGAATAAGTCCTACTGATTAAATCTCTTATCGGACTCTAATTGACAATAACCAGATCCTAGTGATCCTACAAAATAAAAATAGGTAGTATGATAATGAATTCTCTGTCACTATTACATTTTTTTTTTTAAAAAAATATCAGATTTTTAAAACCGTATTTTCAACTTGAAATTATACTTTTATTGCCGAAAACAATCAAAAAAATTTCGTATCAACATTTTCACTTATAATAACATAAACCAATTTCAAATGGTGATAAATAACATTTAAAATAATGTCCTTCTTATGGAACACCAGGTCTGAAGGGATTGATATAAATTATTTTTTCAATTTCATATATTTTTTAACTGATTAAATTCAACTAAACAAAATATTGATGATATTGATATGATGTATATCTATAATAACTGAATAGTTTAAAATTTGAATTATTATATTTTATGGCAATATTATCTTTATTTTTATTAAAAAATAATTTATAGGAAACTGTTTCATTTCTCATACATACATGTATAAAATAGTACATTTTTACACAGGAAACTAAACAAAATTCCGAGGTGGTTATAGCCGCCTAAGCTTCCATTCTATGCCTATGTTGTTATGTACTTATTCATTATTTCCCAATGATTAAAAGTTGGTTTTTTGGTTAGTTACGTGAAACAATATTTTGTTTGATACATTTTTGAATTCTGAAACATTACTAATGAGTAAATGTTTACAACTGTCGGGACAACTAAACTTAAATTGAAAACTTTTACTTTTTCAAAAATGTGTTTTAAAACTTTTACTTTTAAGGTACTAGAATATTAAATTTTATTGTAAATATATCTTAGTATATATAGATGCAGTGCTATATTTAATTATTTATTACGTATCAATTGTTATCAACATATGTTTTTTTAATGTGAGTGTTAATTTTTGATTAAATACTTTTGTAGGCCGTTTAATAAATTTCTGCGGGCTGTAATTGGTCACCGCTGTTTTAAACAATTATTTATGAATACTTATAAACACTATTTGTAAACAATTATTAAAAAAATAACAATATTATACATAAATAGTTCATTCTTATTTTCAGTTTGATGAACTTGGACTACTAAAATTTTTTTTTTTTTAACTATCCCATCACTGATAATTACTTTTTCATATTTAGTTATTTAAAATAATTTATACTAATATGCTGTGTTTTTAGTTAAAGCTAAGAATGAAGAAGAAGAGAAAATGCAATTAGAAAAAGAAGAAAAATCTAAAACGGATAAAATTGCAAAACTATCAAATAAAACTCCAAAAAAAAAAATCCAACACCCAACTTGGCTGAGAAAAAAAGAATACAAAAAATATATAAGAGCATACAAAAAACAACAATCGATAAATGCTAAAAGATTAAAAATGTCCTGTTAAAATATAAATTGTGCATTATAAAATTAATTTTTTATAATATTTTTGACTTGTTATATCAGAGCTTTAATATGTTTTCTAAACATAATAAATTAATAATTTTGCTAATAATGTTTTATTTATTTATTTGTAATTGGTAATTTAAACAATTCCATTCATCAACGGGAGTTACAAGTATTCACTTTTTTTTTTGGAAAATTTAAGATATAAGTACCAATAGTAGATTATTGGCATGATTTAAACCAACTGTTCTTAACTTTTTTTTCGAATGTCAGAACACTTACCATATTCTACAATTTTCACGGAACAGCCTTAAAATAAAATAGTATTTATATACATTTTTAATATAGTTTTCCATTTCTTATACTGGTGTTTTAAAAGTTGATAAAAGCCAAAATGTTAAAACAGTGAAACTAAAAATTTAGTTTACTTAATACATTTTTTTCTACAGATTATACACTTCGCTGAATCACTTATTATAAGTTCACGGAATATCAGTTGAGAAACACTGATTTAAACATTAGATTTGTTTGTGTATTCTATCTTATAAAAAAAAAATAATAATATAGATTATGTTTATTGATTAATTTTTTTATTTAACATAGGAATATTTCGCAAATGGATAACCAGAAGTTAAAATTGTTTTTAAATAATTAGTTGTGTTTAAATACATGATGTCATATTAAAACTAAGAGTGTGGTGGTTTTTCTTCAAACATTAACTTTGGTAATATATGATTTATTATTGTAAGGCTTGTTTTCCCAAATTTAAATTATCAAAAAGTTGATACCTTCAGTGATATCGTATCATATAATATATTAATCATGGTATAAATGTATATATATATACTTCCTAGAATAAAATCATCAGAGATATAGTTTCATTAGAATGATCTTCATTCAAAATACACTAAAAAACAAATAAATGTATGGCATATAATTGTATTTAATGAGTACGTGTAATCTGAGTTGCCACATAAATGTTACTATTTTATTCTTTGTACAGAACAATGAAAAATTAAGTTATCATTATCAGTCTATTTTTACTATATGCATAAACCGTATTATACCATTGATTATGTAATATACAATCAATGTACCTGTATATGTATAATAATAATTATACAAACATAATATAAAAGTTATTTAAAACCAATTTCTAAAATATGAAGTTAATTTTGTAGAGTAGAGTATACTATTGAAATTAACACACAGATTGTTTTAACATGAAATATAAATAATGGACGCAAAAGTACAATTTCTAATAGTAATAAAAAAGAATTGATAGAAAATTGATTTTATTGGTATTATTGTGAAGTTACGACATACTGAGGTGTAACATATATTTATTTTATAAACATTTAAAATATCAGAAAAAAACAAGCCTCTTATATTAGTAAATAAGGTTTTAAATTAGGTAGTGGTTAAAAGTTAAACATTTTTAAGTACCAATTATTATTATTATTATTAGATGAGTTACAGCTATTGAAATCAAATTGTTTCCATTTATTAAAGTTAATATGGTTAAAATTCTAAATTGATAACTTTGAATAAAGAATCTAACTTTCAGTGTAATTAAAATTCAATGTGTACTATGAAGGGCAATCATTAATTCATTTTAACTATTTATTATATTATAAAAGATTAAATTAACATTAGGAACAATATTTAATACTATAATACAACTGTTTTCATATTTCTATACCAATCATTAATTTTAGTATTTTCTTGTACATCTTTGAACGCCATACAACCTTCAATGCTCGAAAGAGTACCGTATACAGCTAAATCGGCTAGGTTTGGTTTGTTACCGCCCATAAATTTTCCACCATTTTTTTCGACTGCTGCGACCCATGTATTACATTCATCATATAATGATTGACGAACATTATCATTTAGCATATACCTTATAAACAAAGAAATGTATCATCAGTTATTCAGAATGATTTAAAAAAATAAATGTGTACTTTTTCTTTAATTTTTTACTAATAATCCACATCATAAAGGCACCACCGTATATCATTAGACTGGTTTCCCAAAAAGGAAAATTTTTCTCCCATTCACCAGCTATTGAAAACCATTTAAAAGAATCTACAGCTTCAGATAGAGTACGATAAGCATTTGGTGATAGTGCATGCACTAAAACATCATCTGACCACTGTCTCCATTTTCTTTCATCACTAAAAATAAAATAATAAAATATTAAATACATTTTGTTTCATATTATGAAAATATTTTTGATTACGTAAAATTCAATTGAACTGATTTATTGGATTCATCTTCATTCATAATAAAATATTTGTTCATAATATCTGTTTTTCTCTTTCCGTCATCACCAATAAAAGTAACCGGCGGATAAAAATTTGCAACATCTTGAATATCAAACGCTTTGTTTTTTAAATATGTAGCCATGGCAGATATGATCATTGTACTGTCAGTAAGCTGTTGATAACCATCGTGACATTTTACCAATAAAATGGGAACCTTTTTGTAACTTGACCAGCTTATTTGTTGTTTAAGCATAGGATCTACTTCAACGATATCATAAGGCACCTTATTGTAATCAAGAAATGCTCGTACTTTACAGCAGAACGGACAAGTTGGATATTGAAATAAGATTATATCAGCATTTTCAACATTGTTGTGCCATACCTGAAATTAACTGTATACATGATAAAAATTTCATGAATTATTATACTTTAGATCATTATCATACTTTACGGGTGACCTTCAAATCAGAAGGCAAATTCTGTAATATTGGTACCGATGTTGGTGTATTTATTAAGGCACCGGGTAATTTTCGTTCATATTCCGAAAAATATACATATGTTGTTCCGATTATGACTCCAATGGCAACACCAGTACTGATAATACGTATAATGTTAGGTGGTTTTTTAGTGTATTTAGCGAGTGGCGAATTACTGTTGAAATGTTTCATTCGGCTAAATGAATTATTAATATGTAATGAGGATGGCCTAAAACTTATTGTATTAATTTGCCATCGAGTAATAGCCACCCGCAATGCCATTTTTGTTGTGCTTAAAAAATTACTCTTGGATTTATTAATTATTTTTTACGGTAAATTGAATAAACGATTATCAGTACCTAATATTGGACGAGTTTTCAAATTTGTAAATAAGTATAAACTCTAAATTATCAATTATCATCTAAAATATAAACGTTAATTTAACACTTCAACACAAAATTATAAAATGAAAGTCACAATTTGATTTTTCAACGTAAAAACTACAAAATATTATAACTTACAGAAATAGGTACTCAATTCAACTCACGACGTCTTAAATACGAGATAATATTTCATGTTAGAGATAGCATAAAAAAATTATTTGATAAATATTAAGTATTGTTACGCAAGACCATGGTTTAAGATAGTATTATCTATTAACCTTGATACAAGACCATTGATAAAACGTGTCAGATAAGAATATAGTATTATCCATAAACCTTGTGGTTCGCCACAATACTATGGATACTGGAATTTAATTAGCTATTGAATCCATATTAACTTGAATCGACATTATTTTGAAACGATAAATCATAGATTTATTAACAAATGGACTTCGCATTGATAATATTTTGTGTCATCATTATAAAGGTAGGGCAATCATAGACAAAAAAAACTAATAAATATTCTATTCCGAGAAAAAATTTACAGCGTGAAACATGTATTAATGAATCTCTAGTATGCGTAACATCATTTATAAGATAAATTATCATAACATTGCTATTACTATTATTTTTTAGTATAAGTGTACTTATAATCTAAATTGTAAATCAGGAATCTATTCACTCAAATTTCTAAAAATTCAATAAAATAGCATTTTGAGGGCATCTAGAGACCTGGCGGGATCGCTAGAATTTGAACGTTTGTAACTCTAAATCTAAGCCAGATAAACTTATTCTGATTTCAATTCGGACTTCAATAAAAATCTTTGTTATAAAAATATCAATAATTAAGAAACATAATAATAATAAAAATGACCACATTTTGGATTAATTTCAAAAATGCCATGTTTCAACGTTTATGTACAATAACTATAAAAGAAAGTATGATAGATAAGTTTTGATTATATCAATGTATTAAGCATTAAAATTCATACATTTTGGAAAAAAAAAATGAAAATGTTTAATTATTACTAAGAAATATTCAAAACGGAAAACCCAAACTTCACAAAGTTTTCCCCCATAATTTCCAAACGAAGTACGTCCAACTTTTTTTTTTAGATTCTTAATGTACAGCAAACTAGTTTGTAAACTATAATTATACCTTGTATAGATTCAAAAAATTTATTTTCAAATATTTGTAATTTAAACAATTTATGGCACCCTGCTTTTACTAATAACTTGGATCATATACTACGGATAGAGCTACTGCATGATGAACGAATGATATGAATTGAAGACATTATTAACGAGTGCTAAAACGAATGATGTCTATCGCGTGTGCGTATCAGTACTTGTTGCATATTTATCGTTTAATCATTATAATACCACCAGAAAGTGATGGTAAGTGTAACACACATTCACACGTGATTACGTTAATTCGATTATTTGCGTGTGATATCAACTTTGCGCAAGCGCATTTATCCCAACTCACCTTAGTTATGTTTGTTTCAGATATTCTTTCAATAGCTCTATCCATGGTATAGACTATACAGTATCTATATACACTAGCGTACGCAGTGCAGGCCGTGGCCATTTAATCGTGCGACTCATTTAGGGAGCAATATAGTATTTTCGGGAAGTCATAAACGGTTCTTATCAGTACCTGCTTGTCTGGAATAAACGACACAGTTACCTTACAAACTTCTATTTATTTTTTCGTAAAGACGTTTTAAAATATATACATAAGTTTAAATGATTTAATGAAACAGCATTGATTAAGTATGTCTCACAACTGTCACTCCTAAAAATCACTGTTAGCCATCTTTAGTCTGTCTACAGAAAAAAAAAAAAAAAAACACGAAACTAGCGATTCCGTAGTGGCGCTTTTGGTGGCGAAATTTCGGTGTTCCGCGGTTTCTCAAATTTGCACATAATACGCGGCAATTTGGAATACTGCACGGTTTTTTAAAAAATATGAATAAAAATAATTATTTTATTTATTGTATAATATATTTTATTATACATTATATTATTTATTATAATATACTAAAATATAAATTTTCTTTTGATATTTTAACATTGGTTGATGGTTGATTGTCGCGTCATTTTTAAATTACCGCGCTGTTTTAGTCACACGTTTAGGAAACCCTCACGGAAATCTGTCACCGGAAGCGCTACTGCGGAGTCGCTAATTTCGTGAAACGTACAGTAAACTACTGTCAACTGCGTCGTTTATTCCAGCCAAACTGGTGTCTGGTACTGATAAGAACCGTTTATTTGATAAACAATATAAACCGGTTTTTTTTACGGTCCGGTTGTTGTAAGTGTCTTGTAAGTTGATAAGTATTTGTTTTATGGAAATCCGAATTAAGATATCCGTCCGTGATGGATACAAATAAAATGTTTTTATTAGATATGATTTGACTGCACTGCCTTATCAAATTCTCTCCCGGGTTCTGGCCACATGTTTGCCTTTTTTGGACAACACAATATTATTGTGGATTTGTGGAGTGTGGTGATAACTTGAAGTATAATTTCACAGTACAGATTACAAAATTAAATTTATTATTTTCTTTCATAATTTCTTTTTCAATTTTTAAGCGTTTTTACTTTTCTGAGTTAATAAGAAATCCTAAGTAATGGCTGGACAACTCATCGATCTGAAAAAACTGAATGTTCAGCAACTGGCCAAGATGAAAGAACAGATGTTCAAAGAAGTGAGTTTGATACAAGATTCATTACAGTCTTTGAAAATAGCCCAAAAGCGGTACATCAGTTCGCAAGAAGCTCTAGAAACCACTAAGGGCCGACCGTCTGGCACGACCATGATGATACCGTTGACCAAATCTATGTACGCAGCAGGTACACTAGCCAATCCTGAGCACGTAACCGTATGCATAGGCGCTGGATATTTTCTGAAGCTCGAGATAGATGATGCAATTAAATACTTTAAGAGACGTGTTTCCTTTCTTGTTAAACAAATGGAAAAAATCCAACTAATCGGTATAGAAAAACAGAAACTACAGAATGTTATTAATGAAGTACTAGAAATGAAATTACAAGCTCAAACGGAAAATAAATAATAAAAGTTCCACCAACCTTGTTTTATTTATGTTGTTTCCTAACATCCAATTGTAATAAAGCTATATATTTTGTATTTAATACTCATTAATCTAATAAAATATTTGTTTAATCTTTTAATGTATTGACTAGCAATTATTTTAAATATTCTGCTTTATGGTCAAACAAAATGCATATTTTTCTATACATTTAATTTCTCAAATATTTATGTCAAAAAAACTTAAAGTTTATGTATTATTGTTTTATTGAACATTTTCTTAATTTATTAAACATTTTACTAATTGATTTTATAATAAAAATATATATTTTCATTGTAACTATTCATCACTGTCTAATATCTAAATAATGGACCGCGCCTTATAGTATGTTGGATTACAGGTGAATATACCTTAATATCTGTTATTTATCTATTTATATTGAGACGTCTTATTATTTTCATTCATTAAATACATGATTAGGCATTTATTATTTTAGAATTTTCTATCTGGTTAAAGAATAGGCGTTTTGTGTTTAGTTTTGAGATTTTAACATACCTATTAATACAAATTCAAAATATCATGATTTTTATGTATTACTTCTGAGTTATACCACTAAAAATTAGTGCATCATCAAATTAATTTTTTTTTCTGCAATCTTGTTTTAAGAGAGAAATTTAAAAATGCTGTCCTAGGATAATAGGGACGGGTGCAGCCACTGTAATAGGTAATTTAATGTATATATGTAAGCAGCGATTAATCATTGCTAATAAAAAAAAGATTCCTAGCGGAGTTCAGTTGATAATGTTGCTTTGTCAACAATATTATAGTAAAATAATCACATATTATATATTTTCTTTAATAATAATTGTTTAATATTGCACCCATTTTCCCATTTATTGTGAAAATCAAAAATTACCTCCCTAAAGAACATCCCCAGTCAGATTTTCTTTAAGAAAAAGTGTTATCATTGAAAATCGGTGAAAAATTGCTGATAGAAAAGTTATTAAAAAACCATAAGCTCCTTCGCTCCACTCATAAATCAGAATTTGAAAAAAATGGTTTGAAATATGGCTATTGGCTTTCGAGTTTGGAACAGTGATCAGAAATTATTTACAGTTTTTCAATGAAATATATTACGTGGCAACACTGTTAAAGAATTAAATTATAAATTTAGTGATAACAATATCTTAATATTTGTTTTGTTTTTTCACGATCACGAATCATAATAATTAATTTTATCTTTCTTCTGTAGTTACTGCCTTACTGGACAGTTATTGTAGAACTACTTTTACTGCACGATATAATAAAAATAAAAATATAAGAACTGAACACAATTTAAACAAATGGCCAACCGTACGGTAAAAGATGCGAAAACTATTCATGGGACGAATCCCCAGTATTTGATCGAAAAAATTATCCGGTCTCGTATTTACGACAACAAATTTTGGAAAGAAGAATGCTTTGCTCTGTCAGCTGAGTTACTTGTGGACAAAGCTATGTTAATGCGGTTTGTTGGAGGTGTGTTTGGCGGTAATATTAAACCTACACCATTTTTGTGTTTAACCCTCAAAATGTTGCAAATACAACCTGAAAAAGACATCATCGTGGAGTTCATAAAAAATGAAGAGTTCAAGTATGTACGTGCGCTTGGAGCTTTTTACATGCGTTTGACTGGCTCTTCCGTGGACTGTTATAAATATTTAGAACCTCTATTGGCCGACAGTCGTAAATTGAGGCGACAAAACCGAGAAGGACAATTTGAGCTCATGTACATGGACGACTTTGTTGATTCACTATTGAGGGACGAACGTGTTTGCGATGTTATATTACCTCGAATACAAAGCAGACACGTATTAGAAGAAAACAATGAGCTGGAACCCAAAGTGTCAATACTCGAAGAAGACATTGAAGAAGGTGTTGATTCGTCAGATGAGGAAGAACCAACAGATAAAAGAAGAGAAAAGACACATCGAGACAAACATTCTCCAGCAAAGGAAAAAAGAAGAGACAGAGAGCGTGACAAGAGAAATAGGGATAGGGACCGGAGAGATCGTGACAGAAGAGATAGGGACCGGCATAGGAGAAGTAGAAGTCATGATCGAGATAGATCAAGAAGGCATAGATCCCGGTCATCTCACAGAAAGTAAAACAATTTTTTATTTGTAAATATACCTATGTTTTTTTTTTTTATTTTATTCAAATAAATAATGTGTTTTAATCAAAATAATCTTCTATATCAATGTTAGGATCTAATAAATCATCCATTAAATTAGTAACGTCAATTTGATTCAGTATAAGATTTTCACACATTTCTTCAAGATCAGTGTCTCCAATTAACATAGCTCCAACAACTCTTCCATTTTGTATAACTAATTTAACATATTCAAGACCTTCAGTAACACGAACTAATAACTCATAATTCTTATCCAGTCCTTGAGCATTATATAGACCTAATAATATTACTTTGAAGCCAAAAAATGATGTAACATGTGTAAACAACTCAAAACAAAAGTCTTGTAATAATGTTTCATTTGTTTGTGTGGAATACATGCACTTAGCTGCATACATTCCCATTTGTCTTGCTTGAGTCCATAATCGCATTTGAAACCAATGTTCAGAAGTCCAGTTTACAGTACACACATCACCGGCTGCAAAAATATCTGATAAATTTGTTTCCATCTTCCAGTCTACTTTAATACCGCCATCATAGGCAATGTCAAAATGTTTACCATCTCTTACTTCTAAATTGCTATTTGGCGTTACTCCAGTTGCGGATACAACAAAATCACAATCATATACTTTTCCATTAGTCAATTCCACCTTTACTAGGTCTTGTTTAAAAATATTTTTTATTTCAGTCTTATATTCTATGACTACATTCTTATTGTCACACTTGCCAAACATTGTACCACAATGCCAGTCTGGTCCAAGCGCAGCTCCAGAACTATTTTGACCAGAATATCTAAATCTTTTTACCACTTTTTCACTTGATTGATGAGAATTCAAGAAGTTACTAAAAAATTCTGCTGCCCCAGCATCTAGAAAATGTGAACTTATGTGTTCATCCCTTATGATCCAAATAATTTCAATATTACTTAATTTATACACCAAATCTGTAGCAATACCACCATTACCAACAATCAATACTCTCTTGGCATGACTAAGAATTGATTGAAAATACTCAACAGAATGTGTATCACGCAATCCAATAATATAATCTTTGTCATCCAATAATTTTGGTGTAGCTCCCATACATAAACACAATATTTTATACTTAATTTCACGACCGTTGAGAGTGTAAATTATATGGGCCACTGAGTCAATTGCTATTATTTTATCTATTATGTATTTTGTATCCTCGATACATTGAAGATTTCGATCCTCGACATTGAATCCAGCAGCTATTTTAGTGTGAAATTGTACATCAGTAATTACTTTGACAACTGGTGATTCTGAAATTAAAAGCACTGCCTCTGTTGTGTATATTTTTAATGCTTCAACACAACTAATGCCAGCTATACCTCCGCCAACCACTACATAGGGCACTTCAATTTGTTGGTTTTCATCCATTCTATAATTTTTTTCGGTAGTAAAAAAATTCACTTAAATATCACATATTGAAATATTTACACAATTATTTAAAGTAAGTAAATAACAAATTCACATCTGCAACAATTTGTAGTATGATAACACTATCAATTATTGACTATTGTCAATCAAAAATTGTATCGCAAATGATAAAGGCCTCTTCGAGATTCAAATTTCAAAGTATATTACTCTAGTAGTGTCTCAGAATTATAGTTTATCTAGAAATTCGTGGGCATAAATTGGTTTACTTTACTAATCCGGATTAATTATTGTGTCTTTGAAGTTTAGTGTAAAAATAAACCAATTTAATTAATTAGACATTTTTGGCACTGAGTAATCGGTTTAATCCCTCCGTAATTCTTATTATCAGTTATCACACAACATTGGGTATGCACCTCTCAGATAGATAATAATATTATCTATCTCAGTGGTCTGCACTCTGCTTATCATATTGACGTTTTAATTATCATGTTTTTGCACAGATACCTATCGTAGACGTATTAACCACGGACTAAGATATATTCAAGTCCGTGATCTATACTATATTATCTGTGTGTTTTTGTCGTCAAGAATTTATTATATGTAAAATTAATAACAGATAACAAGGGAAAAGTCAGGTTTGGGCCTTTAGGGACAGATTGGTAATTTTCGACCATCTCACTACAGCAGTCGAAGAAAACTAAACCAATATGTTTCGAATTTTAATCAGGTTAGGCTAGCGAATTTCCTAAACATGTTTACGTCTCAGAATAGATCAATTAATGGTTCTCATGATGAAGAGAAGGTCTACATTATGATGGTACTGTAGCCATATCCATAGACTATAGTCACTTCACGCTACCTACTCGTCCCCCCCGGTTACACCACTACCATTATGGCATGTTTCCAGTCCGTGGGCCACTGGGAAAACCACAGATTTATAAATTATAATTTATAATAAGTTTATGGGGAGGGAGAGTGTTAATACATAATTAAAATATAACAATATTTATAACAGGGGATAAAGAACAAACACAATATAAGATATAGTGTATTGTCTTGATTTTTGATTCGTAAGAACTAATTGATAAATTATTAATTATTCCTGTCTGATAGTCTCTAGGAAGAAACATAATCCAGAATAATGATATTGTCAATTGTTCAAACAATTTATAAATAAATACTAATTTTTAATGTTTTCAACGGGATATAATACAAATGAAAACATACACCATGTGTGTATAATTTCACAGGTGAAACATAATTTTTAATGAACTCCAGCTTTAAGTTATTTATAAATCAAAGGTTAATATAAAATTAGTTATGTCCAATAATTTGCAGTGATAATTCATAAATAGTATTATGTTATTTTAATGATAAATTAAAAACAAATATTTTATGTATCTTTTGTAATATTCATATTTTAATTTTAAATTTTATTAAATTAGCCAACAGACTATGGAGGCAAATATATCTTATTCATTATTAAATAGGTACTACATAATAGTATAGTTCAAAATGGTATTCCAAATATTTACAATCTTTAAAAAAAATGTATATAATTATTTATTGTTATTATCACAAATTCAGGATTCAATTATAAAACAATGACAAAATTTTAAAACATGGGAATATTAAATATAAATAACGAATCCTCTTCTTTTTTCATCCATTGCGTTAATTTGGTTATAGCATTTGTTGCACATTCTTTGGATACCAGTGGTTCAAAACACATATATAATTCGACATCGTCTGTTGCCTAAAAAAAATGTTAATATTTTTATATTCTAAAAACCTTTCAACATAAAAAAAAACCATTATTCACCCAAGCCAGCATAGTTTCAGCAGTTAATTGTTGATAAATCACTTTCAATGTTCGTCCAGGGAAATTCATTTGACTGATTAATGAACAGTATACTGACATGAGGTTTTGTTGCAATGTATCAGTATTGTATGGTGATGTAAATGGAGGGGACCAGTGTTGCGAACGATTTTTGTTCTTGTATAGAAGATGTCTTAGCCCTACAATATTAGCTCTTGCTAAATTAAGGGGTTGGCGAACAATTGCTTCATTGATTGCTTGAAGACAATCATTACGTCTCATTTTCTATATAAAAAAAAAAAAATTGTATAAAATACATAAAGTAAATTGTATATAATATTCACTTAGTTTTTAATAGCCAGGTGAAAATTGGTATACTATTATAAACTAATACAATACAAACCTACCTCTGTGATTTTTCTTTTAGCATCAGAGAGTAAAAAAAAAAGATCACGATCAATAGTTAACAAAACTAGACACGCTTGACAATCTTCTGCTAAATATGATATATGAGCATGCATGAAGCCACTGTTAAAAAAATAATACAAATAATTACGAGACTGTTTAGAATAGGTAAGTAAATAGTTTATAACTTATTCTGGCTAAGTCAAGACATCAAAAAATAATATTAATAAATATCATGGTTTATGTATTAGTTCCATTTCTTAGAATAGGTACAGATATTAAAAACAAATACACTTGGAAAAAATGGATTTCTTGGGGAAAAGTTCAATTGTCTGAAACTTTTTGGATATCTAAGTGACCAATAAAACACAAGTTCACTAAAATTGAACCCTAAGTAGTAAAAAGAGACAGACATACTTCGCACGTGGGTGGGCCACTGTTGTAGGTGAAAAGTTGGAAGTGCAGTAGAGGGGAAATTGGATGTAAATCTGGACGCAAATAATTAATTATTGCTAATGAAAAAATGATTCTGAGTGGTTTGGTTAATAGTGTTACTTTGTCAACAATTCATGTCATATTATGGTAAACTAATTACATATACATTATATATTTTCTTTAACAATATTTATTTAATATTGTAACTGTTTTCCCATTTATTATAAAAACAGCTGGGAAAATCAAAAAATAACACCCTTAAAGTACCAAGTATTAAGTCAGATTTTTTTTTAGAAAAAGTGGTATTATTGTAAATCAAAATAAAATTGCTGGTAGAACAGCTCCACAGAAAAAAAAGTAAACATTACTGTAATACAAAAAAATACAAAAAAAAAAAAATGTGGAGTGTGTTGTCAGTATGTATCTATCAAAATGATAAAATATCACCACATTTACACGTTTTAAAATTCTTACGGTAATAGTTATTTATATAAATCACAGCTAATAATCAAGCCTGTTGTTAATTTCTTTTTTCAAAGAAAGTTGAAAACTTATAATTAGTACTATAATCATGAGATTTAATATTAAGATGTGTAGAGATTTAAAAATAATTTGTGCTGATGCTTGATCATGTGTGTAGCAAAGATAATTATAATTTTTTTTTTCTATTATTATTCAAAACCAAACAAATTGTATTTTTATCAAAATATATTAGTATACTTTCTGTAATTACAGAGCCTTCATAATATGTATGCAACAGGCGAAATTATTGACAAACCAACTTTGGATTACTAAAATATTCATATTAAATCTGTTTTTCACCTGGAGTCAAATGCAGGTAGACAAATAGGGGTCCAACTCTCAGCTGTTTTGAATGACTCAGTTGAGTTGATGAGATTTAATATTAAATGAATATCAGATACTTCCAATGAGTATTTTTTCATGCGAATAATTGATATAATGTGTTTTTGAGCAATTAATAAACCAAAAACTAAATTCTAAAACAAATTAAAAATTTGTTAGTATTGAACAAACTAATTCATGATTAAAAAAATAATAATTAACAAACCTTTATTTTACTACATTCAGTTAAAATAGTTTGTGTTATTTTATCTCTGTTACTAGATGGCATTTGCAAACAACTAATAGAATCCAAATAAAATCCTGGATCATTCTCGGTAAACGAAATAAGCTTATCTATCAGCCTTTCAGAACCACTCATTAATCGTCGCAAATCAAAATTATTTCTATTGTGAAAAATTTTTTTAAGCTGAGTTAGTGTCAATATACTAATTATATTATTATAAACATATCTGCAATCAAAAATAATACAATTTATGTTAATTCACAATATTTAATGATTTAATATTCAATTTGTTTGCGGTACTTCACGAATTACGTTAATTGTTTTTTAATTCGATCATAAGGCTCAGCAGATTGTGACACACCAACGAGTATGATAGGATCTTTATTTAGAAATACTATTCGAGTATGACCACAACAAATAGACTGTAGTGTATCATTTGAATCCTGGGTCACAGACACTAAAGCTATCATTAGACCAAATAGGGAGGCCATCTGATTTTCATTTCCAAATCTATTTCAAAGATATAAACAAAAATATTTTAATAAAAATAATTTAGTTATAATAAAATATTTACCGTGTGTAAATTGGTTTACCAGCTGTACTTAAAACAAATATATGCTTGTTGTTTCCTTTAAGTTGATCAAATATATTTTCGTGTACAATTTGTTGTTTTGAAGTACTGGGTTTGGATTCATCTTCAGTAATTGATAAATTAACTATTGGATTATGTATTGTAATATTATCAACACTAGAATGCAGAGCAGTTGTGGCGGTTTCTTGTTGTTCTTCCATATCATTTGCTGTTAACAAATTTAATAAACTAAATAATATTTGTTAATGTCAAAGAACCTATATTTTTTTTTTTATCAACCCGAAGATTAGTTTTTAACAAATTTTTACAATAAATGACTTCTCTATTTTTCTCTATCATATTCTTGAGATCCCTGTAGGAAGTGACTCCTGCATCCTTCATTATTTGGCTAATGTATTTCGTCTTAGGTCTTTCTCTAGATCTTGTTTCTTCTATCATTCCTTCAATTATTAAACTATGCAGTTTATCCTTATGCCTCAACGTGTCCTATCAACTGCTATCTCCATATAGTGTCTATCAATGTTTGTTTTTTAACTATTGTCCTCAAAATATCTTCATTATATGTTCTCTCAGTCCAGCTTATTCTCTACATTTTTTTCCAACACCACATCTCCAGAGCTTCCAACATATCTTTCTCTTTTTTTTATTAATTGACCACGTCTCGCTTCTTTGTTTCTATGTTCATATTTTTTGATGTTAATAATTTTTTCTTTTTAAGGAATTTTTAAGCATTTTTTACTAGACCCATCCTGCTTTTGATTTCCCTAGTTGATTTTCCATCATTCTTTATAATACTGCCTAAATATTTGAAATAGTCTAATTGGAGAATTTTTTTTGTTTTCTAGTGTTATATTTATAGATAGTATGTTTTTCTTGTAGCATACTAGAGTTTTGGTCTTAGCTGCATTCATTTTCACATTATACTCTTGGAATATGGTATTCATTACATTTAACACTGTTTGCAAGTCTTTCTTAGATGTTGCGAGAACGGCTATATCATCAGAAAAGCAAAGCATTGTTATTAGTATCCTTCCTATTTTCATTCCATTTCTTTTTTGATCTAAACAAAGTTTTATGACGTTAATTGTTTTTCCATAAATAAATTGAACAATGCAGGTGAAAGTTAGCACCGTTTTCTTATATCTTTTTAAATTCTGGCATCATTTTTGTTGAATTAATATTGATAATGATTTCTTGATCTTCATAAATCTTATAGAAAATACGTCTGTCATTAAATCTATCTATATCATTTATTGTGCTGGTCATTTGTTAAATTTACAATTATTTAAAAAAAAACTATTTATCTGATACAATATACTATCAATGGTAACTTTTAAGAATTCATTATATTCAATGGATTAAGTTAATTTTAGGCAATGTTAAAAAATTAACATTTCACAGTTAATTGAAAAAATGTAATATTATTTTTGGGCATAAATCTTATTTAGCACCACCTAAAAATTTTGTATTTTATTTAAATAATAAAACAATCAAAACACCTGAAATATTCGGAAAAAAGTGCAAAACAAACTTACAGGAATCTGTTGCGAACTTGGGATTACTAGGATGATAACAGCTACAATCACCACAGGTCTATGATAGACATGCTGATGTAAATGGCAATATTAAGTTATTCAACATAATACACATAGTACCCTAACTTCAAAACTAATGATTTCTGTCAAAAAATATTTACACTATCCTTTTTAAAACGTTAAAATACAAAGGTTTCTGAAAAAACACAAAACTTCAGAATTTTGGAGGGTGCTAAACTAAATTTTGTTTTGTTTTTTGATTTAATACACTTCTTGCACATACTTTAATTATTTTGAAAGTATAGCTTACTAAAAATAAACTCATATTCTTAAGCACAAAATAACCGAGAACGCTATAAAACAATACTAATGTTCAAATTCTTTTTAGGATATAATTAATTTGATTTGTTTACATACCTGAACAACAAAAATCAAATAATAATATTGTACAAAATCATTTTCAATAGAAACCAAACCAGTAATCGACTTATTAAATACGATGTATTAAAATAGTAATATATATCATTGGTCTGGGTAAACAGAATAAGATGAAATCTGTTCAGTTCGCAGACAGCATATTTTGTCAAAAATTATTCGATACTGACAAATTCAATACATTTGTGATGATAAATAATATAAAATAATAATAATAATAAAATTGATAAAACTGTGTCTTGATAACGATAATAAATGAAATAATCTAAGACCGCGAATGAAATCGTGATAAATAAACTTCATGCGCAAGTGGGCGTTGGTCGGTGGTACGCATGTGTACTAAATGGTCAAATTATTCTCTTATCTAAAGCACATAGGTATTCATCGATTGATAAACAAAATATTTTGCTTGTAATTCTCTTCAAGGTATATTCTATAAGAGTATTATAGTATTATTTCTTTATGTTGTTTGTGTATACAAATATTATAAATACACTTAAAACACAGACACGTCTTAAACCCGTGAATATCGTAGTGGGACTTCTGAGCTATTCCCGAAAACTTGCAGAGACGGACAGTCGAATCATAATTAAATTGCGAAAACATAATTTTCGTTAATGGCTATGACTTCTGGGAAAGATACAATGGGGTAAGTGTTTTATTTGATCATAATAATACGATAATTTGTAAACGTGTTAATCAAAATTTAAATTTAAAATCATTCAATAGAGAGCAGCCGATATTCACATGCAAAGCTCATGTATTCCACATAGATCCCAAAACAAAAAAATCGTGGATATCAGCATCCACGGTGGCTGTCAATGTTTCTTTCTTTTTTGACTCTCATCGTGCCTTGTATCGCATTATTAGTGTCGAAGGAAGCAAAGTATGCCTTGATAATGTTAAAAAGTAATCGTAATATTATAAAACAGAATTATTAACATGTTCTAAAATTTTTAGGCAGTCATTAACAGTACAATAACGCCTAACATGTCATTTACAAAAACGTCTCAAAAATTTGGTCAATGGACTGACACTAGAGCCAATACTGTGTATGGCCTAGGGTTTTCATCTGAACAAGAGCTAATTAAAGTATGTCTTATAAAATAATTATATGTCATTAGTTTGTTGTATTAATTGAAACAAAATTAATTCCATTAGTTTATACATAAGTTTGAAGAAGTTAAGGAAAAAACCAGACAATCGGCAGTCAATGGACCACAGCAGATTCAACAAAATTATATGAGTTCAACGACACCAGTTACGAGTGCTAATGCTAGTCCTGTAACTACTCGTATTAGTCAATCATCTGAGGGTCAAAGTATTATTGAACCTCCCAACATGACACCAACAGAACCAAATACTACTCCTGAAGATACTAATTCAACTGAACAAATGATTAACCAAATGTCTAAAAATATGATTTCTAATGCTAATCATGTAATAAGAAATAATTTTTTAGTTAAGTATAATTGTTGTTTCAATATATATTTTGTATCTAGGCTGTAGAGAGTCCAAAACATCAAGTAAGCAATGATGGACGGATGAGTGGTGGAAATTCTATGATGTCTGAATCTCAATTAAAATATGAAAATGAAAGATTAAAATCAGCTTTAACACATAGGTAGAATATTAAATTTATTGTTAATTAATTCTAATAATATTAACTATCATCTTAAATATCTTAGAAAATGTTTAATATATCTCTAAAAATATATTGACATTTTGCTATTTACAGTTCTGCAAATGCAAAAAAATGGGAAATTGAATTGCAGACATTAAAAAACAATAATTTAAGACTAACAAATGCATTGCAAGAGAGTACAGCCAATGTAGATGAATGGAAACGTCAATTACAATCTTATAAAGAGGAAAATCAAAGATTGAAAAATAGATATCTAGATTCTGAAGTAGCCAAAGGTAAATGTAATAATAAATAATTTGAACATACAATAATGTTTTATATAATTTAACATTTCATTTATTTGTCTTAAGGAGGATCAGAAGTCGCTTCAGAATTAAAAAATGAGTTAACTAGTCTACGCTTGAAAATTGAAAACTTAGATGGTGAATTAAAAAATAAAAATGAAGAAATCCAAAAGTTGAATCTGAATAGAATGCCACTCGAAGAAAAATGCAAGGTAAGCGTTAAGTTTATATCATGCTATCTAATTTTGAAATAAACCTAACAATTTAAATTTGTTATAAAGGTGTTAAGTCAAGAGAATGCTGAACTTCAAGCTGCAGTCAGTTTAGCCCAAGCACAGTTAGAAACAGCTTTAGCAGCACAAGAATCACAAAGACGTGTTATAGATACACTTAACAATAGCTTATTTGTGCGTATACAAGAGTTGGCCGCAATACACAGAGAAATGACTACTGCAATACAAACCTAAGGTACAATGACGATCTGTGAATAGTTACATAACAGATATGATAATTGATTATAGAAAGATATTTAAAATTTAATTTAATTTTTATGATATTGTATAATTATTATTAAGAGTAATTTTTTCCATTTATAAAAATTGTTATGTACTTATCTATTATCGAGCAAAATAATGAACGTGACTATATTTAAGGAAAAGGCTAGCTTGTATACACTGTATATAACATAATATTTCTGTCATCATGCAAAAAGTGAGCAATTGAAAAACCATGATTAAGAGAACGTTATACTTGCGTGTGCTATTTGTGTTAATATTTGACCTATTATCAAACTTAAAAATATGAAAATTATCTATTGTTTATTTTTTTTGTGGAATTTTATTGAGCGTGTGAAATAACCAAATTTAAAAATAAAAAACCATATTTTTCTTAAATATTGATATTATAGTATATGATTTTATTTTATATATTATATAAATAATAATAATTTTTCTTTAAGATTTGATAATAGGTCAGTTTACTTTAATATTAAATTTAACAGCTTAGAGTTGTCCCTGCTGAATGTAAATTTGATGTCTCATGATTGTAAGACTGAGACAACACATGCGAATATAACATCTTCTTAAACGGTTCATTTCATCTTTATATGATAGGTACAGAAAGTGTCTTAGTGATATAAATCTTTTAAGAATCATGCTTAACTAAAATTATATCTACTTAAATTTAAATTATTAAATCACTGACAGTGAATATATTTTATAATTATAATACATTAATGATAGTTTTTTTGCTTAGAAAATAGAACAAATTAGCACAAACATATTAAATGTTTGCAATAACCATATAGTGGGGTGAAATACAAAAGTATGCCTTTCCCCTAAAGCTGCTTACACACTATATAATTAAAAATATGAGTGCACTGTCCTTAAATACTATATTTTATTAAAAGTTTGAACTGAAATAATTTTAAATAATTAATAAATTTCCATTTTTAAAATGTATTTGTCTTTTCTATAGTTTTATTAGGCTCTTATAATTAATAAATATGAAAATAAATCAAATAACGAATACTTTCATGAAATATCACACAATTTTCAATACTGAGAATAATAAAAATAATACTATATAGTTAAAAATAATAGTTAATAATAGTAAAAATAAAGACTCCTTATGTGTAAATATACAGGTTTTAAAGTAATGTTTAAGAAATTATTTGAAATGTACAGTGCCTAGAGAAATGATAAAAAAAATTTAAAAAGTTAATAGTTAGAATTTGACTTATTTTTTAATGTTGTTTTTAATATTTTTTTAATTTACTGCAACATTTTGGCATGGATTCATATATCATATGATTTTCAAAACTTTATAAACTAGTTAATTTCTATTTAAAAATATAACAAAATAAAATAAATATTTTTGATTTACTGTTTATTGTTTTATTATCTATATATATATAAGAAGAAAAAAACAGTGTAAATATTATTTGAAATATACTAATTAGGTAATATATTATTTTTAATTGCTACCATGATATCATATAGAATATATTCATTAAGGTTAATTCTCAATTCGCTTAATATAATATAAGGTTTTGGGCTATCGATCAATGCTAAAAACATATAATAGAAAAAAAAAATTATTTATTTATTTATTTTTATTTTTTTATTTGTTGGAATGGAAAATAATATTATGGTTTCAAAATTTTGTTGTTTTATTTTTGAAATCATAAATTCCTCTTACAATTATATAAATTATCCCCATTCTATTTATTAACAGCAATACTTCAAAGGATTTTGAAGTCAAAAGATAAATATTACTAACAAACCTAAATAAATGCTGCATTTTCATTGTGCATGGATCTCTTATTGTGTGAGTTCTACCAAACAATTACAATAATATTTACTATTTATAGTTTATTAACTCTCTGTACCTACTCAATATAATTTGTGTTTCCCATTTAATCTGTGAACTCTTGTAAATCTTTATTTTCAAGAATAATTTATAATAATTTTGAGTATTATTTATTTTGATATTAAAACCCTTTTAACATTTTACATCATTTAAAATAAAAAACAAAAAACCATTTGCAGTATTTTAAATTTTAATACTTGTTTTTTATTTTGAAAAATGTGAAAACAGCCTGTAATCTCATAGTTGTTAACATACGTTCATTTGTATCTCATGTGTAAGCAGCTTTTATGTTTTATCAGTTCCTCTGCTACTATATTATTATTAATTAAAATAATATTAAGATCAATAAAAAAAGATAGTTTTAATGGCAATAATATTGTTAATCAATATTAGTAGAGTTTATTTCAATAAAATTAATCAATGTGCAATTTATTTATTTATTTATTTTTTTAAATATATATTTTATCAAATTTATGATCTTAAAAATACATTAAATAAAAAACAGAATTGAACTTATATTGGATTTTTTAAAAATACTTATTATTATACCAATTAATGTATTCTTATATCTATTTTAATTTGGTTGTGTATTTAAAATAGTTTAATATTATGTAAATTATTTATTTTATGGTAAAAGTATTAGTACACATTTTCCATGTAAAATATGCTGTATATGTTTTTAATTTTTTTTTAATTGTAAAAATGGTTAATTGAATTTTACCTATGCAACGCACAATTGCCAGCCATTTATCTAATTATAATTTAATATTCAATAATTACAAAGTATAAGTATCAAAAGTTATTTATGTTAGAACTTTAATATGAGTCAACTTCCATTGTATGTATATAACTGAAACATATAGTATACTGGTATAAATATTATAATACACTATTAATACATATTACTATATTAAAATTAAACATGTTTGAGAGAATAAAAAACAAGATCTTTAAAAAGATAGGTTTTAGAACAAAGAAAATGTGACTATAAGTTTGGGAAGATATGAAGGAATGTGTAGTAGATAAAGAAACACTGATAAATAAGGTGATTTTGATAGTGAAAATAAGAATTCCAAATAAGCTGTAACTTCAGCTGTATGGAAATTAAGGGAAGAGAAAAAAAAAGATGCGTTTCTATTTTATCCGGGGAATGGCTATGTTTTTATTCTTGTGATTAAGGTTTTACTATATTTAATATTCATTAAGAAATTGAGTTTCTTCTGTATGAAATACTACTTTTTTTCTTAATTAATCTAATTTACTGTATTTTTAAACTTTTTGTATTGTTAACTATGTGAGATTTAAAAAAAATATTACATCATTACCTACTCAAACTTATAGTATTATATAATTATACAATTATTTTACATACTACATAATTTTACTTCATATTGGTTTGATTTTGTTTAGATTTTTCATTCAATTGTTTGTAAATTTAAAACATTTATACTTCTTGTATTATCTAATTAGAATAATATTAATGTATCAACTATTTTAGAAATCATTACTTTTTTCTTTTAAGCATTCTTAGACAATTTGCAATTAATATATTTTGTATTGTGTTCAATGTGATAAATACTTACATTGTGTTTACAGTTTACACAAAATAGTAGACATTTAATTAATAAGTCAAAACATATATGACAACTTAATAGCTCTAACTGAAAGCTTTTAGACAATTGTAATACTTAAAAACAAAAATATTGGATATTGTATTTTATATTAGAATAATTATAATGGATACTTTTATTATAGATTTTTGTATAAAGAAGGATCAAATAAATTATTTATTTTCTATTATGACCCATGAAAAAGGCTGACAAGTTATGTGAGTTAGTATAATTGAATAGTATTTATGATCAAAGTGTTTATGATGCCCCAAAATACGAATACAAGTTGATTCAATATGTTCTAATTTTATTTATCTGAAAATTGTCAATTTATTTAATTTATATTTATTGATTTTTCTGCAATATTACTAAATATACTTTCCCTTTGTTTTTTTGATAGTATTTTTAAAAATTATTTTAGGTTTATAACATTTAATAAGTCATTATTCTGCCAAGTTTTTTGTTAAAATTTTAATTTAAAGTTTATAAAGTATTGATTGCATGTGTTTGTGCCAATAATTACATATTACCTATTATAAAATAATGTACACTTTTAATATATTTAATAATTTTATTCCTACTTATTTGCGTATTTATTATTTTATTTTATTCAATCTAAGTTTATATATTTTTAGATAATAATTTTAAATTAAATTAAATCTTATAATTATTTAAGTTTGTATTTTATCTTATAGTATGGTAGCTTTGCCATTAACGTGATCCAATTAACGAATCTAGCAATTTTTATCAATGTTTATAAATTGGACTTTTTCCACATATGCAACAAAATTTTTACTGCAATAAAAATTGCATGTAATACAACTTGGTTTAATTCATTGTAACAATTGTAAACATGGGCTGAAAAGATGATAAAAAGGTTACCTACTTACAGGTTAGTAGAATTTTGGTCTAATTCATTAGGCCCAAATAATGTTTTATCCAACAATGTTAGTCCTATTTATTTGTCGTATGAAGTTAAGTCTTGAATATGCTATAGTTCAATGTATTTTCCATCTAAAATACATTACAGTTCAAGTACATTTTTTGTCCGTGTATAGTCCAAAATACTCCATTTCAAAAATGTATTTGGTCAAATTTTAATTTAAAATTGTATTGATAAGATTTTTGCATTTTAAATTATTATTCATAATAGAAATATTTCTTTAAACAAATTTAAGAAGTAATTTGCTTAATATAAAGTCCAAAACGAAATTACTCTGTCTGATCATTAGCTTACCTCTTATAAGTACAGTAATCCAATTGTGATAAATTAATTTTACAATAAATGAGTCGTTAGTATTTATTTAGTTTCCTTAAGCCATACATTTATAAAATAATGAATAAAAGTACATTATATATTAGTTTGATAGAAGATATGTGTGAATATTTAAATACAAGTGTAAGAAGTCTATGTGAATAATGGACAATTTTGGTGTTAGTCTAGGTGTGTATATTGATTCAGGAATCAGTTTTGAGCCCTTACCTATTTTCTATTGTAATGGATGAAATATGAAGAAAATACAAGGTGTAGTACTATAGTGCATGATGTTTGCAGATGATATAATTTTGATAGAAGAATATCTGGAAGATATAAATTTGGAGGAACTGGATAAGAAATCTAATGGCAATAAGCTGTGAGATTAAGTACTTTCAATACCTGGGAAAACGATGATTTTAATGAGGACATTAAAGACATGATTAAGGGCAGTTGGATGAAATGGTGAGAATCGTTGGGTGTTTTATATGATGAGGATTCCAACGAAACTTAAGTTCTACAAGAGTGGTGGACCGACTATGTTGTATGGTCCAGTGTTGGACTGTAAAAAGTGGTTGGATATAATTGAAAATAATATATGAGTATGCAATGGCAATATCAGGGATCAGAACAAGTGGAAGTTTAGGTTGAGAGTGAGCGATCACAAATAGTTGCGATGAAGGCAAAAAAAAAAAAGGGTAAAGTACATTGGGCATTAAAAGTAATGGACTAATTTGTATCAGACTTAAAAAATATTGGATAAAATGGCATTGGACAAAAATTCTTGCAACCATTTATAGAAGTAAACTATATTTTAAATAATTATCAAAATTATGTGCAGACCAACAAAAACCTAGTTTGACAACACTTATATTGGTTTTTCAAGATTTTTTCATGTAAACTGCAGTAAGAAAGGAATAGAAGAGCTGCCTAAGTATTGCTTATTTCCACAAGTCAAATAAAATACATTAATACAAGACTTTAAATTTTAATAAAAATAGAATTATTATATTACATTGTTTTTCCACTAAAATATTGTTATTTATTAAACAATAATAATAAATAGTTTGTAGGTAATAAAATCAATTTAAAAAATTTCTCTATAAGAGAACAAATCATTGAACACTTAAATATTCAAGTACTATTGGTATTATATTGTTGTAAAATTCCTGTTGCTTTTCTGTATATAGTTATATGATCTAAATATTGCTGAATGGTGTCTAGTGGTTGAAATATATCATTTATACGATTCTGAAAAATAAATTTAAAAAGTTATAAAATTCAAAAACAAATATAGATCACAAATCATGTTCATTTTAACTTCTAAAGACTTCTACCAATAAATGTAAATATACAGAATTTACAATTGTCAAAGTAACGTTAAATTCAATCTTTTCAAATATGAGTATTAATTTGATTTATTTTTACATTTCAAGTGTTGCAAACAATTATTATTAGTTGGAAATATAATATATTGTACCTAATACAATTTTATTTTATTAACCTATTAATTTATACTAACTATAATTATTTTTACTATTAACAAATGTAGGTATTTTTCTTACTTGAAAATAATGTGGAGGAACATTTGAAACACATGATCCTAAAAATCCTTGAAGAAATTCTCGTAACATATCCCAACATAAACCAAACACAACACAAGGCCTATATTCTGCCTGAACATAAAATTAATTATTATTAAATTGTAAGAAATATAATAATAATACTTTTTAAATTCATTTATAGAAATATTTATTTTGTACAAATTTGAAAATACAACACTTTGGACCAAATTTTAATTTTACACTAATATTTAATAAGTCGTGCTTACTTCTACAATAATGCCTTTAACATTGTGATTGATGTTTATAGCACCGATTTTAATAACAAAATCGTTTAATTCAAATCGAGGACCTCTTATTTCAACTTTAGATTTTTTAGACGTATAAACAGATGACATCTTCAATAAAAGTAAATCAAATAATGCATCTGCTACAACAGGTACAGTTTTCCCGGTTCCATTATCAAGGATTGCAAAAACCGATGCTGGCTGTTCAGAATTATGGAATACATGCAATGTTCGTTGGACACCTAAACAAATATTTCAAATTAAACTAATATTTTGTTTTAATAATATTTCATAACAAATTACCTAATTGAGGTATAGAGGCATACGTTTCACAGTCAACAAGAAATGTACCACATTGTTTGGCACCAAGTGCAATAATTCTTTTTGTAAGAAATTCAATTATGTGAGCTCCAGAACGATTTTCTTTCATTGGAAATTGTTGTAAACTAGAAATATTAAAAATAATATATATTATTAGTAACTGTCCATCAACGGTTTCAATTTATGCTTATGAGCTAAATACAAACATTGTAACACCCATATTTCGGTTGAAAAAGGTAAAAACTTCAAATATAGTAAATTGTTATATGGTACATGTTTAAATTGTGTTATAAAAATTAATTAAAGTAATAAAAATTCAAATTATTCCATACCTCTTCAATAGGTATCCTTTTTTTATTAAACCACTATCAGTTACCACTTACCAGTAAACAATAATACGTACGTATACCACGCATTTAAACGAGATAAGTTAAGAGATCGACGCGGAAATTTGGTGTTACGCTCGGAGCCTATTATCATGTATCGACTATGCTGACATCTAGCTGCCAATAAAGCAAACGGTCGTTTATTTGAGAATGCGTAGGAAAATATAATATAACTGTGTACATTAAAATATTAGTAAATGGTATTATGGTGTTTTTAAATGTTTTACAAAAATCATACATTATTATTTAACATGACAGATACATATGACAAAACTCAAGTTCTCAATCTACTATAATACGTGCATGCAAATAGAGATACATATTATCCACCGACCACCAGTGATGTATTGGCGGGTATGCGGGACTATACATCGTACATATATCCAAATCGTATTTGACCGTCAAAGCGTATACCGTTTTGAAAAATAAACCGTACGAGCGTGTACTGGTAAATGATGAGTAACCAAAATTATTGATATATTTTCGTCATTGCTGCGCCCACGGTGTTGGGTTATAACAAACGACAATTATACTCGGACCATAGATATATGATCATATGGCCTAAGATAATAAGTACATAGTTAATGTGCATGGTCGAAAACCGCGGTCCGTGCACAGAATTATGATTGATAACTGATAAGCCGCCAACGTGAGGGTCGATTCTACCCGATCAGCGATCAATGATCAATCGTTAATCGAAACATTTGGTCGTTCGGACTAGAAGTCTGTGGAAAAAAATACCTATTAATTTATAATTTCGTCGCATAAACATTAGGACGCGCCGTAGTTGTTCAGCATGGATAAAAATATTTTGCGAATCCGTAACTCCGAATGTACCGCGTCGAAAAAACGAACGCACCGTGCCACCGTAACTCCGCATTCTAATCTGGTTGGTGAGTAAAAATGTCGATTTTTATTTTCCATATAGATTTTTAACAACTGAGCAAAACCGAAAAAAAACGTAGAAAGAACCGGAAAATTTACGAAAATAATAGTTTTATTATTTTAAATTTTGTTTTGTTTTTTTGTAATCCAGTTAAAAATATTCGTAAAGACTTGATATTTGGACAGAAAACCAATATTTAACTTTTCTAGATGTAGTAAAATTTTCAAAACATTTGAGCCATTTTCGATCTATTTATAGAATCTTAATTTTGCGAGATTTTATCAACCCAAGTTCAATAGTCCCGTAAAAAGGAGAAGACTGTCTCATGACGATGGGGACGGTGGTGGTTGCAGCTACTACTGTAGGTGGGAAGTTGGGATGGTAGGATAAAGATTATGGGAATTTATTGTATATCTGTACGCAACGATTAACCGTTGCTAACCGATTCAGAGTCGAGTTCGGTTGTTAGTGTTGCTTTGTCAACAATATATTTGTCATATTATGGTAAAATAATTACATAGGTATGCATTAAAGTTTTTCTTTAATAATATTTTTTTAGATTACGTGTGTAGCGAAGAATGTTTTGGTTTTACAAAGTTGTTTTTTTTTTTTATTTTGTGTAGAAAAAATTACCAGAAATCTTGTTCCGATTCCGATATATATGCATGGCACCATTTCTGAAAGAAATTATTGTCCAAATAGTACTTTTGGGAAGTAATTTTTTGATTTTTTAAGCGGTTTTCATAATATCTAGGGAAAACCAGGATAAAACGTGAGAAAACAGGTTATGAACAAAAAAAATGCTTTTATATTATTTTTTCAATTGTGTTATTTGTTGTAATTTAGTTAAAAATATTCGTGGAGACTTAGACTTTGGACAGAAAACTTAGGTTTTCCTTTTTTAAACATGGTCAAATTTTCAAAAAAATTAAGCTATTTTTGAGCTATTTTTAGAATCTAAATTTTGCGAGTTTTTGACGTCATCCTTTTCGGTAGGTACTTAGTGGTTAAAATTGTTAAACCAAAGAGAAATGATTGAAAATTGAATGGGAGGTTTATTAAAAATCTTAATTTATGGTTAAAAAAAAAAAGATTGAGGTTAATTTAGAATTTTTTTTTATAAAGGAATTTTAATATCAAATTTTGTCAAAAATCTTAATTGTTAGGGCCTTTCAAAACATGTATAACAGAATTCTACTCAGAATCGTTCAGAATGATTAATTGTCTCAAACAGATGCATACCAAATTCCTCTTTATATTCTACCTCCTCAACTTCTTACCTACAACAGTGGGGTGCCCACCCATCGTGCAAACTGAGATTTATGTCCGTATATACTAGTGATTCACTAGGCGTGTTCATTCCAATTTTTTTGGTTAAATTTTGCATATATTCAAATACTGATTTTTCGCAGCATTTAAGTAGTACCCTGTACCGATAATATCTATTTTTGATTTTTAAATGTAAACTTTTATTGAAAATCTATAAATAGATAAGGTGTTTGTTTAAATAAATGTCGGTGTTAACATTTGATTTCCGTCAGTTCGTTGACGAAATATTCCACTTTTAAGTTTAAGTTGGGAGAGTGTATATTGGAGTATCATTTGTGATGTCAGCAAAACGCGCAGCGTTTTATTAGTGCTCCACTTCCCTACTCTCCTCCAGCATAAACTTAAAACAAGTTGACGGAAATCAAACATTTTAACACCGAAATGTATTTAAACTAACATCTCATCTATTTATGGATTTTTCAATATAGGTTCTCATTTGAAAATCAAAAGTAGATATCGCCACAGGGTACAATTTGAATGTTGTGAAAAATCTAAGTACCCGAAAATATTGGCTTTAACTACACTTAATACTTCCAAAAATCAGAATTTGAATATACGAGTTAGTCCCCGGAAAATAATTTGTCAGGACTGTATTTGTGATTTGTTTCGGAAAATGATTTGTTGGAAGCATTATTTTGTCGAAACCGTAATTCATCTGAAAATATTTGGTTGGAACCGTATTTTGTCGGAAAATATTTTATAACTTTGCTCTGTAAACTCAGTCCAAATCAGTGTTTTGAGATGGAAATTAAGAACCTATTTAACTCCAATAATTTGTTATTTAATATATAGGTACTGGACATTGTACTTGCCTATTGTTTGTACATAAAAAGATCAATGTATATCTGTTTGTTCGTTATGGATTACTACACCATTCATCCGATCACCATGCAATTTTGTAGAAGTTTCACTTTGTCTGGAGAAGGTTTATGGCTATTGAAATCCGCCCTCTAATGAATATCATTCCCTAAAATTTTGTTTTTAGATCCTATTTCGTATAAAAAACTAATTATTTTTGTTGATATATGGGTTATATTGATAGCATGGATAAAAAACCATTGTTATTAATTTGAGTAAATAATGCAATCCCTGTGTTGTTTTACAGCATCGTATAACATTTACTCGTCTTTACCTTCGAGATCAGTGGCGTAATTTGGAACACATTTTGGAGATTGTAAAAGCGTTTTTACAGCTCATAAATTCGTAAGGTGCATGTTATTTAAGAATTAAACAAATAATTTGTTCTCTGCTCCATTAAAAATCTATAACATAGATAACAGACAAGTATTTAGGTTACTTATTTAAAGATACTTTAAAAAACACTCACTTTTTGACTTTCTGTATCTTGCTTAATAATAGAAGTACCGACGTGAATCCTAGAGCAAAATATTTCGAGTAGAAAACAGATAATAGACATTTGAAAAAATTAATTTTGGAAAAGAAAAATCAGCTTTTATGATTGAGAAACCAAGATGTACTAACTTTTAATGTCCTGTTTAGTAGTTTTAAAGAAAATTCTTTAATTAATAATTATGTACAGTCATGAAATATTACTTTAAACGTTTATTATACGTTAGATAGGTACTGTAATAATATTATTAGGATTTGTTTTATTAGATGTACGCTAAATGTTGTATAATGTTACGGGTTCTAGGTAAAAATGTTCGAAAAAAAATGCTCGGTTAAAAAAATGTCCGGAGGTAAAACATCCGGCATGTAGGTACCTATAGCTAGATAAGAAAAATGTATTAGTGTACTGATTAGTGTTAAGTTAGTGTTAAGAAACTCTGTACATTTACCTCCTGCGGGCGTTAATTATTATAAATAGATAAGAACTAACCCAAGTCGATAGGAACGGGTTTTACTTTAATATTTACAACGATATATTTTATAATTTCTAATTGGCTTTGCTTTTGATTAGATCTGATATTATGAAAAATTGTACAGTTAGTACAGTTTTATTTTTACATTGTGTACAAATGTTGTGATTCTGTATTAGCATTTAATATTGATAAATAATAATACGGTTTATTACTTTACATTAACTTGTTAGCCAGTCTGTTTTTTTGGTTTGTAGCATACCAGCTGTGTAGTTGTGTTTCGCAAAAAATAATTTTAAATTTCAACGTTAAAGTTTTTAGATTCCGAGCGTAGTGAAACTATTGGTTTTACAATGCTGTTTATTTCTTTCTTTGTTCTAATCTGTGGACACGTTTTTTCCGAGTAAACTTGCCGTGATTTTTACGTGTAGCAACTTTGTGGAAAACTCAAGTTGTCTAGATTGTACTGTAGACAAGTAATTAATTTTGATTTTTGACGCTGTTTTTTTAAATAAAAGCACTTAAGTGAGAAATAACGTAAGAAAACGTACAATTTCACGATTTCATTATTTTATAAAAACACGGACGACGTTTTCTACCAGAAAAAATGATTTAATCGAAAAATCACAAAATACCTTTTTCGTTTTTTTGTTGCCTTTTTGATTTACTTTCTTACGGTATCATCGTCAATAATGTTGAGCCAATTTTGAGCTTTTAAGGAATTTTTATCTTTGAGAATTTTTTGCTGTAATTTGGTTATAAATACGCGTAGACTTGAAACTTGGTAATAATACTTATATTGGACTTACCTAGACGTGGTGAAATTTCCAAAATCATCGGACGACCTTTTTTTTTTTCAATAAGCGTTTTAAATCACGAAAATCACAAAAAAAAAAAATACGGCACTTTAAGTTATGTATTACCGAACTCCTCTCGGAATCGTCTTTCGTCAAGCAATGGTTTATCTTTGCTTACAGATATAAATGAAATAACCTTATGTATCTTACCTTCCCAATTTCTCACCTATAACAGTGGCAGCTTCCATCTCCAGTATCAGATCTTTTTTTTATACTGTAAACCATTTTTATCCTAGAAAACTAGCTGCGATATAAAAGTGTAGCACCTTTTATGAAAGTCAATTTTATCTAATTGATAAATACATAGGTTATTTTTTAATTTTCGGAACAGTATTTAAAATAAAAACGATTAACCGGGGAAAAAAATATTATTTTTTCACGATTTTTTTATTTTAAATAAGTACCTACCACGTTATCTTGCACAAATATGGCTCCAATTGAAAAACGACAAGAGATCTTTTTTGTTGAACTATCAATCTTGTTTTTAACGATGCAGGTCGTTTTTTAATTTTTGAATCAATTTTCTTAAAAATCGGGAAAAGAGGTAGGGAGGTTGGGTTTAAAAAAATTTCGGTAATTTAAATAATGTATTACCGAACTGTGCTCGGAATCGTCTTTCGTCAGTAATGGTTTATCGTTGCTCACAGATATAAATTAAATAAATTTATGTATCTTACCTTCCCAACTTCTCACCTGCAACAGTGTCCGCACCCTTTCCCAGTATCAGCTCTTTTTTGTTTGTTTTGAACATAATAATATGTATATTGCCGATTTAAGATCGATGGTGAAGTCAGAATTGAGTAGACTAACTTATTTTCGAAATTTTAGCTTTTTGAAGTTCTGATATTATGTTAAATAACTCTATATTGTCAACTTCATATTATTATGTCTGTCTATAATATTTAGATAGTAGAGTAAAAATTTAATATTTATATTTGAATATTTAAATTGTTAAATGACATTTATTGTTTTGTTAATTTATTGCTATATACATATAACAAACTATTTATGTACAATTTGTTTCTGTGTGTGTGTATTACTTTCAAAAAACATCTGTCCAATTTTTCCAATTTACCGGGTAAATGCCCATCGTTAGTAACAACTATGTTAATACTTGTAATATCGTCTCGGCTTGGAAAAGTTTGTTTCCTAAAATGCGATTCTATCATATGTATATTATATGAACACGATCGACATAAAAAAAACAACGTGTATAACTGCATGTGTATGTATACGACTATGTACACGTCGTGTCGGAGGGCTGACAGAAGGGAATGGCCGCGAGTGATTCGGTTTCAGTTGCCAGAAGCATCCCCAAGTGGTCGGTTTAGACTGTCTGGCTTTGTACAACACACTCCGTTCTACTCCGTGAATATTCGTAAAAACAAATTGAATTTAATATACGAACGTTTACTCGTACACACGCGTCGTCGTCGTTTAAAAAACTATGATTTTTTTTTCAAACCTATTACTAACGATAATATTACGTGGTACACGATCGTTGAATGAACAATCAAATTTTTTTATCTCGCGAAGTCGTTAGTTTATATTTTTATTATAATATAAAGTAGTATAGATATAGGTCGGTATCTTATTACAGCTTTACCTATTATCTTTTTTGAAGTTTAATCACTGTGTATATATATAAAAAAAAAAATCGGATACAGGATATAATATGCTGCATACAATAGTAAGACAAATCGTCGTAATGGTTGTCATTCTTAACGTCTCCAGAGCGAATTGGTGGTACGTGTTTTTTTATTATTTACTCATCACTATGTAATTTTTTTGTTTATTAACATATGTATTGATATTGTAGGTATTATATTAGTGAGAGGGAAAGATATAATATAAATAAATAATTTATCTACATAGTTTCTGATCTATGGGCTATATGTCACTTGTCTTGTACGAAAAAGTAAACGTCTTTATAAAAAAAAGTTAAAGGAATACATATTTGTGCAATTAAAAAAATTATTAAATAATAAACGTTTAAATTAAAAGATCAGTCGATTTAGAAAAAGTCCTGTATTTTTTTATGTCAAAATTAAGATGATAAATACAAAGAAATTATACCTATACCTATAGTATAGTTTTAATTTTAATTTTGAAATTAACTTCAATCAGAATATAAATACAGTAACAATTATAATTACTACTAAAAACGGATTTATAGCGAATTATAACATTATATATTAATAAGTACACACTTTTTATAATTTTTTGATTTTATATCATACGTGATTATAATTATATTAGTAAAGAATTTAACGTTTAGTAAAATTGAAAAAAACAAATAAATTAATATATTATTAATAATATTTATTATGTAGGAATCGATTTAGGAATGTAAATATTAAATAATATTATACTGGTTAATTATAATTTTAAGTAAAATATATATTATTAAATTACGTTACAATTAATTTATGAATTTTAAAATATATCTGGGACCTTAAGGTTATAATATAAACAATAAATCAATATCGAAATAATAATAATTATAATAAGTTAATAATAATTAGTTTTTATTATTGATAAGGATAATTTATTATATTACGTGATAATTTGTGTTCTTAAATAACTCAAAGAAACGTTTAATATAACAAATTTAAATTTAAAATTAAAGTAAGTATAGTATATATTTTTTTTTTTATAACTGATTTAATAATTTTTTTTTAAGTCAAGTTACAATCTTAATTTTAATATTTTAATAAAATTAATATAGTTTGGTACTTACATGAACTATTAAATTTTTAGTGGAACGGTGAATTTATTGGCTTTAATGTGATGTGTTTTATTTTTAAATATCTGTAAAAAACTTCTACCAGAAATCTTGTTCCTATTAAAGATTTTTTAAAACATTTTCTTATAGCATTTTTGATCTAATTGGTGCATCGTTGAAGAGGTTTTTTTGATCTTTTTTTTTGTATTTTTCTAAATGAATCGAAAAATGTTAACTTTTGTTGATTTCTGAGTTAACTTAAGGTTAAGACATAAGAGGAAAATACGTCCAATAATACTCTGCTTAGAACCGTTTTTCGGTACAGATATGTTTATATCCTTTCAACTTTCCTCTTAAAACAGTGAGTGCATCCATGAGTATTTTTTTTATTTTTATTAATTTAAAATGTTATATAAACTAAACTAGTATAGGTTGCCATAACGATGAGTCGTTTTGGGTTCAAGCTCTATGTATTTGAGGACACTATTTACATCCATGAGTATATATAAGTATTATAATATTACGTTTTCCAGAACTGTAAATTGCTTTTACTTTTGAAAATATAATTCGTTATTAGTGGGCATTTTAGTTTTTAAACACGTTAGATTACAATTAAATACATACCGAAATATACGGTGGTAAATTGATTTTTTTTCTTTGAAAATTCGTACTAAAGTGTTTAGCCATATACAATATAATTATATCTACGTCCTACAGAATATAACGTTTATAATAATTTATAACTAAACGTTTTTAAACGTTTTATTAAATTCTAAAACCTTTGATAAATATTAATGTTTATACAACGTTCAAATCGTTAGATTTATCTACCTGATATTTTACCTATACGTTATATCAAAAAACTAATTTAAAAACATTTTTTTTTTTTATTTTATAGAAAACGATAAAAAAAAAATCCTCAAAAGTGAATTACAATAATTACTAGACTCCATCACCGGGCCCCTGCAATGTATGTACCTAATATTGAAAACCAGTAAAAATTCGGCGGATATTTCCGAGCCATATGGTTCGGCACGGTTCGTAAAATAAACCAATAGATTTTTAATTTTCTGGTCCAATAATCAACTGCAGATACATGAATGGCCCTCTAGTTTATATATATAGGTGAAGCGTTTTATCCTTCATTGGCCATTACGGGAAATGACCTTCTTTAATCCCTTTTAGAAAAATAAATATAAGTACCTACGCTATATGTGCTTGGTTATGGTTTTTTTTGTTGTAAGTATATTAATTTTATACTCTGAATAAGATAAGATAATATAGTGTTCGTCTATATGTGTACTTATAAGTGCGTACCAGTGTATTAAAATAATTTTTTTTCAATAGTTTATTTATAATAATATATATTTCAAGTACCTAGCGGCGTGCACAGAGGGTTGGGGGGTTATATTATATCACCACCCCTTCCATAGGCTTATATAAATACAATAACTAAATAATGAGTATATTTTTACATGCCTAGTAATTTAATCTTGTTATGTATATTATATTTCAGTGAAGTTACTAGAGGAAAAGCCCGGTTTATAGTGAATACAAATTGGCCATTTTGAATCCGGCTTTTAAATTCCCATTGTCGCGTTAGATATAGAGAAGAAGATTCTACAATTTTTGTTCTTGATTATTGTATTATACTTTACTATATAACCCCACTCGATTGAAAATTGCAAATACCATAACATAATTTAATCAAATTTTACCTATTTATATTCGTATAATCGCGCCTACGACGAGTTTACTTGCGATGTACTCTGAAACTACTTAACCGATTTTGATAAGATAATGTTTAATGTGTGTATTTTGGTCCAACTTAAAATATGTAGGATAGTTTTCATCTCGATTAATGACCTATGAGGGATTGGAATGGGGAATAAAAAATGTTTGGGTATTTTTGGTATGACAATTAAATGATTTTTGTTGAATTATGGGTTACTTTAGTTACACGGATGAATTGAATAATAATATAAAACAAAAATTAATAATAAACAGAAATGAAAATGCCATAACAACTATAGCAACTTAAAATAAGGAGTCTATATGATTGCCTGCCGGTCTTGGTATGAAATAGGATGAGCCAACTTGATAACATGGACGAAAAAAAAATAAAAAACTATGCTCTGTACAGGGTGGGTAAATGAAAACACGTAACATCTTTGAATCTTTGTATTTTTCGGTACAGTAAAATATACACTACTAAATAGTACTATTATATCTTCATAATCTTAGCGTTAATATAGTGGATATATAATTTAATCCCTGTAATATGCGGGTATCTATGATAACACCCATTTTCTTCCTATTTTTTTTTTTCATTCAATATTCTGATTTGCGAGCAAAGCAAATTTTGAATAAAGGTAAAAATAATGAAAAATTGGTACGGGCAACGCTGATCGCGGGACAGCTAGTATTGTATATATTATAAAATATATATAAATATAAAAAAAAAAATTTATTTTATTAAATAGGTCATAATATTATGAATGTATATTATAGTGTCAAATACTAACGTACTAACGGTGCAATTATATTATGACTGAAATATAGGTACCTATACTCGATAATTCGTTAAGACTATTTAAATACATAATATAATACTCCTTTAAAAAAAATACACTTTCATTACATTATTATCGAGTTTTAAATTATACGAAAGTATTTAGTATTTAGGTATTATATATCTATAAGTGTAGTGTATTTTCTTAAATAAGCAAATCGAAACGTATTATTCAAATTCGAAATAATTTGATTAGAAATGTATATACTATAGATTTGTAATAAAAAACACACACAGGATATTTGAGAATTGTAAAAATAATCATAGGTAAGTACTTCTACCTATTACATGTATACTGTACAAGACGTATACCATGGGGCAACACGATTTGTAGTACTAAGAAATATGAATATTAATGTATACAAGGTAATGTTATTTCATCACGATTTTCTTGGTAAATTTTTTTTTTAGATCTGGAGAGTAGCTATTGGTTTTACTATAATGTGTGTTTTTGTATTTTTTTTTTTCAACTACTTTTTCATCAGAAACCTTGCTCCGATGTATCTAGTCATATTGGAGGAAATTTTGTCTAGTTGGCGTATGCCATTTTTTGATTTCCCATGGGGTTTTCAAAAAAATAACCCGAAAAAAAATTATAGGTAAAAAGGCAAATATTTACGGTACTAGCGTTGCGTTACTGATTTCATTGTTTTTAATTTTTACAAACTACGTTTTCTACAAGAAATATTGCTTTAATTCAAAAATGCCAAAAGATTATTATTGTTGAATTTTGGATCTACATGGTTATGTCGTTTATTGATTTTCCAAGTCGTTTTATAATAAATGAGATAACCAAGAAAAGACGAATAATTTTTTTTTATAAAGTTTTAAAATCAAATTTTGACGAAAATCGTAAATATTACGGCCTTTCAAAACATGTATAACCGAACTTTGCTATGAATCGTCTTTCGTAAGCAATGGTTTGTCATTACTTACATATATAGTATTTAATACATTAAATAAATGTATGTATCCTACCTTCCCGACTTCCTACTTACAACAGTGGCACACCCGTCCCCAATATCAACACTTTTTTTTTTACAATTATTATGGAATGGTTTTATTTTAATGCCGTTTTCACATTATTACCCTATTACTCCTTATATTGAATAATAACTTAAGATTTTCAATATAGATTCGAAGAAAAATGTATTCAAAAACTTTCTAAAAACTTTGATATAGGTATGAGTTAACGCTATAATATGTTTGTTGGATTTGTAAAATAATATACGATTGTGCTAATGGATCGTGATAAAATAATCGCCCTGTATATAGGTAGTATAATACACGAATGGTAATACATAATTGTTTAAAGATCAAATTATAGTCATTAAATATTATAATATAATTATTACTTGTAGTTTGACACATTTCTAACTTAATTTATTAGGTATATATAACTAGTAGCCTAATAGGTAGGTATATAGATGTACATATATACACGAATTGAATAAGGAATAAATGCACTTGATTCTGTTTTATAGTGGTGGTGAATTTCGATTAGGTATGTAATAAAAATTAATAATGTAATAGGTGTACTCATAAATATTATTAATACCTACCTACTTACATTATAGTTATTATTACGCGAGAGATTATTCTGTCCGGAATATTACGTTTTAATATTATTTTTATTGGTTGATTTCGTTAAGTATAATAATATTATCACTGTATTGCATAGACAATCCAATAATTTTACGTGTTTAAGTTTAAAAAAAACACGGTCAATAAAGATGTGTCACTGAAATTTGATTTGTATTAAAGGATTTTTTCGCATCCCTACACTAAACACCTGTCTATTAAAAATAAAAATAAATTATTGAAATCTCATCAAATTGCAAACACACGTAACGCGGATTTCTTCTGTAAACTATTTTTATTTTTTGCTTGCAGCGTATTCCATCATTCAAAATATTTTAAAACTAATCAAAGTTTAAAGTTATTGATAAATGTAATTTCAATTTAATTCTAACTTCCCAGTTATATTTAGTGTCTAATAATATAAGTGATCATAATCGCTAGCTATTTTGATTTTGATCGTTTTTTTTTTTTTTTACAACATTGTAAAATATTCGTATAGCTATCGAAAGTAAAACAAAGAAGAAAATATTACTCGCAGCACATATAGAAAATTAAACCGATTGAAGTGAATATAATAATATAATTTATCATGTATTTTGTAGAGTATATTTTGTTTTACTCAAATGGAAAAACGAAACCGAATGTACTTATAGGTGCCACATCACTGGGTTTTAGCCATTTTTAAAATGCTAACTCTTGAGCGGCGTTCATGCGCAATAAAACTTCACTTTCTTGAATGGAAACACGAAATTTTATGAACACCAGATTCGAATAGTCCTATATTTTTAAACAATTTTTTTTTTTATACCTAAAATTGCCCGATACATGATCGTCTAAAATTTGTTAAAAAATACGATTTTTGAAAAAATGTTAAAACTGATGTTATTGTGTTTATTGTTTACAATGTGATTTTAAAGATTATCTTTACTTATAATTCTGCTCCCAATCGATAAGTATTCAGTAGTTTCTAAATCCCGATCTTCCTAAAGGAAAAAAGGACCCGGCCATTTCTAAGTCAGTTCGACTGAAATATTTCGCGTTAGAAACAATGAAACATACTGCAGTGATGCCGGCTCGCGTGTCTTGTAAGCTACGAAGCAAATATTCAGTGAACTAGAACGAGCGGGGATACTAACGCACACGGCCCGATAAATATATACCATCAGAAGTAGACTACGAGACGCTGTTAATTATTATTTGTCGATTCTAGACTCCGGGTTATCGGTAAATATTTATTGAAAATTTTGAAAATATTTAGTATACCGTACGCGTATGTGCACTGTATGTGCGCGGTTTCACACTGATTAATAATATACTCGTCCACACCCGTACGATGTTTCGAACGGAATTCGTTTAAAAATGTCGAATAAACGGCCATAATGAACCGAGTGTGATATATTCCCGTTGCAATAAGGAAACCGTGGATCAGGCGGCGTATAGGTACACCCATACCACTTACGCGCCTCCAGATGTGGAGGCGAGCGGCCATTGCCCCGCGCAGTATATTCGCGATAATAAAATGACGAGAGAGTATTATTATAATAATTCGGCAGCGCGAACGCTGTGCCGGTCGCCGGACGTCGTCCCCGCGCGCGGAGGGAGTTTTTACGGTTTTAGCGTTTTGCGTTTAAAACGAAAGTTTCGTCGGCCGCGCGAAGCCGTTTCGCGAGCGGACAAAGAGGGGAAAGGCCGGCGGCGCAAGTAATAAAGTCGTTTTTATGTGTCGATCATAAAGTACAAAAGCCGTTTAATACGAGCGGCGCGAGGGGCCGCGTTTTTCTGGGGGTGCCGTTTTCTGTTTTCAATAAAGATACGGAACGGCGGCGGCGGGGCGCTACGGCGTGCGCGCTTGTGTGTGTGCGCGCGCGCGCGTATGTGTGTGTGTGTATTTTCGCTCGACGCACAATAATATGCAGCTGCACGGGTCTCGTGTTCTTTTTTTTTTTTTTTCCGCTCTCTTTCTTTTTTCTTTTTTTTTTTTCCGGGGTTCGGCGACGACGGGGTCTCCGGAGAGAGAGGGGGGGGCGGACGGGCGAGGTTGTAAAATTTATAGGTTGCGAAAACTATAAAATGAGACGATTTTCAGATAGGAGTTTTGTCCCGGTGAAATTAACTTTCCCCTTTTCGTCGTCCGCCGTCCCGCCAGCCGCGGCCGTTTAAATTTTACCGCCGTCCGCAGCGCGCGCTTAATGGTCATCATTATCACCGCCGCCGCACAGCACACGCGCGCACGTATACGGACCCCCGGGCGATAACAATATTATTATTATTGTTATTATTACTATTATTTGCGCAGCGCTGCGACCGACGGTGTTTACGACACACGCGGACCCCGTGCGATAAATCCGAAATCGAATTAGAGGACGACCGACCGCGTCTGATGTAATAATATACACGCGTTATGATACCTACCTATGCTCCACGGGTACCTTTATGAAATGATAATGCGAACGCCCGGAGTATCCGTCCGGCAGTGGCGCGCTCGAGTGTTCGTCTTGGGGATGGGGGACGATTTAATTCACACACACGCGCGCGCACGCATAGATGCGTATGAGTAACAATAAATAGGTACCTAGGTCGTATCTGTATGAGCATGGGAATCTCTAACCCCGCGAATTCAAAATAAAAACACGTCATTTCTTCCCCTCTTTTATATGAATTTAAAATTTCGAACTTGACTTCGGTCCTTCTTTACCTGGGACCAAATATATAACTTGCAATTTTTATCTTTCTAAAATGATTTTTTCCCAGGCAAAACCCATCCGTGTAAAATAACATATATAACACAGCTTTGTTCAAAATACATAAATTATTGCCGAATAACAATAAATGGGATTTTTTTTTTTTCTTTTAATTCATCCGAAGGTTAATTAATAAAATTAAATGTTAGGCGTTTCAGATAGATTAATTACAGTGTTTTTATAATAGTTACCTATACCTAACAATTAAAATTACATCGTGTTTCTGTGTCCATAAACGCGATATGTAACGTGCACGATTAAATCAAAACCACCTTCCCTTTAAACGCGTATACTGTGAGCCCAGATTACGTCACCCGAAGTAATGTGCTGCAGTTATTTCTGCCTTTCTGACATTGAAAATTAAATACGTATTACCAATTATAATTATTTCAAATCGTTAAAATCAATTACGAGGCTAAATTTTCTGTTATTTTCTTTTTTTATTTTACGATATTATTAAATTATTACCTGTTATTACCTATCCAATACACAGTCTACATTATTAAACTGTTTTTCAAAATATTAAGCAGCAAAATTTGTCCAGAATTATATTATTTTATCAACTAATGCAAGTAAGTAGATTATACGAAAAAGTATTTTATACATTACGAAGGTATCCTACGTAATACATACACAGTAATTTCTTGCCTTGATAAATTTCTAATGTTTTTCAGTAAAATCAATTTCATTAATAATTAGAAAGCGGAAACAAAGGGTTTTTATTTAATATTATTATACCCAATGTATAGGTAGCTATGTTTTATTTAAACTTTCAAGAAGTTGCATGGAAGAAAGGTTTTTTTTAAGAATTGCTTAAGATAACATTTTAGTATTTTGAACAAATATATATACCGTAAAATTTAATTGAGATACCTACTAAAACAAAAGAAAAATCACTATGTACTTTCAAGTTCATCAATATTAAATGAAACATTAAATGCACATCACTAAGTTACCGTACCTTCTTACAGGGGTTATAAAAAAAGTCCTTCCATTAAATCTTTTATATACCGACTATGAAATACTTCTTAGTCGAGTTTTATAATCTTGAATACTTTATTACGTATTTTAGTTAATGTGTATTTAGCGTGTTTCACTCGGAACTACCTATTAAGTTTTATAAATATTAAATCAACTGTATATACCTAGAGTGCATACATTTAATAAATAATATGAGTTTGTACTTTGTTGTAATTAAAAGAAAAATCAGATTATAGTTTATGGGAAATACAACGTAATCTAACAAATATTACTTATGTGATAAACGTATTATAAATAATGAAAAAAGTAACGATACTACTGATGTACTGACGGGTGTACCGCTATTGTATGTATGAATTTGGGAAGGTAAGGTTTATAAAGTGATTTAATTTATATCTATACGCAATGATAAATAATTGCTGATGAAGTACAATTCTGAGCAAAGTTCGGTTAAATTTGTTATGAAATTCTTTAATTTTTACGATTCTTGTCATATTTGAACTTAAACGCTTATAAATATTTCTACAATTACTATAAATTTTAACAATTATTTTACAGCTATTTTTGACCAAATTACAATAAAAATTAAAATCATAAATAATAAAACTAATATATACTTTTCTGCATTTGCTAGTGGTTTTTCAGTTTTATTTTAGTTATTAATATAAAATCTACTTGAAAAATCAAAATATAACATTCCCGATGCACCAGCTAGATCCTCTTGTCAGTTTTATATTAGAGCAAGATTTTTGGTAAATAGACCAATGATGTAGTTCATATAGACATATAAAATTAAAAAAAATATTAAAAACATACATCATAGTAAAGTCAATACATTCCTCACTACACTCAGAATCTTAAAAATTTGGCTTAAGGCAAAATATTATATAGTAATAAAAGATGAAACTTTTTTTAGTTGCACGTACAAGGATATATAGGTATTTATATAATTACGACTATCCCGACATGGAACCATGTTTTTTGAAAATTATTTCTTAGTACTTACCTACTTACTATGGGACTGTTGCTTTCTTAAAAATAAAATAAAAATAAATAAAAAGTAACGTTCGAAAGTCACTAAAAATCTTGATATTTTTTTAATATTTAGAATTAAAGTTTATGAGGGATGCTAATTGGTGAAATAATTAGGAATTTGTTCTGGGGGGAGATATAATTTTTAAAATCACGCTACTTCGTCTTCGTTACAAGGGGAATGAATAATAATAAAACAACATGTGCAAAAAACAATAATTTTGTTTAGCACTGAATATGTTAACAGTTTAAGTTTTAAATTTAATTAGCCATTTATATTGAAATTGTAAACTTTTTTTTTTTATCAATTACAAGAAACCTTTTATTTTTATTTTGAAAAAACGAAATAATAGTATTCGATCGTCTTTTATTCTAACCTTAAATAAATTTAATCTCTATTCATTAATTACAATTTATAAGTCACGTATTAAATATGGATATAGTTAGTATATTTGAGACGCTAATAAAAAAAATCGTTTGGGAAGTTATCATATCTATAGATATATCAATTTCATCACTTACCAATACACTTTAACTATCACTTAGAAGTAACTATACTAAGTCTCTGCCATTACACTTTTATAAGCCATCAAGGGTGGATATAATATTTATGGTCTGGGTCATGATATTTACTATAGGCACAATAATTAAGAACTGTAATTTTTACTAAAAAAGTATTCTATCTGGTTGTATTACCGGATTATACCTAAGACTAAATGTTTGACATATTCAATTTCTTTGTGTATTTCAATTTCGTCTTGGCATCAAACATTTATAATAATATATTACATGAATACATGATAAAAATAAAATCTTAAAATAAAGTATGTTATGTTTTTTTTGGTAACGGAGGTGGCACTTGCCCCTAGCTCCCGGGATTAACCCTTTCAGACCATAAGAAGTTAAATACAATTATAATATTAAAGGCTTTGGGGAGCGATCTGTCTATCCGAATTCCCTACCTCAGTCTCCCCCGTAATTACATCACTGATGCCAATAATATGCAAATCTTTTAAAAATACAACGACAAAGAATAGTGAGAGACATAATTATTATTTATTTATTTATTTAGCAAAGTTTAATGTTTAATGCGGCTTTTTAGTACAATAATTTTATAATTTGATAATTGTATCATCTGTATCTTTCATATTTCAAAATAGATGTAATAGTTATATAGGGTCATATATTATTGTGTTTATAAATTAAGTTTTCTGATCTATTTATAGTATGATTAACGTTTAGTTTTAATATAAATAACTGCTCCAAAATAAAAAATACTAGTATAAACTAAAATATTTTTAATTATTGTCATTTGAAGAGCTGCAGTGTTCAACCACTTGACATTTTCATTTTTATATTCGGTTTATAGTTAAAATACATTTTTAATTTATACAAATAATAATCGATTAACAATAATATATATTGGTTAATAACACTTACAAATAATAATAAATATCCGACTGCTAAATTCAGAAAATATAATGAGTAGCTACAAATGCTAAAGTACCTGTATAATGTTTATCCTATAGCCTGTACGTGTGCTTATAAATTATTGTGGACTGCACTTTAAAATGTCATATGGAAATGTGAATTCTGTTTCAAAAATCACTTTAAAAAATATCCGCCTAATTTGAATAAACTATTGAACATAAATTAATAACCATTTAATTTTAAATAAAAATATATACATTTAAAAATTATCTGGACATATTTGCCATCCCATGATGACCTATCCCATATAGGTCACTGTTTCAAATAAGAAATAGTAAAATAAATTTATTTATTTTTTATCCCGAACAATTAACAAATTATTAAAATTAAAAAAAAAAAAAACAATTCTGCGGCACAGAGAGTGAACCAGTAATGATCAACATTGTTATTTTCTCTTGTAGCCAAGGTAACCCAGAAATTAACAAAAGAAACTCCAATTTTCCTTGTCAGTTTTTTCTAAAACTTTTTAAATAATATGCAGAAAATTTATAGAAATTTGTTTCAAATACCGCAAGAAGAATAATCCACATTTGATAATTCGATCCGAATAAATTGAACCATTTTTACTAAACAAAAAAGTGTTCTCCGAAAAAAAAAAACCAAAAGAGAACATAGGACGTAAACTGTTGAATAATTTCAAAAACATTTTCAAGAAAATTATCTTCCACTGGCCAGAAATTCTATATATTTTGTCAAGGCAGTAAAAATTTGAGTATTTCACTCAATAAAAAGTGTAAAAAAAAAAAGAAAACATACAAACCAATTTCTGGAAAAATTATTATTCTTCTAAAAATAAATAAATATGTTTTTAATAAAAACATGTATGGTTTTTTTTTTTTAAATTTTGTATGAAATATTGATCAGAATTGTAATTTTTACGGCAACGAAATATAATGGTCAAATTTCATACCACGTGCGATACTTTGAAATTTTTTAAATATAATATCCCCCCTCCCCCCCCAGAATTTATAGCGAAAAGCGAAATAATAAACTGAATATTATTATAATCAATCTTATATAATTGTAAATATACCACTCCCAATATATTACATAGTGTGTTCCAACATATTCAACGAATTTTCAAGCACTGTTAAAATCACATTTTTTTCAATCGTTTTGTCTTCGAGGAGGAAATCGATTTGAAAAAAAATTAAATTTTTATTTTTATCCCCTAAATACATAAAAAAAAATGACTTTTTATTTATTAATTTTAGACAGTTTTCAAAATAACTGTTTTGTAAAAATTATTTTTCTAAAAATTTTAATGTATCATACATTCATATCTGATTAATAGTTTCTTAATTATAGCCGTTTTAATTTCTAGAAAATGGACGTGAAAACAATATTCTATAGAAGGTAAGGAATTACCGTGCTAATTGTAATTCCTTATCGCATAACGTGTTATTTTATTGAATATTAATTGATTTCACGCATAATTAAAACGGCTATAATTAAGAAATTATTCATCGGATATAAATGATACATTCAAATTTGTCGAATAATATTTTTTACAAAATGGCTATTTTGAAAATTTAATCTTAAATGAATACATAGAAAGTTATTTGTTTTTCGTCTTTAGGGGGTGAAAAAAAATTGTAATTTGTCTCCAATCGATGTTATAGTATTCACTATATTGCAAGTTCTGTGTAACATGTATACTTACTATGTAGGTAAATAGCCAAATATGTACGTACATTTTTAGGGGAATATAGCACGAAGTCGTAAATTGGCTATTCTTAGTTTATGCTGTACCACTATATGATAGCGCATCCACGTTAACACGATTTTCGGGCTAAAGACTTTTATTATTTTACTTTTATTAGTTCATAGTAAAATAATACACGTAAATGTGTGTGGTTCTTTTTAAAAAATAAACATTAAATCCTTAAACCATTTTGTATGGATATATATTTCAATGTGAGTACAGAATCAGAAGAGAAAAGAGACGATTAGCACTCGATACTGTACAAAGTTATAAATACCTATCTAAATCTTATGCTGGCCACTATACTGAACATTTTCCACGGATTATTAGCTTATTAACTATACAAATATAAGTTAGATAGGTATGTAAAGGTAATGATAATATCATTGTAGAACAATAAAAAAAAAAAAAAATGAGTATAAGTAAACAAATAATACTGCTTAAGAACGAGCGTGTCAAATATTTGAAACAGTGATTTAGCCCCATGTTTAATTGAATATAGGTATAGTATACAGTGACGTATTTTAATTATTTTTTTTTGAGGCGGTATCCTCATAACATTCTCCTATAGGTATTATCATCAATTGATCATAAACTCATTCCCTCCATCACTACATTTTCATCAAAATTGGGGGATTCAACCTTCAGGATACCCCCTCCCCCCATATAATTTAATATAACTAATTTCCAATGCAGTTGAGCTAGAATAGTTATACTCGATGAAAACAATAACTGGAAAGTTAGAAAACAGTTAAAAGTCGTCAAGTTCGGATTTTTTCGCATACCTTAACTAAACACCTGTCTATTAAACATAAAAATAATTTATGGAAATCTCATCAAATTGCAAACACACGTAACGCAAATTTCTTCTGTAAATTATTTTTATTTTTTGCTTGCAGCGTATTCCATCATTTAGAATATTTTAAAACTAATCAAAGTTTGAAGTCATTGATTGAAAAAAGTTAGGTACTGTATATATATATATAACTATAAATAATTATTAAACTCAAGAACGAAGAAGATACTGTACTACACATGATAACCAAAAAAATTTTGTATAACTTCAAAATGTATAACATGTAAATATCAATCATTTCATATTAATCAAGGAAATGTAATAAAAAAAAAAACATTTCCGGTTTTCATATTTATATATAATATACAAAATACGTATACTAAGTTTTGTACGGCATTTATAGTATTGACTTCTGTTTAATGTGTATATTTGTTCTTTTACGATCACTAACACCGCCACGTGTTTATGATATAGAATCCGAGTAAACAGAGAATTCTTCTTCCTTATTCGATATTTATTTTGTATATAAATTATTTAGATTTTTTTTTACTGGTAAAACGTAATGGTATAATACAGTTCTAAAAGAAGGCATTCAAATATAATAAGATTAATCGTTTTAATTATTTTGGTATAATAAAATACCGTCCAATAAAAGTTTCAAAATATTCCTATAAAAATAATGTTTCCTATTTTTCGTTTTATCCGAACGCAGGAAGAAATGTGCTATTAGTATTACTATCATGTGTGCTTTTTTTTGTGTGCCTGTAAACAACTTTTCATTCAGAAATCGAGCTCTGATCATCAACTTCAGACATGGTTTCTGATATCAAATTGTGTATAATTAGTGCATTAGAAAGGTAATTTATTTTTATTATTTTCCTTGTAGTTTTCTTAATAATTGGGGAAACCAGTAAAAAAATATCTAAAAAATGTACGTTTTCTGTGTTATTTTCAATACACAGATTGTGTTTTTTGTTATAATTCAATGACAAATAATCGTAGGGATTTGGAAATTTTAACAAATACTTAAATAGTAGCCTTTTCTAGAGAGGTACAATTTTTAAAATATTCAGGCGACTTTTGAGCTATGATTTATAGCCATTTGAAAATTGTTTTTCTTTTAGTTTTTATCTGATTTAAAAGGATACAATTTGATTGTTTTCTCAATAATGCTTGAAAATTTGATACAAGGTTCATCGTAAGTTGTTATAATTTAAACATATACCTTATTTAATGTCTATAAACGTGAAATAACCTATGGTCTTAGGTACATGTATAACTGAATGGGTCATGTTCAAGTAAATTTTTATAAATTACTAAAATCAAACATATGCATTTTCACATGATGACGTTTTAATAATAATAATAATGCCTGTTATAATAGTATACCTATTAGTTATTACTACCTATACAATGTACAATATAGATAGTAGATCTAGTTTTGTTTATGAATGGATTATTATAGTAGTTGGCACGTATAATATATAGATTCACTTCATTTATAATATTTTAGTGATTGAAATAATATCTTAGAGAATTGAAAATAAGTACACGTTATACCTATTTTGGGTATAGGTTAAGTTATGATAAGTATACCGTATGCCTATCAAAATGTAGACTCTCACTAGATTACTCATAAGACTCAATAAATGTAAGCAAGAATCGAATATGCATATTTCTAATTGTATAGGTATACGTTACTTAATATGTAATAAAATTATACAATTTGCATGTATACATGAGTGTCAAATATACCTACACACGTTATATATATATACCTATTATAAATAATAAAAACAAAATGAGAATCACTTGTAATCATACAAATTTGTCCGATAAATATTTCAATATCCGTTAATTTTCTTCAGAAATATTAAAGGGACGTCATACCCACATCAAAGCCGTAATTGGAAAATAATTTTGGGGGGGATTAAACCCTCCCCACCCAATAGTTACGATCTTAACCCGAATCTACTGTTTCACTTTAACTGGCAATATAATGAAAAGTTAAAATTAGAGTTTGTACACAAATGACCGAATTTAAAGAGGACTATACGTAATTTTTCTCTAAAATATTATCATACAAAAAATTTTAAAGCCATGTTCATTTATATTTTTTTTTTTTCAATTGTTGTTACTTTTTTGTATGAACATTTCTTGGATAATTTACGTTACCGGTTAGACTGAGGCAGTGTAGATGCTAGAATGACGTCTTTTAATATAAACTGTATATTTGTTCCAAAATGTATGATTAGGTAATGCATGACTATCTAAACATATTTTAATATATTCTTATCGACAGAACGACCTGTAAAATATAAAACATATAATTATAAATATCGCCAATGAAGGTAGGTGATAAATGCCTTATATTATTATAATACTAAAATGAAAATATTATGTTTAAACGATAATGTAGACATTAAATAATATTAATAATGGCATTAAAAATCATGAAATATAATAAGTTGCTCATAATACATATATCCGGTTAATTGTCTGCGTCATAATACGTACATAGTATACCTGCCTAATGTACAATGTACACCAATGTAATTTGTGTGAAGTAAGGTGGAAGAAACTACAAAACCCATGTACCGCGAGCCTTAAAATAGGTTTCGAAAACTCTCAAGTTACCTTCCAGCTGTCACGTCATATTACCGTCATTCTAGTTTATTATTATTATTATTTTTTTTTTTTTTACGAGTATGTTGATGAAAACGAGAGCATCGTGGATGAATTATGATTTGACCGTATAGGAATTTAGACACGTACACAATGGCAGCAAATAATAATACCTATAGGTACACGAGAATACCACCCCAAAAAGTTTTATTTCATTATTTTTAATACCAAGACTGTAAAACAATATTATTATTTTAATATTTAATAATACACGAAAAACGTAATAATTATATAGGTACGCTATGTAATGTACACAATATTATAATAAGTAAATATCACAACTATTTTAGAAAAAAAAAAAAAATAATGCTATCGGCTGAATTTAACTATCGTTAAATACCTATAATATTGCACATATTTTATACTTAAATTTGTATTTTTAAAATGTCTTTCTATACACAGAAACAAGACGCAGATGTATATACTATGTTTAAAAAAAAAATTTATGGTAATTATGATTCCATTGCACATTCGCGCGTGTGTTGGATATGCATAACATATGATTGTATACAATCGATGCATCGAGTCAATTTTTGAAATGCCTATATGATATGTATATTGTATAATATTATGTACGCGTGGCGGAGATGAGAGGTGGTATTAAAAAAAATATGCAGTTCATAGATTTTGGATTTTATTCCTCGCGGTCGAGAATAATAATATAATATATATTGTGTCATCGGGGGGCCAAAATGGCCGATGATTGACAGATAAAGGAAAGCCGAAAAGGCGGAGCCTTGTCTTTGAATTCAAGGGGTTACTAGGCAACCGCGTATAACACAACAATATGTGTGCCTGTTCTAGAATAACAATATACGCAGGTCTAATAAGGACGTATGTTATATACACGTACATATATATATTATTATAATAACCCTCGGTGAAAGAACGAAGTGTATATATATGTATGATATAGGAGGTACTTGGGAGTCTAGCGTAGAGGGGTTGATTTCACTGATTTTAGGGCACTAATTAGTATAAGGTTTATTAGACGGCTTATGTCGTTCAAACTTGAGTTTTTTTTTTTTTTATACATATATGTACAAGTGGCAAATTATTAATATGTTTATATCCTTTATTATTAATATCCTGCGCGGCGTGCAATGAAAAAATAATAATTATTATTGTATGGGTAAAAACACGCGTGTACGTCGAATGTATTATATTATTTATTCAACAAAGTTAAAACATGTCAATAGAACTACTGGTACATTCAGTGGCGTGTTTAGGGTTTTATCAAGGAGAGAGATATTGAATTTTGGAAATTGTTTTATATTTTATAACCTATAAAGTATAATAACGTGTAGATACCTTAGTTAAAAAAAAAAAAGTGATCGACCTTTAATTTATATATTTTTTTAACAGTAATTTATAACTACTAATCAAACGTATTAAGTGGCGTATCCAGAATTTTCAAAAGAAGGCGGAAGAAATACATAGTGATTATTTGAACACGATCTAGCGATTTTCTCAGAAGATTTTTAGTGAATTTGATTTTCGTTTATTCAATCATTACGAAATCGTTTAAATTTTATTTTGACATTATTCTCAATAAGTTACTCTTATATACAATACCTTAAATGAGTACGCACTTGGGTTTTCAGAAACCTCAATTTTTAAACATAAATCCTAATGGAAAAATATTCTCCTTTTACAGATTTTAAAATGCACAACAGTAATGTTAGGTTTACTGTTTATGAGTTATAAGAGTGCTATAAGTTTATAACGCTTTAAAATTTAAACCTGAGAAGTAGGGAAATACCGGTAAAATAAACTTCATATCCATTTTTAGACGATAACCCTTTCCTATTTGACTGGTCTAAACTTTAAATTACCATAACAGGATCATGATTATTATTTAACATGATTGAAAATTTATTTGATTGTGTATAATAAATAATAATACATTATGTGAACTATGTATAACATTTGAACTGATGGACATTTTTAAAAATATTTCTAATAAAATGGAACCATATTCGCATTAAGAACCCGGAGCGGTTTTATACTATAACTGAAAAGGGGAGTTTCAATGAAAAAACCAATTTAATTATGTCCACGTGTAGTTGCCGCATTTTTAGATACCGTATAACGGAGGAAATAATGAGTCTTAAAAACAAATAAATATGATCAACGGGAAGGCCATGATGGCCACCGTACCCCCTGGGTAGTAAGTCAAATATATCGACTTATTCGTATTTCAAATAAAAAGAGAAAAAATGTTGAAAACTATATTACTGTATTACGTCTTACTTAAAGTATAATAAATACAAAAATGTCTACGAGAATAAACACATCTAAGCATACTATACGCAACACGAATGATGTAGGGTTCAATTGTTTCAGCTCAACTCTCGATGGAACCACCTGGTACACCAAAAGGCCCGGGGAACATTTTTTTTTTAAAGGGTCCTATGGATGGAAATCCATGAAAATCGGTGCGATATTGAATCGGAAATCGATAATATTTCTAAAAATAACAACAGATTTTGGGACAAAGAGGTTAGAGGTATAGAGAGAATAGCGGAGTATCATATTTTGTGTGGCGGTACGGCTCGCGGCGTGTTAATAATGCACCACTATTCTCCTTCAACCTAAAATTAAAAATGGAATATCTCGTCAATGGCGTGACAAAAATCAAAAATGTCAACTAATCTTTCATCTATTTATGTAAATTTTAGTATAGATTGCCATTTGAAAATCAAAAGTAAGTAGTGGTTTTACCTCCAAAAGTAAAGGTGACGAAAAATAACATAAATACAAAATTGTAGAGCAGCTTGTTTCATAAATTTTCTAGAAAACAAATTCCGGAAAAGATTGATACTTTCTGATATAATGCGTGTACCCACTTAAATAGATTACCTGGTAATATGCTATGTTCACAAAGGCGATTTTCAGTGATATTTTAATTTTCAGTAATTTGCTTATAAATTTACTCGCTCGCACGATGTATTAATAATAAATGATTATGTTTTATTATTTTTAAAATGGTTGCAATAAGTACTAACCCCCCCCCCCCAAAAAAAAACCGTAATCACTGAAAAACAAAATGTATAAAATGACTTTTTAGGAAAAGAATATTTATAAAGAAAAACTTTAAGACGAACAAACGCTCAGGCTATTATTTTAGAATATCAACTAGATATTATAAACGTTTAAAATACTGCAGTTATAATAATTATGTTAGTAATTTAGTTTCTATTGAAATATTATGTATAATATCTTTGGTTCTAGTAAAGAAGGGTTTAAGTGAATTTTATAAGATTTAAAAAACACGTGAATTACATTTTCAAGTTAGGGTATAAATAACCTAACCTAAATGGCTTTAGTCATATAATTAAAACTATATGACTTATGCCTTTTTTGACAAATTCAAACACACAGTAGATATGTCGTATACTCGTATAGTGATATTTTAATTTTCAGTACAACAAATGTTAGAATACCTATACAAAAAAAAAAAAAAAAACAAAATTTAAAATAAATTACACAGGAAAAAATGTATAAAAAAGAAAAATGTCAAAAATTGATTTAAGTCCTTCTTCCCTGGAAGTTGTGACCAATGAATAATGACGGTACCGTTCTTAATTGTATTATATTATAACACAATTTATCTTATTTTATTAAAATATCGCATAATAAATATAATAATATAATATATATAGGTAGGTATAGGTGCCTACAGATAATGTGGGTAACGTCGTAATATTAGTCGCTTCGGGCGCTAAACGGAAAAAAAAATGTAATAAAATAATAATTTCAATATAGAAAAGTTGTCAGTTTTGTTTTGTACCACTGCACTTTGTGGTTTTTGCCGCCTGCAGTTCAGTGGCCTGTTTCGGCTAGATAATTACTAGGTTAGGTACTTTAATAATTTGACGCGGGTAAACCTTATATAGAAATCACGCCCACTTCGTTTATTGTATGTCTTTTTTTTTATTATTATTATTTTTTTTAACTATTAAATTAAATAGCGGCGGCGGCAAAAAAAATATTTATTGTCAGTAATTATAACACACATAAGTTATTTATTCGAATCTTATTCATAATATACAACTATATAAGTATATAATATAGAGGAGGTATAGCTGAGTAAAATATAGGTACCTATATACCTAATATCTACACCATCATTTGGGATAGGATTTTTTTCATATTAACGTTCACGGGTATATTACAAGAATAAATGTGTAATAAAATATATTAAAGATTAAGTTATTGTAACAATTTCTGCATGGGTGTTTAATTTTAATGTATGTATTTAAATACTATAAAAAAGGCTGATGCTGCAGCTGATTGGTGTGCCACTGTTTTAATGTAAGAAAATTGGAAGGGATGATTTATGTAGAGTAATTTAGTTTATATCTGTACGCAACGATAAAAAGATTCTGAGCAGAGTATTATTAGTCGTATTTTTTTCTTTACTGACAAAGTAACCCGGTAATCAACACATTTTTTTAAAAAAATGCCAGTTTTTCCAATTTATTAAGAAAACCACAAGAAAAATCAAAAAATTATCTCCCCAAATGCATCAAAAATGCTATTTATTGGAGCAAGGTTTCTTATACAAAAGTTATTAACAGACAAAAAAAAAAAAAAAAATTAAAATACATCATTGTAAAACTAATACATTCTTCAGAATCTGAAATAAAATATTTCAGTTGAAGTCATCTAACGAACAATAAAATACAATGAAACATTTTATTTTACTGAAAGTGACTTCTACACAGACAATACATTTTGCATTATTTTATTAAGAGAATTATGTAGTATACGAGGAACCCATAAAATGATGGAAAATATTTGCTGATCGTATTTTGTAGGAAACGCGTACTTTATTAGAAATATGTTTGTTCGAAACAGTAACAATGATAATATAATTTTCATCATTTATCATTATCAAAATATTTTTTTTTGACAAAAGACGTTTCCAATAAATACATTTCCAATAAAATAGGGTTTCAACAAAATAAATTTCTACGAAATACGTTTCCGATAAAATACGATTCCAACAAAATATGTTTCCATTAAAATACGGTTCCAAGAAAATGTTCCGAAAAAATACAGCCCTCCGATTTACGTTGTGTTTTAATGAAATATTTTGCACAGGTATTTGGGACTACAAAATTATCCGCCAAAAGAATACAATCCATTACTTAGCCACAAGGAAAACTGTTACCGATATCCATTTTTGCGGAGTAGACAACAACAACTGTGCGACCTCGGAGAAAAAATTATGAGTGTAAGTAAGTGTTTTTGCACACAAAAATAGAAATTAAAAAACAGTCATTTCACGTATTTTGCATAGGTCGTGAGCAGCGGGACAAAAATGGCCATTGAAGAATGCCAACATCAATTCAGCACACACCGGTGGAATTGTACTACATACTCAAACAGCACTTCGGTGTTTGGAAACGTGTTGTCGTACAGTGAGTCTTTCGCATGCCAATATAATAAATATTGAGTTTTACAATAAAAACTTTTTTATAAAAATTATTTTTCACTTAATAAAAAAAAAAATGTATACGCGTTTAGGAAGTAGAGAAAAGGCATACGTTCACGCCATCACGTCGGCCGGTGTTGCGTATTCCATAACCAAAGCATGTTCAAGAGGCGAACTGAACGAATGTAGTTGTGACAATAAAATCCAAAGAAAACAAGCTAAAAAGAACTGGCAATGGGGAGGATGCTCAGAGGTATTTGCATCACTATTTTCAGTTTGAATAGCAAAATATTGACAATTTATAAACGTTTGCCCCCTGCAATTTAATATAATACAACATTAAAAAATCGTGTAATATTTAGGACGTACGTTTTGGTGAAAAATTTAGTCGCGATTTCGTCGATTCTATCGAAGACAACGATAGTGTCCAAGGATTAATGAACATACACAACAACGAAGCCGGCCGAAGGGTACGACATATTTCTAATAATACCTACCTACGTTTTTGTCGATGTAAAGCATTAAGATAATTATAAAATTAATTATTTATTTTGAGTAAAAATAATTGATATCTACTTATTGCTGTATTCGTATTATACTGCACAAAAGCCTCATCAATTTTGATGCGATTTTTTTCGGTACATTGGCCGACAATGTATGCAAATGTATTTACGTCGAATCGTATTTTAGCCGATAAATATATTAACGAAACCGTATTAGGCAGCCGCTGTCATGTGTAAAAACTGATGGATATTCAAAGCGTGTTAGGTTTATTAAATACTGGCTGTTGAAATTAACGGCTAAAATACGCTTCTGCTTAATTACTTGTCCAATCAGTTATTTTTCGATTGAAATACGGATCGGCCGAAATGTTTTCGGATATTTTGCAACATACCCCCTTAAACAAAACATTACAACAGTAAAAAAAAACGTATCTATATAGGTACATTAAGTTCAAAAATTATACCCAATTTTGCAAACACGTATAGGAAAATGGAAACAAATACAAGTCAAATATGAATTTTATTTTTCATTTTTTGTGCATAAATATGTTATATAAATATCACTACAAAACTAAATTTGTATACAGTACCTAGGTGCAATATACCGATTTACTTTTCAATTTTGAAACCCGAATTCGTGGAATCAGTTGCACTTTTAATATTTCCCACAATCCAATCCAATTCAATCCAAAAGTCTGTTCACATCAACAATATACACTATTGACTATTTTTTGTACCGATAGATATACCGTATTTTTTTTACCACTATAATTTATAAATCCAACTTAAAATGGACCTCCTGTTAAATTTGTAAGCATTTTTGTTCGGTCAAACAACGATATTCATATAGTACATATTGAAATAAAAAATGCACAAACATACAATTTCTATAAACATCTCAAATATAACCCAAATGTTTTGGAAATTTTACCACGTCTAGAAAAGACAAATATAAGTTTTATGTCCAAATGTTAAGTCTCTACGAACATTTTGAACTGAATCACAACAAAAAAATAAAATTGAAAATAATAAAAGCATTATTTTCATAAATTGTCCAATGTTTTCTAAGTTTTTTATCTGTTTTTCTCAATTTTATAATTATTATGAAAACTGCTTTAAAAATCAAAAAATGACATAAAATAGATAAAATACACATTCAGAAAAAGTGCTACTCTAATACATCGAAGCAAGATTCCTGGTAGAATTTTTGTACAGTATAAAAAAAATATATATTATTGTAAAGCCAATACATTCCTCGCTCTTCTCAAAATCTAAAATTTAAAATAATGAAATATTGGTAAATGTAAGTAAATATTTGCTGTTCAACCTATAATTGTGTTTCCTGTTTTTCCCAATTATTTTGAAAACCTCTTAGAAAATCAAAAAACAAGACTTCTCTAATGTACCAATTATGTAAAATTTCAACGACCATACCACGTTGAATTCATCAGTTCTCGTCCGATTACTGAAGTTAAGCAAAGTCAGGCGTAGTACTTGGATGGGTGACCGCTTGGGAACATTACGTGCCGTTGGCGTTTTTTATATTTATCTTGTAGTATTATTTTTTCTATTAAATCTTTTCTCTCCTTCGCTATACTCAGAATCTAAGACACTCCTCAAATGTATGCGCCCCCCACACTATGCACACCCAACGGCACTGTAAGCAACCCTTGTAGTAAGAGTGGTTCGCCTGAATTCAGCTAATGATTATTATAATGGGATTTCTGGTTTGATTCTTTATTTTGATTTTTTTTTTTTTTTTGATAATGTGTATTTTAAACACTGAATTCAAAAATTGTCGATAACATTTTTTTTCACATTTTCAGCACTTTTTTTTATTTCAAAAGTTATACCATAAAAACTTCAAAAACTAATGTTTTTGAAAAGACAGATTTTATTATTTTAAATAATGCAGAATACCATTTATTTAAATTCTCCTAAGACACCCTCCTAAATACGCCACTAACTACCTATATTATGTCACTTAATTAAAACTCTAATTATTTTGAAAATGAATAAAAATAAGGGAGTTAGTAAATTGAGTCTCGAATTTAACGTTTTTCCAAATAGGTAAATTGAGTCCTATCTAAATTATGATAAAATACCTACTGTTATTTTTAACAATATAAATATATTTTTACGTACATCATCATACACATTATATATTTATTGACGTATTTAAGGAAATCTAATCTAATACATACATTCATTCAAATTAGAAGCAAAGAAATTAGTCAAAATCAAATACCGAAAAAAAGACTAGGTACCTATACTAAGAGAACTTATGATGAAGTAGATGATTAATAAAATTAGTAGAATTGACTTTATTAAAGTTGTATCATTCAAATATTTACTCAAAATATAATATTTAATGAAAAATTATTTTTCATATTTTGACAATATTAATTATTATTATTCGTAACAAACATATTAATTATTAATTTACTAGATACATTAAATATTTCAAACGGGACTCAATTTACCAAATCACGTTTGTTTTGATTGTTTAGATTATTCGCTCTAGTATGCAAAAAGTATGCAAATGCCATGGAATGTCAGGATCATGCAGCTTGCGAATTTGTTGGATGAAACTTTCATCATTTCGTGATATCGGTGATTCGTTAATGGTACGTTACGAAGGAGCTTCACACGTACGACTTGGGGAGAAGAAGAGAAAGAAAATTAAAAAGCTACGGCCTATTAGAATAGACCGAAAATCGCCCAACAAAACGGAACTCGTATACTTGGATACGTCTCCAGACTATTGCGAACGTAATGAATCGTAAGTACAAACAAATCCATTACTTATTGATATTATTAAAAAAATTATTATATTTATAAGTATGTTGTTTAAATGTAGATTGAGCATAATGGGAACCTATGATCGTGTTTGTCAAGGTTTGGATGGCTGCAGGCATTTGTGTTGTCACAGAGGATTCCAAATTAGATTAAGAGACATAGAGGAAAAATGTAAATGTAAATTCATTTGGTGTTGTAATGTCGCTTGTGAAGTGTGTAGATATAAAAAAGAGGAATACATTTGCAATTAAATGCATCATAATACCTATCGAGTGTTTATGAATAACTACAATGTCGGTTAATGTTATCGTTTTGTGTACCTATTTGTGAAATCTAATATTTATACACATAAATACCTTCTTTTATTCTAGTATTCTCATCACAAATTATAAAAAAAAATGAAAAACTTTTCAAGTTTTATAGACAGTATAGAACCTGTTTATTTAAAAAAAATAAAAAAATTACTACTTACCTATTACATTATAAATAGTCAATAGACATTAGTCTTAATTTTAATGATTAAATTAAGAAAATGACTGATGTTTAAATAGTGAAGCGAATTCTAGAGTCCACTAATAAAATTATACTTGATAAAGTTACAGAATTTATTAATTTAAATATACACCTATAATTAATCAATAATTTACCTACCTACATAAGGAAATGAAACATTTTGTACACCTAATTATAATTTATAAGAATCATTAATATTTTAATAATTTGTATTGAGTGCACATTTACTTCTCACTTCTGTCCTAGTTTTTTGTTATAATTTTTTTATTTCTATTGTATTTAATAGAACAATATTAAATACTATACACATGTATAGAGATATCTAATTATTACTTTATTAGTTGTTTTTGAATTTAATTTTTCTGTATAAGTAGCGTCAGTTAGATTTTTTTTTTAAATAAAAATAAATAGGTAGGTAATTAATTTTGTCACTTTTTTTAAAAAAAAATCATTAAACTAATAGTTAATCTTAATACCAAATAATACTGTAATCATGAAAAAAAAAAAAAAATCAATGTAACATTTATTTAGTAACTATATTATGTTTATATGGTAATTAAATTCTATAATATGTAGAATTTTTATTTATAATACCTACATTATATAGATACCTATAATATTATAATTATAAGACATGTAGAAATAAATTATGAACTTTTATGCTATTGTTTTATATTAAGATACCTAATTAATAAACTATTGAACTTGATCATTATTCCTAGTTAGGTACCTACAATGCATGGCTCATACTAAACAGAATATAACTCCAGGTAATGTGAATGTAGGTAAACCGAAAATTAAGTTTAAAGAAAATCAAACCTAATAATAGGACTGCGAAAAAAAAGTTAATATTGCTGATGGGTGTGCCACTATTGTAGGTGGGAAGTTAAGATATAAAATTATTTAATTTATATCTGTATTTAACGCTAAACCATTGGAAATGAAATGCAAGTCTGAGCAGTTAGTTTATACATAACTCGAAAAGGTATTATTTGTAAAATTTAAAACTGGTACAATACAATTTTAGATTTTGATTATAGTGAAAAATATATTGGTTTTACAGATTTTTATTTTTTATTTTAAACAGTGTACAAAAATTTTACCAGAAATTTCGCTTCAATATGTAAGTGTGGCACCATTTCTGAAAGGAAATATTGATTAGATGGTTCCGTATGACTCCCCCATTTTTTGATTTTCTAAACGGTTTCCATACCTGGAAAAAAAAACAGGATAAAACGTAAGGAAAACGGGAAATTTATGAAAATAATGATTCTTATTTTTAATTTTATTACTTGTTCTAATTCAGTTAAAAATATTCGTAGACTTGAAATTTGGATAGAAAAATTATATTTCGTTTTCTAGACATGGTAACATTTTCAAAACATTTGAGTCACTTGAATTTTTTATTACATTTTTAATATTTAGTTGAAAAAACAGTTAAAAATATTCGTATGAACTTTATGGACAAAAATCTTATATTTGCCTTTTCTAGACGTAGTAAAATTTTGACAAAAATTGTTTTAGTAAAAATTCTGTCTGAAAACATACATAAAAAATTCTATATATAAGTTCAAATTTTAATAAAAATCATGGTATTTTACTATTTTGTGTAGTTAATCCTTTTCAATTTATTTACTCCATAAAAATATTCAACAATTTTAAATCAAAAAATAACAGACAATATTGTAATTCATATTGTAGTTTCAATTAACACAAACATTTTAATTTCCTTTCATCAAAATTTTTTTTATCAAACTTCATTTTAGAATCGTTTTTCGTTGGCAATGATTTGTATGTACCAATCATATTTGTTTATTTATATGTTTGCAAATACGTTTATTTAAACATAACACTATTAATAATATAATATTTAAAGAAATATTATTTTACATTTTTTTAATTTAAATATTAAAGAATAGGTGGTGTCCAATATGATGTTATTGTAAATCATTTGCAACTGTACAGATGTCCTCAATTTCATGATTACCAAATAATTTGTTTAATTTTTTTTTGTCACTTTGATAAACAAAATCATTTCTGCAAAAAATAAAATTTGAACATTGGGTAATTATTATTATTATACATTACAATTAATACCTACAATATTAAATAATTTGCAAAATACATACTTATAAAAATAGCAACCATAGCAACAGCTAAAACCCATATCCAACATCTCCAAGAGCTTTTTCTTACAAACTCCATTAATTTTTGTTCTTCTCGTTTTAAATTTTCATAATTAGTATCCATACCTTTTGATGATTTTTCTAAAACCTAATATAAAGTGGCTTTAAAAATTAAATATATTAATGCATGTAGTAAACAATATTATTACTTCAATATCTTTTTTAATTATTTTTCCAGCAAGTTCAGAATTTTCTCGTAAACCTCGAGTAATAGCTATCAATTCTTCAGCAATAGAATCTTGTTTGTTTTGATGATGTTTCAATAATTCATTTAAATTATCATTACTATCGACATCCGATTGTTTAAATGATTTAAATTCATTTACGTCATCTAAACCCAATTAAATACTATAAATACATTATAATGCATGTAAAAGAAATTAATTTACTTCCAAGGAGTTCATCCCTCAATTGTTTAGTATAAGTAACCTTGTATTTATGCTTAATGTCTTTTGTACGACTATTAGATACTTGTGTGGGTTCCAACATTTCTAATGCGACTAATTTTTCTTCTGGGTTTTTCTTCAACATAGAAAATAACAGTTTTATTATTTTTAATTATAATTATATTAATATAATATTACAATTTCTTTAGTATTCAAAAATCCTTGAAGGAATTGCATCCGCTTTGTGTACTGGTTAAGAGAATCTTTGTCTGGATCACTATAAATAATAAAAATCAATAAAATAATTTAAATATATAACTAATCTGAAACACAATGTACTTTATTACCTATACTCTGTACAGCGAGAGATTCCACCACAAGTCAACTATTGCCAAGACCACAAGAGCAGAACTGGGTCTGTTCTCTCGCTGGATAGAGAAATTTTATTATAAATTAATTTATGTAAATAAATATTTTATCTACCTTTTCTTTATCAATTCTGTAATCATTTCACTGACAGCTTCAATATACTAAAGTAAAAGTTGTATTCATTGTAATACTACAAATTTTAAATTCCTTATTAGAAGACAAACAAAATAAGTACCTTGCTTAACTTCCAATCATCAGATAAATTATTTTGGGCCATGTCTTCACAGACTGACAAAAGTCTCTTGATATCCATTTCTAATCTGGTGATTTTCATTTCCATAGTATAATTGAATTAATCACAGAGTAGGTAGACAAAACAATATAATGTTCTAAATAAACAGTAAACAAGAAAACTATTAATAAAATATGGAATTACATGGATTTTGTTTTACACATTTGAATAATTATAAAAAAAATAATAATTGTTAATCTTTAATAATGAATAATCTTGAATGAACAGCCATAAAAATATTATAACTATTAGTGAGTAATTAAATATAATTAAAATCGGTACAAAAAAAAATGTTTTATAAGTTATTAAATATAAAATAATACATATTTACTAGGTAGTCGGTATAATCAAATATGTACTGTATTTTGGTATATTAATTCACACCACGACGGCGATGGGTAAGAAGCAACTACTGGCAGCTCTCGTCAGACAATGATAAGGATTAAAGATCTGAGGAATGATAAAGATCCGAACCACAAACATTTAATAACAACAAACAACATGTGGAACATTCGTAATCACGTGTTATAAATTATTTAAACAATACTCAGTGTTAAAATATATTAATAATGAACGACCTAAGTAAAATGGATTTAGTAAAATATTTTGATGATGAACGAAAGACTTTGCCTGTCACTCTTCAAAAAGAAAAACTGTGTGCCTTAATCAGAGAACATGAAACGTTGATTATAGTTGGAGAAACAGGAAGTGGCAAGACAACTCAGATTCCACAGATTGTTTATGAGAACATATTACAACCAGACGAAGATGTCGTAGTTACACAGCCAAGGCGTGTGGCAGCAATATCACTAGCAGAACGTGTATCGTTTGAAGTAAATACTGAAATTGGAGAGCTTGTTGGTTATAGAGTAAGATTTATCGACAGAACTAATCACTTTACTAAAATAAAATTTATGACTGATGGAATGCTATTACGTACGGCAATATTAGAAAAAAGTTTATCGGCATACGGATGTATTATTCTAGATGAAGCTCATGAACGTACAGTTAATACTGATATACTTTTTGGCATTGTAAAAAAAGTCCAATTCAGTCGTAAAAATAGTTCTAATCCTCTCAAAGTAATTGTCATGTCAGCAACTATGAATGCTGATTTGTTTGCAGACTACTTTGGTAATGCACAGATTGTATACTTACAAGGTAGGCTTTATGACATAAAAACATTCCATGCTAAGAAAGATGTTGAAGACTACTTTCATGATACGTTTGTTACTATATTTCAGTTACATAAAGAGGCACCAGAACGTCATGACTTTTTGGTTTTTCTAACTGGGCAAGAGGAAATTGAAAATATGGCTCTTGCTATTGAACATATTAATCAAGATTCTGTTCTTAGAAACTATCCTGTCATTAAAGTACGCACATTATATGCTTCTTTACCTACCAATGAACAACTTAAAGTATTCATGCCATTAGAGCCCAATGAATTTGCTAGAAAAATCATATTGAGTACAAATATTGCAGAAACATCAGTTACTTTAACTGGTATTAAATATGTTATAGATTGTGGTAAAGTTAAAGTTCGTTGTTTTCATCCAGAAACCTCAATGGATGCACTTAAGATAGAAAATATTTCACAAGCACAAGCCGAACAAAGAGCAGGTCGTGCGGGTCGTGAATCTGATGGATATTGTTACAGGATATATTCTAAAAAGCAATATGATGAAATGAACAAAGACCCTGTGCCAGAAATTCAAAGATGTAATTTGGGTAATGTAGTATTAGAAATATTGGCCATGAATATGGATCCCTACAAATTTGATTACATTAACAGTCCTTCAATGGATGCGATTGATCAAGCTTATAAAATGTTAGAAACTTTAGGTGCTACTAAAAACAATATTTTAACTGAAATAGGTCATAAAATGACTAAATATCCTTTGGATCCAAGATACTCAAAAATAATATTGTCATCAATAAGTTATGGTTGTTTGGAAGACATTGTAAATATTGTGTCTATATTATCTACAGATTCAATTTTTGTATCTAGTCTTTCTGAAAAAAAAAGGAAACAGGCTGAGGATGCGCATATAAAATTTAAATCTTCTATCAGTGATCATATTATGTTATTAAAGACATTCCGTGCATACAGAAAAATAAGAAAAGATTCTAAATCCAGTTGGTGCGATGATAATTTCCTCAATGTCCGTAATTTAGAATATGCAGACCGTGCTCGTGACCAGATACTAGATATCTGTAGATATTTACATTTACCAATTGGTCAGTCATGTGGAGAAAATTTTGACCCAGTCAGAAAATGTCTATTGTCTGGATTTTTTGAAAATCTAGCTTATATCACTCCTGAAAAAAAATATTTAACAGTCAATGCCAAAAAAGAGTGCAAAATTCACCCAACCTCAACATTGTTTCATTCATATCCTCATTGTGTCTTATATACCGAAATCATAGAGACTAGTCAACCATATATGAAATATATAACATTAATTGATAAAGAGTGGTTGGTCGATATTGTTCCAAACTTTCATCAACGTCACAATTATCAAGTATTGGTGAATAGTAACGAATAACACAATATATACATGTATAATATACCTTTGTAATATTAAATTTAAAATTTTTTTAAAAACACTTATAGTTATTAGTTAATTGAAAAAACTTGTCATTTTGTATAAATTATAAGTATTATAATATTACCACTTTATATTTTATAATTTCCTTATAAAAATAATTATACTTTCATATTTTAAATAACCACAAAACAAATTATGTATATTATTCAGTGTGTAATATAATAGTAGGCCCATTTATTAAATTTAATCATATCAAAAAATATACTTTTTCTATGGAATTAGTTAAAAAAAAAAAAAAAAGTCTTAAAGTGTTTTATAAGTTTTATACTTCAGTATATATCAACTAAGATTTAGTATAATATCATCATTGGATTACTGATTACATTGTATTACATTTACATAAAATGTTTATGTAATATCACAATTCAATCAGTTATCTCAAACCTTCAATACCTTTTCTGTAAAAATATATGTATATACAATAATACAAATATTAAATATTATATTGGATAGGTCCCTACTACCAATTAGTATATTAGAATTTTTTTAGATTCGGATATATGAAAATATAATTGTTCTATAAAAAAAAAATATCATAAATTAAAATATTAAACTACATTCAAATGATTGTAAGGAATAAGTTAATCAGTTTTGGAATTTACGCGCTATTAATTAACTAATTGCAATTTCTGGGGTATAAGCATGAAGATTCTTTGAATACATACAGCAGTCACTGTAAGACCGAAATCTTCAGTTATTATCTTTATTATTTAATGTAATGGCTAAGAGAATATAACGTACTTGTAGTATCAAAGGATTACAACTTACAAGTTGTTAATGTTGCGTCCAATGATCAAATCTTTCAATTTGCAGAATTCATACAATTTCAATATAGATACAGTATTGTTTGCCATATATAATAGGTTAAAAACTAAATTGTTAAACATTTTAAATATAAATACCTATAACATAACCATACAAGCAAAGAACCAAAGCTGACTACTAATCATATTAAATATTTATTTGTACTAAAACAAAACCAAAATTGTTTAAAGGAAACTAAAAAAAATTGTTAAGATATTAAATCAAATTTTAAGTGGATATTCATCTATATTGCTATCTTCTTCTTCGTTATAATCTAATGTTATATCTTGATCATACATTTCTTTTTCAACAGATCTACTCCTCCTTCTACCCAAGGCTTTGACTTCTTGAATTTTTTGTTTTTTTATAAAATCTGTAAATGACAAATATTGAGGTTTCTCGGTGGATTCAGATAAATTGTTTTTTAAGGTATTTTGCACAACATTGGATTGGCGATGAATTGCTTTAGACTTTTGAATAGCTGCATTCAACTAGAAGAAAATAACAGTGTTATTTACAAATTATAATACTAGCTGTTCTGGCAGTGCAATACAAAATGTTCTCTCTAGTCCACCTAATAATAAATCTCATATAATAAAATAATAAAGTAAAACAATATTATTTAAAAAGTTAATACTCGTAAATAAATATAATTATTTTTTAAATTTTATTCCAATCGCCATAGTTGTACATTCACAGCTAACCCACATATCGCGTTGACCATGCCAAATTAAATGCCTATGATAACTCACTAACCTTGCCCAGTCACCCACTCAAACATTTTTCTTTCTACCTCTTTTCACTTAAATTATTCACTGCTGTCCATCAATAACATCACATTTATTTGCAGTTGTAAATTGAATGTGTTATAAAGACATTTTTTGTGAACCATTCTTTAAGTAAAAGCGAATAAAACGGATTAAATACATACAAATAATAATTAGTAAGTTATTACCTAGTTTTTTTTTTTAAACCAATCAATAAAAACATAAATATCTGTCCTAGCAGCAATAATAATACATAAAATTATAATACTAGGTAAATATCTCACTCTGGCCATTATTGCACTATGATTAAGACCCATTACATCGACCTTCATTTCAGGAAATATTTCTAGTTCTTCATCGCTTCCATCGTCTTCTAGGTTTTCTTTATTCTCTAATTCATAAATTTTTTCCTAAAATATATTAAAAATGTGAATATGAGTTCTCTTTAGAAACACCCAATAAAAAAAAATGTATCACATGAAAATATTTTAATAAAATTAACATATTATCTATAATAGTTCAGAAAACATATATTTTTGGTGCTATGGATTCAAATTATATCCAACACTTTTCTTATGCATAATTAATAAACATTATCTCTTAATAATCTATAGACTAGTTATTACAATAATATCACCTTAATTTCTGGATCAATCTTTGTAAATATTGTAGGATGGTTTTTCAATAAGTTGGGGCAAGTTGGTATAAAATCCTCACCAAAATCTGCTTTATTTAATAATCGATCGACTGCAGCTATGTTTGCATATGTTTTGTCTAAAATGGTATCATTAGTATTTAGAATAATAACAATATTTAATTTTTTAACAATAACCTTTTACAAATTGTATTTTTGGTACTTCGCCCATAATTCTTAATCTAGATAATTCATGTCTTAATGGACCACTTATGTTTTGCAATATATCATCTAATTTGGAATCATCTTCAGACATCTTAGCCATCCAAAACACTTTGACAGATCGATAGTCTCCTGAAATACAAACCTGCAATAAAGAAAACCAACCTATATAATACATGGGATATTTAATGACATAGCTAACAATTTTTTTTTTGAAATTTATGTTTTTTTATACTTAATTTTGATGATGTTTTTTTAAAATGTTTAGTATTTTAAACTTAAAAATACAATTTTTGGAAAGATTGTGCATTTTGAAGTTTTTTGATAATAACTTTCAAAGAAAGTTTGAGTGACTTTTTTGAAAGTACCATCAAATTAACCATAAAAAACACAATTTGAAAAAAAAATCCAAAAAATCATTCAAGAGCTAAACTGAATTCATTTCTAGTTAGTACATATTAATATGTTATACCTTTGATACTTCTAAACCATATCCTACAAGTTTATCGAAGTTTTCACCAGTAGCCATTAGATCGGTAATATTTTGCATTAACAGTTTATTAAGAACATTTACACGCTTTGTTGACTGACGACCGGCATTATTTTTGGTTGTTTGTTTCATAAGCTCTTCAAATGTAAGATTGGCTCCAACACTTGACTTGTACCAAACTTTTCTGAAAATAATATTAAAATAGTTGTAAGGTATGTATCGATATTAATTTTTTAGTGCAATATACTTTTTGATGTTCGTAATATTTTTATAAGATATTTGTAACACTTACTTAGATTTCTGATTAAGTCCCATTACTTTGTTCATCATTTTACCAGCTTGTGACGACGAATTACATTTTGGTATCGTTTGAGAGCAACAAACATTTCTAAAAAGGAAACAAGAAGCTGAATGAGATTTGTGAAACATTCTGCGATTGAAATCAAAATACAGTCCAATATTTGACGAACTATTTTTATATTAAGTAATTAAGTTATGACATCGTTTTTGAAATAGAATTTTCCGTGAAGTGGCAATGGAACCTTGATAGACAATTATAGAAGAGCTAATAAGTACTAACAAAAAAAAATAGCTTAGAATTTTTGATAATGAATAGAAATATGTTTTAAACAAGGTGTATTGATAAACCTTGGTTTTGAATTTGTTTTCGCGAATAGTTATCACTTATCATTAACCTATCTACAGCAGACTTATCTATGTACAGTGTGATTTTTTCATCATGAACCAGTAATTATTTCGGATTTTCTTAAGTTAATTTGATTTGTTTTTCTAATCATTATGGAATCGTTTAAGCTTTATTTTAAAATCATTTTTAATTTTTCACCCCTGCTCCATATACCTTAAATATGTACATACTTTTGATTTTCAAATAGGAACCTCACCCTCCCCCTTTTGAACACAGATTTGAATAGAGAATACTTTACTAGAAATTTTGATATGCATAACACTAATATCAGATTTACCGTTTTTTGAGTTATAACAGTTTAAAGTAATAAATTGCCTATCTACAACCCTTCCCCCAGTAGGATCTCGTTGAAGTTCCTGGCATACGCACGAACCCGAGATATATATTAAATTTTAATCCGTGATCATAAAACAACCGAAAATATTTGAGCCGATAATATGTTATCCGAGAGTATTACAGCCTTGAATATTTATAGTAAACTCTATTGAATATAGACTATTTATTATATATATAACTATAGCCGATTGTAATAAAAAGATAAGGTCAGATCTTCCAAAAAATGATAACGCGTGATGAGAAGTAAATAAAAAGGAGAGAAATTCCGTACATTTTTTGTACGGAATTATATTTTTTAAATAAAAACGAATTAACCAGATGCCCCGAGTAACCCACTTATTTTTTTTGAATTTTTAATCAATGAAGTTAATTGGAAAATATATTATTTTAGTTTTGATAATAAATCCAACATATGTAAGTGGTTGTTTATCTACACTTGAATAATTTAAATACTTAAAAATGGTTGAAGTTAAAAATAACGAGTAATAATTTTAAACTTAATTAAATAATATATATTTCTACCGTAGAAAATATTCAAAATGTTGTCGGTTTATTATTTTTGTTTGTTCGAAATTGTATTGGAATTCTAACTCAACATTTGCACGTTCTATCAAATTTTTCAATTTTCGTTGAAGATATCGACGTTCAAACTTCCAAGTTTTCTAATTTAACATTTTCTGATTAAAAACAATGATAAGAAATGTACAAGTTGATAATTAGTAGCGTCCGTGCGATTCGGCCGGAAGCTGTTGGAGGAAATATTTTCTGATAATTTCATTAAATACGGTCGGTTGAAATATTTTCGGCTAAAATACGGATCGGCTGTGTTATAGCCCCCCTGTCATACCATGTTAATCACCTGTATCATGGGTGCAATGTTTATCCTGTAGTGGTTAAATTCGATCACGATTAGCGCCGGAAACATGAACTTGACATTTATGGTGGCAGTCATAGACGTGCGCGGACATTTGTGGCAGGGCGGGCCTAGCCAATCACGATTGACCAAGACACTTGAACTTTGAAGGAAGAAACAATTAAAATGGTCCATACCTTAATTTACCTACTCGTTATCGCCCTATTAAAGGCGTTAAATATGTAATGATTCATGTAATAAAAACAAATACATTTTATTTTTTTCAAAATTAAATGTTTTACGATTTAAAAAAAATCGAAAATTTGTGACACTCGCAGGGTGGGTGCCACGCCTACGGTGGCAATCAGACAAAAGTGAATGTGAAAGACGTGACGAAAAAAATTTTTAAAAAATAATCTCGGTGAAGTCAACAATCCTTTTGCTGCCGCAAGAGTACACGACTACACGAGTGAACTTTGAACGAAAAATAAGATAATACCTCCAATCACATATTTTATTTTATTTGTAATATTATAGTTATCAGGACCTGAAATTGTGTGCAGTACTTATTTCAGACTTTTATAGATTTTTATTTTATTATTATCCAATATTGTTTGTTGAAAACAATGAAAATTATTAATTAGCGTGTATTCATTTAAAATCCTTAACGCTAAATATAATACCGACTACGCCATCTGGGCGACGCCGATAACGACCTTTTGACATTTGTCTTTTTTATCTTGTCTGTCCACATTCAGCAGTTTTATATTGGATTGAATAAAAAGAAATAGGCGTGCCAAGGTATAGCCGTATGCTGTCAAGCAAGAATGGTTTCAAGGGATTTTCTCTGGAGCTGAAGCCTCAAAAAGTGTTTATTTTGCTCAGAATAATAATAATGCCTACCAAAGTTTGCTCTCAACTAAATTTATATAGTTGTTTTAAATTGTGTTAAATGTTGTCGCCAGTAAAGTAGGTGTTTGTTATTATTTAATAATATAACAAGTTTATTAATCCAAGCTATACAGTTTTTAATTTTAAAATTTCTAGTCGTATATCAAGGACTTTTATAGAAGATTGTATTTATCATAGTTAATTATTAATAAATTCCAAAAACAATTATGCAACGAAGTCATATTTGTCATGTGCACTACTAGGTCTATGTTCATTATTTAAAAATATTTCGGTGTATGGAATTAAGTGTTTAGTAGCAAAATACCCTAATTTTTGTTATTGAAAAATAAATGATTTATCTACAATTAAGTACATTATAATTTATATTGTTGTACTTGTTAAAAAAGTATATTATTGCAATATAATCAAGGCGTGACTAAATTGTTTATTTTTAATACTTCAAAATTCTGTGCGTGATGTTCAAGTACCTGAATATTTACCTCCCCCCCCCTATCACCTCTTATGGCATTGAACTAAGTGAATCTGCGTGAAAAAAAAAAGGTCGGGTCGGAAAATCGGCGGGTGGTTGCCCTAGACTAACAAAGACTGAAGTGACGCCACTGGTCGAATGATTATTGTGATAATATTTTTTCAGATTTCACTATTTCAGTATTTCACTAATCTCTACTACTAGTTACTACCTACACATCATTCGTGAGTCGTGATCATACATATATTATAATATAATGCAGTGGCGTAAATTATATATAAATATATATATTTATATGCAGCATTTTGGACCTTGTTGGTGCACTGAGAAGGTAGTTAATTTTCCAAGTAGTTTCATAATAATTTGGAAAAACAGAAAAAAAAAAACGAATAGGATAAACAGACAAATTTATAGCAATAAAAAGGTTCATTATTAAATTTTTCTACCAGTAATCTTCTTCCAAATTTCTAGAGTAACATATTTATTTAGAAAAAATGTCGTCTAGTTGGTGATGAAAACAGTGATTTTTTTTTATTTTCTTTGTAGTTTTTTTAATAATTGTGAACAAACTTAATCGTTTTTGTCGTAATTTAGTTTAAAATCATCGTAAGACATAAATTTTGCATAGAACCTGTACTAATGATGGTATATTCTAGACGGTATGATATTTAAAATATCCTGACGAGTTTTTAGATATTTATAGGTATTTGACGTTTCGAGTTTTTTTTTTTGGTTTTATGTAGATACAATTGTTTGAACATTTTACTAGACTTCTAAAGTATATCAACCAAAGATGAATAATTAAATTTTAATCAAAAGTATGAAAAACCTAGGCAACTGTTTGTTGTTAATAATACTTAAAAATTGGTTTGGAAATAGATGACGTTAAAATATAATACAAATTAACAATTAATTACTGTTAGTTTAAAACAAATAATACTATGTTAGATTTTTGTTGAACTATTATCATTGTTTATATAAAATGTGTGTAGGTCAATGTAATGATGATTTTTCAAATTGAAACAAGTATTAAATAGGTAATCAATTACATTATTTCATGTTAAATTTTTTCTTCATAAGTGTTTTATTTTTATAATCAAATAGTATTCGAGTTACTTTCGGCAAAAGTGTTCATTAGAATATTAAGATTTTATTATAGTTTTGAATTATAAAATTAACGACAACAGTAATGATTGGTTTTAATTTTAAATAATAGTATTTATCATAGGTAGGTTAGGTATGATGAAGTAATAATTCAGAAGTTTTTTCTCAGTTATTTCTATCTATCAATAAAATAATAATATGATCTAAGGTTCTTTTTAGTTCATATTTTTTAACAAACATACATTTCTGTCTAGAAAAACTTTGATGAAAATGATGATTATATTTTTGGTAGAAATATAAATTGCATAAGGTTACTTCTATGAAGCATAGAATAATGGTAGTAAAAAATGTATTTAAGATTATATTAATATTTATAGGTAACACTGATTATACTTTAAATACAATTTTAAAAGTGTGTATTGTTTCACTTTATAAACTTATAATAAAAGTAATTTAAATGTATATTTGATGACAATTAGAAAGCGGATATTTAGGTTCTTAAAAGTTTAAAATATGATGTTAATATGCTCTAAAAAAACCTTAAAATATTTTCTTAATATTCCTTTAACATGTAACATATACTAAAAATATGTAATGTATATATGCCTACATTCAATTTCACAATATTTATGTTTACCATTAATACTGCACCTCGTTATAATAATATAGGTACTCAAACTTAATAATCAACCTTAAAATATGCATTTACTAGTATCATTTCTTTGGTAAATTATTTAAATTCAGTTATATTTAAAAAATAATATTATTGTTAAGTTTCGGCATTTAAAAAATAAAATTAAAAAAAAAAACTAAACAATGTTAATGGTTAATTTGAATAGTTTGTATCATAGATACTAAATATTATCGCTCACCAAAATATTTTAGTGATTTTGTTAACGATCCAAGAGAAATAGAGTGACTATCATTACCTATTTGACTACTTGACTACAAACCAGAAACTGTATGATTTTTATCATTCTTCAGTCAAATAAATAATAATCATTTTTTCTTACAATGAAAATATCACAACTCAAGAATCAACTAAATATATGATTTGTTTTATGAATAATAATGCAATATATTTTAAAATATGAAAAATGGACAAAATATTCTCCAATCTCCAAAATATGCTCAAATATGCAGAATAAATTGTTTTCTGCAAACTCTGTAAAGGATAAATCATCCACATTTTTCATCCTCGTTGCATTGCATAGAGCCAATAAATATATGTAAAAATCTGAAAATTCGCTCTGTAATGATAATAAATTATATAGACTATAGAGTGAAATCATCTTATCATATTTATAAATTATTAACAATTCAAAATAAAATTAATATATATTTTATGACATACATTAAAAATTTATTTAAAAAAAATATAATTTCCTTATGCAAATTTAATAAGAGTGTATAATAAAATTATTGCAATACATAATAAAAGTAAAGTTTATTATTTTTAAAACCAAAAACAAGGTTATTGTTTTTGTAATTAACAATAAACTATTTAGATAAAACATCCATATCAAGTACCACTACATTCAGAATGGTACCTAATTATTAAAGTTTTTGATTTGAGGATTATTAATGTAAATTAGAATTGCATGAGTGCAACACTTTAACAAAGTTTTTCGTATTAAATATGAACATATATTTTATCGTGGAAATATAAATCTATTATTTATATTTTTAATTGTTGTCCACCCCTAGAGACTAGGTAAAGCAATATGGTTCATAATAATACTTACATTCAATGTCATTGTTGATGTTACACAAATTCAACAAGTATTTACACTCAGTGCAAATAGTGCATAAAATTGAATATTCTATAAAATTGTAATAAAGAAAAAAAAACTAATAATAGACTATAAAATAATTAATATAAACTCAAAAAAAATAATAAGAATAAGTAATAATTAAAAGAATACATGATTATATTAATATATCAGATTATATACCTTTGATAATATGAATAACAATAATGTTACGGTACAGATTTTTTAAATGCATAATTTGGAAAAATCAGATATTTAGAGAACTCTGTTATATCGGTAACACCTCTTACTTCCTTTTCTAATAGAGGAAGCTTAGTAATGTGGAAATCGATGTATAAATCATAAATCTAAAAAAGGATAGAGTGGAATTAACATTTTTTAAATAAACCATATTTAAAATGCATATATAAATGAATATACCTGATCGAGATATGTGTGCTGTAATGCTCTTCTGGAAGAACACTTTTTACAATTGGGATCCGAATCACCATTGTTTATATACAATTGATTAACAATAATATTATGAGTGTCAATTCCATTTTTGGTTAATTCTTGAACAAGTCTCTCAGTTTCATACAATGACAAAAATTCAGCAATGCATACACAAATAAATGTTGTTTGATCCTACAAAAAAATCATTATAAAACCTATGTATTTGACTATACTCTATTCACCGTAAGTTGACCCACTCGCTCAATGAAAACACCCCTCTGTATGAACGGCCGTGGCAGCAGCCTGCTGCCTACTACGACGAACAACGAAAATCACCGACCAATCATAGATTACGGCGGCTCAGTATACATGTGCGAAAGTGGTCACTTATTGTGAATAGAGTATAATATTATATTGATTACTTACAGGATCTTTGAATTGTTCATTTATGGTTTTGATTGTAGCCAACAACTCTTCAAGTTGTTGAGAAATATCTTCCAAATTAATACCCCCACCAAATAACATACTAACTTGACTAAGATAAGGCCCTACTCTATTTTTTAAATCCAAAAGTTTTACTATAGCTTTTTCCATTGCCAAAGGAAAAGTCAACAATCGTAGAGTATGCCCTGTAGGAGCTGTGTCAAGTACAACTACTGAAAAGTTCATATTCTTAACTAACCTAAAATTAAACAATAAATAGACATAATTAAAAATAAAATATTATAAATCATTACTAGGACTTTTTTTTCAAGTGCCTAACTTAAAAACATGAAAAATGACAAAAAAGAAAATGTATTTATTAAAACCGATAAAAAGTCATAAATGTAGACTGTTTGATAAGTCAGTACGCCAAGTTACTAAAAAAGATTATAATATGAAATGAAAATGTAGGTTTCTTATGAATTCATATAACCAAACATTTTTCTATTATTTTTTAAAATACAAAATAAATAATTATATTAGGTGTAATAATAAAAAATAAATTAAAAAATTGAAAGATAGTACTTAAAATCTAAAATACTTTAAATATATAAAAAACAGCAATATAAAATTGTATATTTGGAATCTGGTGCATAAAGAAGATGTAAAGTTCACTCTGCAATTTTAATCTGTATTCTATGATAATTAACAAATACTATAAAATCCAAGTCATGATTATTTATCAATCATAATTTTATTAAAATATTATTTATACTAATTTTAATAATTTAACATTATTAATTCTATTTTAACATATTGTACAAACATACTGCAAATAGACATACTCAACATTTTTAATCAATACTTATTTTTAACATGTACATTGTACATGGATAATAAAACAATTTTTTATAGGCGCCAAGCACACAGGGATACTGAACTGAAGTTCCCAATGAAATAGTAAAGCTGAGGTACCACCCCTTATAAAAAGCATAAGTTGGGTCTTATTTTTTTTCGTTGATATCAAAATCAATGAAAAATAATAAAATTTAAAAATAATTAACTTTGATTTTTTTTTTATTGAATGCTGTGATTAAAATTTTCAACAGAATAGAAATTCTCCATGCAAAGCTACAAACTGTGTATTAGAGTTATTATACTTTACAACATTTAAGGCATCATTGATTTTTTCAAGAAAGATAAAATGCTATGTGACTTATTACTAAAGTTAAAATAGCTATTGAGAATTATGTTAATAATACCAGTATCCTCTTGAACAGTAGAGAAGTCATTTTTTGCACTTTAGAGTTTTAAGACATATCTCAGATTCATAATGTCTCAAGAATGTTTAAATGATACTTCAATTCTCCATATTTATAGAGATGAATAAGTTGAACTATCAATAGTTACTAATAGTTATATTAACAGTATTAAAGGTAACAACTTTGTCATAAGTTTAATCTAATTTATACAAAATAAATCGAAAACTATGTGTGTATTATGTTTAACCTACAGTAAAATATAATAATAATGTATCTTAATCTAATAAATAGGTTAATAAATAGGTTTTGAAGTGAATGTTTTTATGATAATTTTTGTTTGTTTTAATATACTAGTTGTTAAATGAATGTAATAATTGACTTAAATTGATAAATTCAAAATGTTTTTAAAAATATTAGTAGATTATAGCTCAGCCTCTATGACATTTCAAAACCCGGCGCCTATGTAATTTTTAATAGACAATTGTATGCATACTTACTTCATTACTTGAGCGTAACTCATTGATTCATCAATACCAGGGAATGCTCCAACCACATCCCGTAAAATACTTCTACCCAATCGCATTATATCAGATTCATCGTTTTGTTCAAATAAATGTTCATTGCCATTACTGACATCTGGGTCTACTTCCTATGTCATAAATAAAAATTAATAATTTGTATTAATAAATTAATAATCATATATTTTTAATAGGTATCTAATATGATTACCATGGCAAACAAATTATTGAAACCTTCAACTTTAGTAGGCACTTTAGTGAACCTTTGTCCAAACGCATCAGATATATTATGTGCTGGATCAGTTGATAAAAGAAGTACAGATTCACGTACACTTGCTAATTGAATGGCCAAACTACAACTGAAATTAAAATCAAATTGGACGATAATTAGGTACCTACAAAAGTATACCTAATATTAGGAAAGTTGTTGGTTATTACCTGCATGTGGTTTTACCAACGCCTCCTTTACCACCTACGAAAATCCATTTTAAAGTGGTCTGGCTAATTACATTTTGTAACGTAGGTTCTAGTTGTTCATCATCAATAATATCGCAGTGATCCATTTCTAAAAGTATGAAATATAAAATATAAAATAGTAATAAAGAATTTGTTACACGGATATAATTGGATCCGTTGGAATTAAATAACAGAAATTATGGAGAAGCAAAATTCAAAAAAAAAATGTCTTACTTAGTTTATTATTTACGTGGTAGACTTTGTAGAAAAAAAAATGGTATTGAAATGTACACTAAATTACAATAATAACTTCACCAAGTAGAGGTAATAAAGAAGACTAATAAATATTATGAATGTTCAGTATTGTGAATCATAATTTTATATAACGTCATGATTTATGTTATCAATAACTGATGTTTTACTGATAAAGTGATAAACACATGTTGCCCGAATATAGAATAATTGTCACGGTTATGGAATATTAGTCCGTTTTGAAACACCATAATTGTAGATAAAGATGATAAAGTAATAATGTAGGATATAGGTACATGGAATATAAACGTATGTATTCACGGTTGAAAAGAACTATAGGTAGCGCTCTAGTCGACACTAATGATAAGGCTAACGGAGTGATGGACGGTACAAAAGCATTAGCATAATAACAGTCATTTAACCAAAATAATCCATTTATTACTAGTTTTTTTAACATTTTCTTATTAAAATGTATTTTATTTACAATTTGTAATAATAAAATTACATATTGTTTAACAGAAATCACCGACATAATTCAAGATAATTGTGATTTTAAAAGACCTTTTGTCGAAGGTTCAGTAACAGTCAAATGCATTAAAATAGGTTTAAGAACAAAAAAACGTCCTAGGATAATAGGGACAGGTGTAGCCATTGTTATAGGAAATTTAATGTATACCAGTAAGCAACGGTAAACCATTGCTAACAAAAAAAGGATTCTGAGCGGACTTTAGATGATAGTAATGTTTTTTCATATTAGAGTAAATTAATTACTTTATAATAGGCTTTATATATTTTCTTTAATAATATTTGTATAATGTTGTACTGGTTTCCCATTTTTCTTACGTTTTTCCCGGTTTTCTCATGTTTTTTTTTTCGGTTTTTCACATTTATTGGGAAAACTATTGGGAAAATCGAAAAATGACCTCCTTACAGTACCTCCCCATACCGTTTTTCTTTCAGAAAAAGTGCTATAATTAAAAATCAAAGCAATATGTCTGGTAGAAAAGTTGCGTACAGATAAAAAAAAATAAAATAAATAATAAAAACTAAACATCTTTGTGTAACCATATTAAGCTTCTTTACTCCACTTAGAATCTAAAACGATTATTAAGATTCGAAGATTATGTTTGCAAACCAGTGACCTTCACGGTAAACTTCACGATGTAGGTAAGTAGGCACATTTTAAACACTACCTATTGTATATTATATATTATGTAAGTTCAATACAAGTTTGTATTTAATTTATGCATCTTTATTATCCATTTAGCTAGAATAATAATTATGGTCATCCATAATATTAACAAATAAAGCTATATTTATGATTATTACAACGAAACGAGATGATTACAAAGAAATTCAGAAGTCAGAACTCAGTACTCAATGTCTCAATATAATATTATAATTTAATATGTAATCAAACGTAAATCTTCCCCGTTAAAGCAATTTTAATAGACCAACTATTTCGCTTTCAGTCGCGAATACCCTGTCCAACTTTCATTTATATTATCATAGGTATTTTATGTATGACGTGCGTGTTGTTTTTTAAATAATAATATAATATAGGTGGTGCCTAAATAATAAATTATGAGTTCGTTTTTATTAAATCGGGTCAATTAACTTCCGAGCGATTCCTCAGAAACAGAAAAATCTAATAAAAAGTAGCATTTCTATCAGATTCTATCTGCTGAAATGGTTATCGAAAATGTTGAAAGTTCTGGTTGTTATAATATGTTGTACATGTCCCGACTTACTGGAATAAAAGTCAGTATAACGTTTTCAAATGGTCGTATACCTAATTGGTCGATTCTGGTTGATTGTAAAAAATAAAAAATAGAGTTGAACGGTATGAAGAAAAAATAATGCAAAAAAAAAAAACCAGTCTCGGGAGGCAATAACCAAGCTGTACAATAGTAATGATCCAGAAACTGGAAATAAAATAGTTTTAAAAAGAAATTATAATTCTTGTCACCATATATTAACGAATCTGATGAGTTACAGATACAAAATTGGACTTGTAAGTACAGGTTTAGTAGCCAAGAAATTAACAAGTCTAGATGACACATTTATGTCTAATAAAATATAACACATTATTATTAAAGTTATAATAGGTATACCTATAAATTAAATTTATAAGTATAACTTGATTTTTATTCTTATATAATTAATATTAAATTATTATATCATGATTAAAACACAATTTAAATAATACTTAATAAGACAAATATAAACGCCAATGACGATTAAAACAACGATATCATAAATAAACGGTAATATTTTAATTAGTTCATATTATGCATAATATGTGAAATAACTTGGACGATGGGGAGTGCATTTATCAATTATGCATATTTATATCTTTTAATTTTATAATATTAACGAAAANATATTAAATTATAATATCATGATTAAAACACAATATAAATAATACTTAATAAGACAAATATAAACGCCAATGACGATTAAAACAACGAAATCATAAATAAACGGTAATATTTTAATTAGTTCATATTATGCATAGTATGTGAAATAACTTGGACGATGGGGAGTGCATTTATCAATTATGCATATTTATATCTTTTAATTTTATAATATTAACGAAAAGCTAAACATAATATAGAGTAAATTCCAATAACGTACAAGTTTGAAAACTGTAAGTTAAAATATTTAATAGGTATTAATCATATTAGGTATATAAAATATTAATAAAAAAAAACTATAATACTACTTACCTAAATGTTGTCAAATTAGCGTTCTCCAATAGTGAACAAATTTAATACAAAGANAAATTATTGTCATAATGAGTAGGCACGCATGTGGCACATAATATTATGACATTATCATTGATATAGGTACTATACTACTATAGCATCGACGCGGTCATCGGAAATATATTTTATAAATAACATTTGAACCGGAAACAAGTACATATTCTATTATCGAAATATTAAATTACAAATATTAATGTATTATTATATTTATATAGGTATTAATATTGTATTTTCTATTTTTATTTTGTTATATAATTTACAGTAAGTTATAAAATAAAGGGTATANATCTTTATACAAATATTCGGCGAGGCCCTTTCACCGACGAGGCCCGTGGAAAATCCCACCTTTGTATATATGTAGTTCCGCCACTGATCCAACAGAATAATAATAAAAATCAACAGGGGAAAATGAAGATAATGAAATAGTTAGATAATATAAATGAATTTCTGTATTTAAGAGGTATATGATAATAGTTTGTAGATATTATGTTATTACATATTATTATATGTTATTGTTATTACATTAAAAGTTATTCTATATCTTACCAACCAAGGAAAAACGAAAACCATAAGGTTATGATTGTGTATCACTCATACATATGCTTTATATATATATATAGATATTAAAAAATAAAATTAATTTAGTCATCCTGTGAATCTTGTTAAACGCCATTTTTTTCACTTCCAAGCTCATCCGTATTGACTTTACTATACTAGTACTAACAAAGAATAGTACAATTGGCGACCAAGATGGCGAAGGACGAAAGTAAGGTAAATACGGGTTGCATAAAGCAAATTAATGAATTAAATTTAAAGGGAGATGATTTTAATTCTTGGATTGAACGTTTTAAATTATAAATCGACCTAAATGAAATTAATGTTCATAAGAAACAATTAATGTTTCTTACCTTATTGGGCAATGATGGTTATTCGTTGGTGCGCGATTTATGCAGACCAAAGAAACCAACAGAGTCTAGTTATGCTGAACTTAAAAATCTTTTAATAAATTTTATTAACCCTAAACCTAATACAATAACTAATTCAAGAAGCATCAACAAGCTGCCGATGGATCAATTATGGAATTTGTAATAGCATTGAAGAAAATGTTAGAGTTTTGTGAGATTGATGTGGGTTTGGATGATGCCATACGGGATCAGACTATTTGGGGTTAAAGGATATGAATATTAAAAAAAAATTAATAGTCGCGTTTTACATTTTGACTGTAATATACATGATGATGAATTTTTAATTCGAAACCAGTCGTATAATACACTTATCATAATACTCTAGGCACGCATTCATTAATTAATTTATTTTATTTTTATATATACACTTTCTATTTATATATTTATTTACTTTATTTATTTCATATACGTTTGAAACGAAAATTAAAGAAAAGGTATTTTCAAACATTTAAGATTTTTCTAAAACACTAATTTTAATAATTTTTCTAACATTTTTAACCAAAAACTTCACAAAAATCCCCCTTCATTTGAAAATGCTAGTATATATAAACTTAAATGTAACTGTAATAAATTGTATACAGGTAAGACAAATAGAAATTTTAAAACAAGATATAAAGAACACATTTCTGAAATAAAATTAAAAAAGACTGTCCCTAATTCAAATTTCGTAAAACATGTTTTAGAAAATAACCATAATATAAGTTTTAATAATAATACAAACTTAGAAATATTAAATACCCAAAATAACATTAGCATTAATTCAGTTTTGGAAGAATAACACATACACAATGAAATAAAGAAAAATAATTTTAATAATATTCTAAATATTCATACCGATTTTATTTTAAAAATAATATCTTATATCAATACATTTTAGATAAATAATAACCTAATAATTTATATTTCTTAACATATCTATGTCTAACAATAACTAATTTTAAATAATCTGTCCTATTAAAATAAATTATTTTCTATATTCTATATAAAACGACCAATTTATATAATTTTTTTCTATGTATTCCTTCACTTCATTTTTAACATTAAATCGCGTTTTACATTTTGACTGTGATATACCTGATGATGAATTTTAATTTCGAAACCAATTGTATAATACACTTATTATAATACTCCAGGTGACGCATTAATTCATTTTTTTATTTTATTTTTATTTACTATAATTATTTACGATTATTAACCATTTTAATAATTTTGTTTTGACTTTATTGTTTTATTAAAAAAAAGTTATTATTATCAGAATACGTTCGAAAATTTTGAAATAGAAAAATACCCTATTTCCAAGAAAACAGATTTAATGACTATTTTTCCAAGGGTGTTCTAGATTTTGATCAATCTATTTTTTTCAAGCTTATCAGTAGTTACCCTTGAGAATCAGAAACTCACTACTCACAAAGGTTTATTTATGTTTAAATGTGTACCGTATGGGTTTAGCTTCAGCGTCAGGTCTATTGCAAAGAGAGATGGATAAGATGTTGAGCGGTTTGTCTAAATTAGGATGATTTTATGATGAAATTATAGTAGCAGGAAAAGATGATCAAAAACTTTGTATAAGGGTACATGGAGTTTTAAGGAAACTTTCCGATGCTGGGTTGACAGTTAAAAAAGAGAAATGCAAATTTTTCATTGACAGTATTAATTTCTCAAGGTATCAAGTTGACAAAAATAGTCTTCATGTTCCTGATGAAAGAATTGTGGTAATTGTAACATTCACGTTCCTAAGAATGTACAAGAGGTAAAAGCTTTCTTAGGGTTAGTTAACTATTATGAAAAGTTTTTAAAAATATGTCAACTGTTACAGGATCTCTTTATGAGTTATTGAAAAATAACTGGGTGTCACGCACACTAAAACTTCCTCATATAATCCTTCATCTAATAGAGCTTCTGAAAACTAAGTGTATACTTTTAAACATTTAAAAAACAAAAATAAGACCTGTGGAGACATAGATATTTATAAGTTATCTTATATCATATGGATATCTATTATTTTTTTTAAAATAATAATTTTATTTTAACCTTTTGTTCTTATTTTTTAATTAACAATGAAGCAAAATATAATCTCTGTGTATTGTTTAGACATAATAATTTACCCATAAGAAGACTTACAGAATTTCCAATTAAAAATATTCATTAGCAATAAAACAGTATTACGAAGATAAATTAATGCAAATAGAGTAAGTATTATGTAATTTAATATTTTATTGTTTATGTGTTTTTAAGTTTAACTTTTTAAATCTTATATTTTATTTAAAACTGTTAACTTTGTTTCTTCTCCTATGAAGACCTTAAGTTTAAAATTATTATAAAGATTAAGTTAGATAGCTTTTATTCAGACATATGAGTAACTACACCATTAGAAAGTAAGATAAAGAAGTATAGATAACCTATATATAGAGTTTTTAAATATTTTATTTTATTTTAATTATTATTGAGTTATTATTATCAAGTTTAACTCTGGCATATGAAAAAAACTTAAATTATATTATTGATTAAAATGATAATAGTGTATTCAGAAATGAAAAACGAAAATATACTCGGAAATTATTGGAAGAAGCAGAAGTAGATTCTAGAATGAATAGAGCGAGGCAGTTGTACCAAAAAATAAACAGTATAAGAGGAGGATTTAGAAAACATAACAAGTTCTTGAAAAATGAAGATGGTTCACTGACAACAGGACAGGAAGAGATGTTGGAAAAATGGAAACAATATTTTGGCCAACTGCTCAACTGCGAAAATCCAGAAGAAACTTTTGAATGGACACTAGTAGAAACCAACGATTGCGAATGCCTACCCCCTACTATCAATGAAATAAGACAATAAATATTAAGGTTAAAAAACCAAAAATCTCCCGGAGAAGATGGGANTGCCTATTAGACAGAATAAAGCCGATTGCGGAAGAAATAATAGGGGATTACCAAGGAGGTTTCAGACCAAACAGGTCAACAACAGACCAAATATTTGTGATTAGGCAGACCCTTCAAAAAATGTGGGAGTTCAATAAAGACGTGTATATATTATTTGTGGACTTCAAGAAAGCCTACGACTCTATCCACAGGGCAAGCTTAATCAATATTCTAAGGGAATTTAAGTTTCCAAAAACGCTAGTTAATCTTGTAGAGGCAAGTTTAAATGGAGCAAAGATTAAAGTAAATCTAGCAAATACGTTGTCACAACCAGTGGAAGTGGTGATTGGCTTAAGACAAGGAGATGCGCTTTCTCCTGTACTATTTAACTTAGTGTTGGAGAAGATAGTAAGAGAATTCAATTTATGTGAAGGGGTTGAGTTAGGTCGATCGACAATTAATGTTCTGGCATATGCGGATGATATCTCTCTAATGGGAAGGAGTAGAGAGATGATAATAAAAATTGAAAAGTCACTTATAAAGGCTGCGGAGAAAGTAGGACTAAGGGTTAATGAAGAAAAAACAAAGTATATGGTGGTCAGTCGGAGAAATGGAAATCAGGTACAAGAAGAATTCATTGAAGTGGAAGAATACAAATTTAAAAGAGTGGACCAATTCAAATACTTAGGGTCAATTATANAAGGCTGCGGAGAAAGTAGGACTAAGGATTAATGAAGAAAAAACAAAGTACATGGTGGTCAGTCGGAGAAATGGAAATCAGGTTCAAGAATAATTCATTGAAGTGGAAGAATACAAATTTAAAAGAGTGGACCAATTCAAATACTTAGGGTCAATTATAACTCAAGATAACGACATTAAAACAGAAATTTCAATGACGGAGCAGAAACATGGTCTCTGAGAAAGACTGAAGAACGAAGAATTGCAGTATTTGAGAGAAAAGTACTCAGGAAAATTTATGGGGCATACTATGATGTTCTCACAAATGAATGAAGGAAATTACATAATGAAGAACTGCAATCCCTTTTTCAACGACCGGATATACTGAAAGAAATAAAAAAAAGACGGCTAGTTTGGGCTGGACATGCCTGGAGGAAACATGACTCATTAATAAGAAGAGTAATAGAGGAAAACCCAGTAGGGAGGAGACCTCTTGGAAGACTGTGTCTAAGATGGGAAGATTGCGTAAGGAGAGACACTGAAACAGTGGAGCCGGAGTGTCATTGGCAGGAAGTAGCAGAGGATAGGGATAGGTGGCAGTATGATTATCTAGAGGTATGGTCTTGAATGGCCAAAACCAAGAAAGAAGAAGAATTGATTAAAATGTTTTTATGTATCCATATAATAATAATGAAATAAAGATTGTGCTTATTTTTTTATATTCTTAGTGAAGCAAAGAAAACACTTCGGTTAATTATATTTTTCGATTTTTCGTGGTGTTCTTTAAAAGATACAAATTCTTTTGTTTGATGGTACTTATGGTTTTACAAAGATGTTTTTTTTTCATCTGTGCGCAACTCTTCTACCAACAATTTTGCTCAGACTTTTAAGTGTAGTACCCTTTCTGAAAGAAAATTGATGTGTGTGGAGGTACTTCAGGAAGGTCATTTTTGGATTTAGGATTATTACCAAGACATATTGGATAGAATTGTATGCAGTTGGTATGTAACCGGACTAATCGTAATACTGAAATCTTATCATTAACGAAAAACTGTTTATCACCTCTGTGCTATAATCATTTCATATAAAGTACAATAATAATTATCAATATTGTTACCTACTATAGGTACAAACAACATATATTTTTAAATTAAATTCAATAAGTATTGAAACTTATGAAGCTATAATTCGCCAGCGGATTAATGAAAAAAAAAAATGTTTTAATGATGTGCACAAAAATAAATTAGTCAATAATACAGTAATTAATATTAGATTATACAAAAAAAATTATATATTAATCAAAACTTAATATATTATTCTCAAATTATATTTCTGTATCACGATAACTATGTGCCATTTTACCATATATGTTGTATTTAAATCAATAAACAATGACAAACTCAATTCAAAACATTATAAAAATCTCACACTTACGACCTAAAATCATCCAGTCTTGACATAGGCTTAGGCTCCGACTATGTCCAACTATAATACTTATGAAATGCGATTGTCGTATAATATTCAACTCTTGTGTCTTATGTTTTTCTTTTAATCCTTTTTACTTTAATTTATTGTAAACCATTTACGTCTTCAAAAATATACGTTGCGTGTATATTTTCATCTTCAATGTTTTGCAGCTCAGATGCGCATTACCGTTCACGGCATGTAAGCAATCATATTATACACTAGACCAATTCTTTATATTCGGCTAGAATTATTTTTAGAGGAACAATTGTGTTCCTCGTAGGTACATAGATATTTAACTTTTGTTAAATCTATACTCACGACCCGAGTTGTACTTCCTCTGATCGGAAAAGGTAATACGTTAATGAGAGGAAATTTACTTTCATATTCGAATAAACACCTACCCTAACTACCCCTCTTTTTAAGTCATTGCGATGTCAATACCAAAATGTATAAAAACTAATACTCTATCCGTGTATGCAATTTTTAATATAGGTTGCCATTTAAAAATCAAAAGTAAGTAGTCGTTTCACCCCAAAAAATTAGGGTGACAAGAAAAATATGAATGTTAAATTTTAGAGCAAATTGTTTCATACATTTACAAAAAAAAAAAAAAAAATGAAAAAAGTTTCCGAGATATCGAATGTACCCACTTAAATGGATCACCTTGTATATAATATGATTCGTTTTGACAATTTTATTGATTTTTTTTCATCAAGTACTTGGTTATTGCATTTAGAAATTGTTCATTATAAAAAGCTTCATAATCTCTTATGCATTTATTCAACATTGTAGTCAGTTAAATAACTCGTGAAATTATACTTCAGTTATCTAGCGATCAATTCTTCCATTTGTAAATATCCTTACCCAATATTGACTATTAACGAAACCGATGCCATGTTTACAATTAGTACCATTATCATTTTTATCACTTTAAATTAGAACTTCTGTCACACAATGTATACTTGAAATAAAAAGTACTGAAAAATTAATTTCTTGTTTCTTTTGAAAACTCCAAATCGTGAAATTAACATTCAAATCCACAGTGATTTATTCCTTGTATTGATTCAAAAATGCATCGAATATTTATAATTCTACGCCCCCTCTAAATTTTTTCACGGATCATCCAATGTCAAAGACTGCAAAGCATTGTTAATTATTTTACGGTTTTCATTTAATGCTTCTAAAATGGTCAAATTTGAAATAGCAACTGTAGATTCATTTTGGTTTTCACTCTTTCAAATTGCATGCAAATAAATAAACATTTTTTTTTTTTTTCAGATATTCAGAGTATCAACTCTTTTAGATTCTGTGTGGAGCAAAGTAGCTTATGGTTTTACAAAGATGTTATTTTTTATTTTTTCTATAGACAACTTTTCTACCAGAGGACTTGCTCCGATTTATAAGTACATCACCTTTTCTGAAACGGAATCAGACTGGTATTAAGAGGTATTAAGGAGATGTCATTTTACGATTTTCCCAAGAGTTTTCTTAGTAAATGTAAAAGACCAGGAAAAACATAGGAAAACCAAAAAAGACGTATGAACATCAAGAAAATCGGTACAATATTAAACAAATATTATTAAAAAATATATACAATGCTTTTTTAATTATTTTACCATAATATGACATATATATTTATTTATTTATTTATTTATTTTTTTATTCGTGTGTAATAAACGAGTAAAGACCCTTTTTTGTAGGCGTACAGGTTTAAACATTTAAATATTTTATACTATACTAATAAACATCTCGATTTAAAACAATAATAATAATAATAATGAAGCTAACAATACAAAATAATAATAATTAGACAAATTTAAATAAATAAAACAATAATAGGAGACAAACACTAAATCAATAATAATATAATAATAGAAAATTACTTAATTTACAACATCGTTTAAGACTAAATATACATTTCTTTTGAAAACATTACGTGACATAAAAAAAAAATCTACATTATCAACAATAAGATTTGCTAGCCTTAATGCTCTAGGAAAGTAAGTAGAGGAGCTGTAGTTATTATTATAAAATGGAACATGAAATAAATTTGATTTTCTTAAACGGTGATTTGTTGTATTAAATTCAATCATAGAGAGCAAATCCGGGGAAAAAATGTGACCATTTAACAAATCATATATAAACATAATATCAGCAACCTCTCTTCTTACTTTACAAGATATAAAGCTCAACTCGCTTATTCGCATATTGTACGAGTTCTTTGAAATAAATGGAATATTTAATTTGTAACACAATAATTTTAAGAATTTAAGTTGTACATTTTCAATTGAATTAATAAATGTGATGTAACTAGGTGACCAGACTATTATAAACCAAACTCAAGATGAGATCTAACAAGCGCAAAAAATAATGTTTTCAAGGCATTTACATTTTTAAAATTAACTGTGTTTCGGTTGATAAAGCCAAGCATATCTTAAAGGATTTTTTAGTAATAGTATTAATGTGAGTAGTGAAAGACAAATCGTAATCAATAATAAAGTTACAAATAATGACTTGATTTTTCGATAGCGCATCATGATAATACATTAATACGCGTAAGGAATAACACATGGATTTCAATAAAATCGGAACTTACAATTATCTAAGAAATATTCGAGTTTAACAACGGTTTACGCGCGGAATAGCGCACACGTATCGAATAATTATAAAAATTAAAACGGCGAATGAAAATCGGCGGGTTTTATGATACGGAAAATAAACGTACGAAGAAAAATGTTCTATTCAAGTGATAACTAATCGGACAGTAATCGTTATCCGAGTAACGTCCGACTCTGCTACAGCCGTACGGGTGCCCGTCTATGCCTGCGGGTCAATTCGTATCGGACGTGAACGAATCGCGCGCCGATATGGGGCGGCTATCGTGCGCTTGAATTACACGGTATCCGTAACAACGGCCTTTCGAATTCGGAAAAGGCGGGACATTTGTCCGCGGAAAAAGACTATTGTAATGTCGCGCAATACGTAGAAAAACACGCCCGGCTGCCGATAAATTCGCGGGCGGTTCGAAAGGCACGGCGGACGATATTCGTTCGCGACGGTCGGACCCCGCGGACGACTACGCGCGTCCGGTCGCCCCGCACCCGCGGCACTCCTTATTACAGCGCCGCTGTTCGGGGCAAAAGCCAAAAGGATTATAAAAACATCGCGCGCGCGCCCGCCCCGGCCAACATGTGTTGCCGGCGTCGTATAAATAATATCCGAAAACGGCGGGTTACAATAATATTATCGCGCTGTTGTCGTTGTTATTGTACGTACGCGGACCGCGGAAAAGTTTGCCGCGGACCTAATGTGCGCGCCGAGGGGTGGGGGGGGGTGGGCTCGCGCGCGCAGTCACGGTCCTCTCGGGGTCCCGGGCGGTCGGTCGGCGGCGGCCGCTACCGCCGCCGCCGCCGACCGCAACGTTCCGGGAAGATTTGTTGGGCGACCGGTCTTCGCGGCCCCGCGGTCGGCAATAACCCCGTAATATATTGTGTATATAGGGTGTTATTAGTGCGCAGATATATATACAGTGTGTACACAGACAGTATTGTGCATATATGTATACGTTATGCGCGTATCGTGTTTGTTAGTGGCCGTCGCGTAGTAATTGTCCGGAGACCGCCGCCGCCGCCGCCCGAAATTTATCGGGTCCGCGCCTGCACTTTATTATCATTATTTTCGTTATTATCGTTGTTATTGTAACACTCGACGACCCTTTGCTGCTGCATTGTCGCCGTCGCCGTTCGTATCGATTTCTCCGGCGTGACTTACTGACTGCGGGGTTGTCGTCAATTAGAGCCGGACGATTTTTGATTTTCTCGAGTCGTGTCCTTTCGATTCGACCCGAAAATGCGCTTTGTAAACGGTCACCTGGAGTATTCTATGAAAACGAAATACCGGACTTATTAATCGAACCACGAGTAGGCATAACTGCCCGCAATCAAGGAAAATTCGCATCTTTTAAGACGCGCATTTTAATTGGAACATTTTTAATAACCATAAAACCGCAATACACCCTAGTAAAAATGTATATTCATAACAACAGCTTCTTCGTTGCATTCAAAATTTAAAATTCAAATAATTAATTCTATTGAGGTAAATATTATGAATACAAACATTTCTCGTAATTTATTTACGTATTCCGAAGTATCTGTAATTGG